TTATTCATTCATAAATATCAAATTATAAGTTTCATTTCATTCTGTAAGATTGTCGGTATCGTCTCCCCTTTCAGAGCAGGATTAGGGAACCTCAAGCCTACATGTCAGATATGACCAACCCCCCCAAATCCAGGCTTCTCTATATGACGTTGAAACTTTCCCCCTGCAGCTTCACACCCCTGTCTGGACTTCATTGTCGACTTTTGCTGACTTTGAAAGTATTGGTGTTTTGCAACTTTCTAACCTGTTGCAGGACCTTAGCCAGACCTTGGCAGAGTATGCGCAGAGTTCACAAAAGCAATCTGTTGCAGGCAGGATGGACGAAGCAGGAACCAGTAACTTGTTACTTATAGGTGTTTATTATATACAGTGGACTTCAAGTTACTATTTACAGGAACAAAACAGAACACAGATCTTTAACTAGCTCTCTCACCATACGACTCTCACACTAACTCTTAACTCTCAACACTCTACTAACACATTCCAGTCAGTAGGCCATAAATCATTATTCCTGGGAGTAAGCTTGACCAATGAGGGAGCTGTCTCCAGGCCTCTGTATCTCCAGGCAGAATTTACTCCTTTACAATGTCTTGGCTGTCAGCCAAACTCCTAACTGACTCTGTGTGAAGCTGCACATATTCAGATTCCCAACAGAAAGTGTCCTCAAACACTGATAATGTCACTTGTCTTCCTGGAGGATACAGAAGGGTTTACAATTCTCTGTACCAAGGTAAACCACACCTGGAAAGTTGAACATGTGGAGGAAAAGGGACCCAAGACCCGGCCTTACTTGACCTCTTTCAAAACCTTCTGTCATATGAGGGTTTCCATCCCCCAAACTGACTTCAGATTCCTTGCCAAATGAGGAGTGTGGACCCTGAAAGAGTGAGAAAACCATACAGAAAGCCTTTTTTTCTAAAACAGAGAGTGCAAACTGCCTTTTTACCCTGGGGGTTCCTAGTGTCAGTCCTGAAGGACCAGCCCCCTAGGGCAGTTTCAGAGATGAGAAGGGAGACCACTCAGCTGCAGACTGGGAGCGGTTCCATGGCACCTCAAGGATGGAATCACTTAGCAAACCTACATCGATGTTTCACCTGATTGGGGTACAAGGCACATTGAAACAATATTTCCAGCCCAGTGAATATGGAATGCCTAGTCAGATTAATGCACTGTGTGTTAGCTTCCTGTCTCTTGCACACCATGTCCTCTTGAGAGTTTCTTCTGTCACCTGCATCACAACAGGAAGATTAATGAACAGGGCTGACATGTCAGTATATCACAGAGCCCTATTAATAAGCAGAGACTTGGGCATTTGAGAAACTGCAGAACGGTCCCAGAGCTCTTTTCCATTATTGCAGTCTGGCTCGAGATCCTTTTCGAGAGTCAGCTATGAAGGTTCAATGGCTTTTCCTTGCTGTTTTTTCAGGAATGTTCCTGGTTTCTGAAATTTTGGTTTTGGGTAAGACGTCCATCCATTTTTGACACATTCAGACATAACTTATAGGATGGGGTGTGTGTGTCAAGAGGTGGTCCTCCAGAGCTTAGAGGACTCCAACTCTCATCATCCCCATCCCCATTGTCAACGACCAGGGGTGATGGGACAAAATCTAGAGGGCTAATCATTAGCCAGCCGTGTTACAGGTGTTTAAAGTGATGGGCTTGAAGGAGAGACTGCTTCAAATAATCAATCCATTATGTTGCATTCCATATCGTATGCACTTTTAAAATGTGTTGTTTTTGTGTGGAGGGTTCTTGTTTCTATTTCTATTATTTATTTTGTGGTTTTATATCTTGATTTCATTCTGTGAACCACCCTGAGATCCCTGGGTATAGGGCAGTAAAGATAAAGGTAAAGGGACCCCTGACCATTAGGTCCAGTTGTGACCGACTCTGGGGTTATGGAGCTCATCTCGTTTTATTGGCCGAGGGAGCTGGCGTACAGCTTCCGGGTCACGTGGCCAGCATGACTAAGCAGCTTCTGATGAACCTTGAGCAGCGCACGAAAACGCCGTTTACCTTCCCGCCGGAGCGGTACCTATTTATCTACTTGCACTTTGACGTGCTTCTGAACTGCTAGGTTGGCAGGAGCAGGGACCGAGCAATGGGAGCTCACCCCATTGTGGGGATTCGACCCGCCGACCTTCTGATCAGCAAGTCCTAGGCTCTGTGGTTTAACCCACAGTGCCACCCGCATCCCATAGGGCAGTACATAAATTCAAATAATAATAATAATAATAATAATAATAATAATAATAATAATATCCGTCTCCACTCCCACCTACATTTTTTATTCAGTGCATTGTATCTCTTCTCTGCCATTATAGCTAATAGCCACAGATAGATGCATGCAGGGAGCTCAATAACACATCTACCCTCCATGAGTATGTCTAATCTCTCTTTACAGTCATTTTGGCCACTAACCAAGAAGGCATAATCTGGGCGGCGGGATTCCCTAAATTAATTAATATTGTTATTTTGAAGAAATGCTTTTTACTGCCAGTCCAAAACAGCTGCCCCTTGATTTGATTGTGTGCCCCCACATTTTAAGATTGTAGGCAATGGAGAAATGTTTTCTTCGTTCACATTTAGAGATGGAGGAAGAATCCATTTTAAAAGGGTTGTTTTTTTGGTGGAGGGGGGAGGGCAGAGAATTTGTTGCCCTCCACCTAGTCCACCTTTGCCCACAAAAGGTGTGTGTGTGCCATGACATGTGATCAGTTATGGGGGACCCAAATTTTTTTATTTGAGTTGGCACGCTGGATAGACTGTTGTTCTTTGTTCAGGAGGCCATAGGATCAACTATAGGTTCAGTCTATGTAGAAGAAAGGGTGGGCGTTGCCACTTTCTGAAATGCCCTTCTGGAACTTGGAGCTTTGGGTCGTGCAACATAATACATCGCTGCTGTAAAAGGTGAGTCTCCGTTTATTGTAATGCTTGCACCCACTGTTCTTTTCTTTTAGACGTTATGCTTGAGGGTTTTTTTTTTTAAAAAAATATGTATTTCCACTTCACCCAAGCCTTCTTAATTACATTGCCATCACAAATCTTGGGAAATCTAGTTTGTTAAGGGTGCTGAAAGTTGTTAGGGGACTACTATTCCCCTCACAGTCCTACAGTTCCCAGGGTGGTTTTGAGAACAAAGGAAATAAAGTTAAGACAGAAGGCCAGGAAGGAAGGGAAACAAATGACCTCATATATCTCATGTGTATTTGTGGGACCACAGCTTGGAGGACAAAATTATGCAGTCTGTATTATTTTCTGTAATGATATTATCAGAGTCAAAGGACCTCAAACACATTTTCTAAACAAGTAATTTATTTTCTGAAAATATTTTCCGGTTATATGAACTGGGATTCCTTTTAGAATCTAGGAATAATAATCATTTTGAGAGCGTTCGTCTTTCCACAAAGGGTAAGGTCTAATGATTCCCATCTATCGATGTCTGAAGAAACCTATCTGTATATTTGTTTTATATTAAAAGTTACTAACTGATTTAAATCTCTTGGTTTTAACAGATTCGGGGAGAGATGTGGAATTTAAACTCCTTAAATGAATGGATAAGCAAATTTTCACCTATTGGCATCAGTTCCGATTTGGACCAGTTAATAAAGTATCCTGATATTTTGCCGGAAGCATCTATCATTTGCATCAACACAGCAATAGTAATATGAGGTTAAGAAATAAATGGAAGAAGATCATCTGAAAATAAAAACAACTGAATTATGGGCTATTCTGTAGATCTCCCGATATCACCAAATAGCGTAGGGCAGGGGTTGCAAGAAAATATGTACAAATATTTACTGAAGCACTTTCTGAATGCCTTTTGTCCCGCCGCCACCTTAACCTGCATCGTTTGTGCCAGATGTGGCCAGTATAAATGGACCCGATACAGCTGTGGCAATACTGGTTGTAGTCTGCACTATGAGAGGAAAAAGTGAAAAGCAAATGAGAGGCTAGCTCTCCTTATTTGGTCCTCCTTGCTGCCACCAAGTGGATAAATTTAATCTCTGAAATTACGGTAATTTACAAAGGGTGTGCAATTGTTCTGTGTTGGGGCTGAAGAATTGGACCAATTCAGTCAATTGCAATGTTAATAAAGTGTTTGCAGTTGAACTCAGGGGCCCACAAAGTCTTATGTCATTCCATTGCTCTATTTTTACGCACTCTCTACTTCCCTGTGCACTGTATCTCTGTGTTTGTCTGAGCCTCTCTGCTCCTCTAGTCCAAGAGCTTTTCCAGAAGTGAGGTTGCTTTAATGCCGTGTGATTTTTCTTTTCTTAAACCAGAGCTGTGAAGGATTTTTTTTAAAATCCCCTTCTTTGTTTGAATTTTTTTTTAAAAGCATTCCAGAACTGTTTGTAAGTTCACAGAGTGTATTAGAGAGGGAGATTCGCCTTGAAATGTAAAACTGAAGCATTTCCCGCCCTGAATACAAAAGCAACCAGCAGAAACTAAGCTGCTCAGTGTAAAGCTTGTATTCGTTTTTTGAAATGAAAGAAGAAGAGCAGTTTCTATTTGTTTAGCTATTCCCCAACCAAATTAATGGGGGCATCTTTGCTATGCCCTGAGCTCCCCCCTGGAAAGAAGAACCAGATAGTATTTGCTAGGTTGGACTAGATGACCCCAGGGTCCCTTCCTCCTCTACAATTCAATGATTCTAAGTAGGCCCATTACCCAAGGGGATTCAGCCCCGCTTAAATAGACAGCTTCTTTCCAAAGAACTTCGAATCGCCCTGTTTTTACTCCCTCCATATGCAATATGGGCTTTTTGAGTTGCCTGTTTCAGGGAGCTGAGCACTAATTTTGTGGGGAACCAGGAACTGGCCCAGAGATTCTGATATTTTGCCAACATCATACTGTTGTGATTTCTTGTTCTGGAGTGGTGTTTTGGTTGGTTAGTTGGCTTTTAGTCGGGCCAGAAGCATGCATAACTACGGGAGATCTCTTAGGGTAATGAGTTGTTTTTTTATGAAGGAATAAGAAAGCACATGTGCCAAAAATGTTTCTGTTGATTTTTTATTAGTAGTAGTAACAGCTGAAAGGAAGGAAGAGGTTCTTGACTTGGCAAGGATAGACTCGCACCATGTCAGATTCCTTGGAGCCCAAATTAACAGAGATGATTACTTGATATTAAATTTCTTCCACGGATGATCAAACAATGGTCCAGCTTTGAAATCCCTCCCAGTTACTTCATTTTGCTAAAGAAAAGAGGAAGAAGAGGTGGTTTAGTCATGATCACACATATTGAGAATACAGTCATACCTCTACTTATGTATCCCTCTGGATACGGAATATTTGGGTTACGGCCACGGCCTGTATACTTCTGGGTTCTGTAGCACATGCATGAGCAGCAGCACGCCTCTATTTACGTAATTTTTGGGGTGTGAATGGACCCTCAGAACGAATTAAGTCTGTATCCGGAGGGTCCACTGTATATAGTGTTACATATATGTGCTGGATCAGTTCCAGCAGTCATGCTCATGGCAGGTCCATTGAAATCAATGGGTGTACACTGAATGACATGGGAGATCACCCTGTAATTAAATAGCTGCCCTTCACCCGATGGTCAAAGGGTGAGTTACAGCAACTAACACTCAGAGCTCATCCACACTTGCACTTGTCCCATACCTAGGAAGACCCACACTCTGCTTGACCCACACTTTCTAGCCATGGGTCCACGTGGTTTTCCCCTTGCCCCACACCATTCGCAGGGAAAACCTGCTCTTTGGTGCAATCAGAGCAAGCGTCAACCGGAAGAAAACCCAAATTGCTCTGTTTGATAAACCCTCAGGGTTGAAAGCATTATAAATCAACTTATGACCACAAAAATAAAGAGAAGGTACATCTCAGGTGTCAAAAGCCAGAGTCTATTTCAGGCAGCACAAGAAAAGGCTGGTTTACTGGGCCAACTGTGCATTCCTCACAAGCCTCAGTCGGACTTCAATCAGCCTTCATGCCAGCTGCCCTACCTCCTTCCTTGCAGTCAGTCCAGATGTTGGCCCTGACTGTCAGCTTCCTTCTCCTCCAGCTCAGTTTTGCTCCAGTAGAAGCAAGAGAGGAGGAAGATGGGGACCAAACGAGAATTAGCTGGGGCTGCCTGCCATTGGCTTTGGTGCCAGCAGCTGTAGGTCTCTCTGCTTTCCTCCCTACCAGTCCCAATAGGCACCGTCCATGACTGGGAAGCCATACCCAAAGTATCCTTGTGTCATCCATTTAATTTTTGAATGAAATGCTTTAGCTGAGAATCCTGCATTGCAGGGAGCTGGACTAGATGACCCTTGGCGTCCCTTCAAGCTCTACATTTCTATGATTCTACGTGCAGACAGGTGACCTGTGCATCCCGCTTTTGCTGTAATAAACATTTACTAATAATTGTGAGATGTCTTAATGAGGAACGCAGACTTCACCTTTACAGCAGCGACGGAATCGGCCGCATTTTCCAATGCGCATAGATCCACGAGGGCAGAAGGCGAAAAAGCATTTACCACCAGCACTCTCACATAGATTGGTACCATTCCTCCATTTCATGTTTCCTGCTCAGAGAAAAACAGTCCTGTTACAGAACCTGTTACACAGAAGTCTAGAAGCATTCACACAAAGCAGAAATGATGTTATCTTTATGCATTACACTGGTGGTGAACATTTGTTTTGGGGATGAATGGGAAATTTTGATGAATGGAAGCCTTTCTTATTGCTAGTCAGCATGAAACAAACAGAATCTGTAATAACAAGTCCCCCGTTGAGTAGCCAGCTATTCATTCATCATTTTTGCCTTTCTGATTTCTCTGGCTTTCATTTCTCCATAGCCAGCAGTTGCCTGGTTGGTTGGCTGGATGGAAGGAAGGTGGAGGAAGACAGAAGCAAGCAGGGGAAAGGCACCTTTAACCCCCCAGCCCCATTATTCACTATAGCATTTCTGTCCCCCATTTTCATCCAAGGAGCTCAAGGTAGCGTAAATGGTTCCCCCTCTTTTATCCTCACAACAAACCTGTGAGGTTGGCTACAGTGAAAAGAAAATACAGTGGTAGCTCGGGATGCGAACGGGATCCGTTCTGGAGCCCCGTTTGCATCCCAAATGGAACGCAAGACGCGACGGCGTGACGGCGCGTCTGCGCATGCGCGGGCCACATTTCACCGCTACCGTGCATGCGTGTGACGTCATTTTGAGCTTCTGTGCATGTGTGAGCGGCGAAACCCAGAAGTAACACGCTCCGTTACTTCTGGGTTGCCGCGGAGTGCAACTCGAACGCACTCAACCCGAAGCGCATTCAACTCAAGGTATGACTGTAGTGACTGGCCCAAGGTCACCCAATGAGATGCATGACTGAGTGAAGATTTGAACCCAACACTCTGACCACTGCACCATGCTGCCTGTCTGCATCACTTGCATGTGGAGGGGAAGGCATGTCAAAAGTAAGGTGGGAGTCATGCATTTAAACGCACAACACAAAGTCACACTGCACTTCCTGGCTTTTTTTGCAGCAGGGACTTTTCTGTGTGCATGGAAGACCCAACTCTAGGGCCCATAATGGCATCAGATAAAATTCTCTTGCACAAGGCTTCCCAGGCATCCGACAGCTGTCTGTCTGGCATTTAGGAATGTTGCAGGATGTGCACTGCAAGTCCTGTTCTCAGCAGTTACCAATCATTAGACGCAGATGCAGATCAGGAGATCTCTCTGCTGAGCTAGGTTGTGCTCAGGAGCGAACCAGCCTGCTCCTTCAGTAGTTCCCTTGTTTCCTCATTGTGCTGAGAAGCCACCATGCCACCACCCTCTCAACCAAAACCAGAACTTACATGGCATGTTTCATTATTTCGGCTGCTTATTGTAAACCTTATGCTCCTTCTTGGACTTTTTGCTTTCTGTCACATCAACATCAGGGGGCCCAGGGCAACTTTCTGGTTGCACATGGCTCTCTGAGTGCGGGCTTAGCTCTGTGAGATTCAACATAGGCCAAAAACCTCTCTTCCCTCAGACCTAAGAGCACCCACTCCATTGTAACAAGCACAGATGGGTCTGATCCATTGCATATCCCCCTTACACAGTTCAAACTCTAAGGAAACAAAACCACTCAGGGAAGAATGCACTAGGTGATATCCTATTTCAGACAATTATCTGTGAGATGCTGTACCACTAAATATAACCTTGATAATCAGATATCATGGAAGACCACTCATCAGTGGCTTCAGCCATGTTTGAACGCAGTACATCTTTGATGACCACATGCAGGGGACAAGCTGGCCACCTCACATCTTAGCAGGCCCTGCTAGAAATTTCCAGTGCTGCAGAAAAGGAGGTAGCTACTTAGGTCCAACTCAGCATTCCTTCCAGAACATATTAGAGAGTTTCAGTGTAATGTCCAAGAGGACCATGCCTAAGAGCATGTACAGACTACTAATCACCATTGAAAATACTATCATTAGCTCATGATCCAGCCAAGGAGAAGTATTTCTAACTGAGTTCAATGAGTGAACTATTCCCAATGAAATGCAGTCCCGCCCACCATGTACGCTACAATCACCTTCATCCTCCAAAGCTTCATCGTAACCAGCTGGGTTTTCATCCTGAGGACCACTCAGATCTTCCAAAGCCTCTGCCTCTTGCTTCTCTGCTTGGTCCAGATCTGCTTCATCAGACTGGACAATGCCAAGGAAGACCACAGCAAAGAAAAGACAGATGAACTTCATGGTTCTTCTAAGACCTGTTGTGTGCTGCTGAAAGGAGTCACAAGGATGAACTGGCAATGGTGATGCCTTCACAGAGTTCATGCCTATATATGCAGGTGGGATGCCAAGATGGCTGCCCTAATGGGACAGGTTTCATTGTCTTTGAAGTAGCTCTCTAGATAAGGGTGTGAAATAAAGATGGATATGGCATTTGAGATTACTTCACACTTTGCAACACAATTCTCTTTGATGTTGCCCCCAATCTATAGGCCTTTTGTTCAGTGTTGCCATCTTTGTATTTGCACTGTTGCTAATAACCCTCTCGCTCCCCATATGCTTGCCTATTCATCTCCCCACCAGGCAGCTGGCACATCCTTGCCATAAACTACGAAACAATATTTATTCTATTGGTTCTGGGCTCTGAGAGAAAGAGGGGGGTGGAAGTCTGACACTGGGTGCATCAACAGCAGCTGCAACAAGGGCAAAATCAAGCTAGAAATGTAAAAGTCTGCTTTTAAGTACAAAAGAAAAAGAAAAACATACAAGATTGGGGAAACTTGCATTAGCAGCAGCACAGGTGAGATTATCTCATTATCTCAGCTCATTATTAGTTAAACAGGTGCCATCAATTGCCTGCTAAAATAGTCTAATCTTAGGCTGCAGGAACAAAGAAATAATGAATCATTATAGTCAGTGTTCTCTCGCCCCCTCCATAAAAATAGATTTTGGTACTTGCAATGACCCCTTCATGGATCACTGCCTTGCCGTGGCAAAGGGGCTTGAATAACTCAGAGAAACTATGAGCTATGTCGTGCAGGGCCACCCAAGATGGACAGGTCATAGTGGAGAGTTTTGACCAAACATGATCCACCTGGAGCAGGAACCGGCAATCCACTCCAGTATCCCTGCCAAGAAAACTCCATAGACAAAGACAAAAGGCATATAAAAGTTATGACGCTGGAAGATGAGCCCCTCAGGTCGGAAGGCGTCCAACATGCTACTGAGGAAGAGCGGAGGACAAGTACAAGTAGCTTCAGAGCTGATGAAGCGGCTGGGCCAAAGCCGAAAGGTCGCTCAGTTGCGGATATGCCTGGAAGCGAAAGGAAAGTCCAATGCTGTAAAGAAAAATATTGCATAGGGAGACTTCTGGGTTAGCGCCATCGGCGAATGGCGGAGTTCCTCCTACTGGAGGAACTAGCTCCGTGAAAACTGGGTCTTCCCGCCGCGGCAAAGGCGGGGACCCGCTAGAAATCCCAGGTGGAGGAAGCCTGGGAACGTGGGGTTCGGCAGGGCACCAGGAGCGCCCCCCCCTACTCACCGGGAACCCCTTTTTGGGGCGCCGGAGCAAAGTGGGGTGAGCGGCGCGGTGCTGCGAACTGATTGCTACTTTCACGGAGTGAAGCCGCATAGCCATTGCCGGAGAGCGCTGACTTTTTCCTGTGGACAATTGGATTTAAAACAAGTACCCGTGAGTAGAAACGGAAAATTGGATCAAGAAATATCTTAATTTGGCATCGAAGCGGGAAGGTTCAAAACAGGAAGTCCGCCTTCCGCTTTTTGTATATAGACTAAAGCAAAAACCATGTAAGCTAAAGTCTGGAAAGTCGTTAAAAAAGTCTAAATTTCCTTCATTTATAACTACTGAAACCCCCTTGGAAGCAGGAGAAAAGGGGGGGACTTTGTTTAACCCCTGCAGGAGAGGGAGTGAAGAAAGATAAGTTTCCACCGTCTCTAACCTGGGAACGGGGTGTCAGAGACAGAAATAGTTGGAGAGGTTCATTGACTGTGAATGGAATACTTTGACAGATAGCTAAAGAAGAGAAATAAACTGATTCCAATGTTGCCTTTTGCATTCTAAAGAAACAAAATATTTGAAAAATGAAAGTAATTTTCCCTTGCTGGACTTGCCTTAAAAAAAATGGATACAAATAGAAATTGTCTCCTCTAGAGGGAGCTTGTTAAATTGTTGCTGCAGTCTACTTGAGGACTCAACAGCTGTGAGATTAAGATCGTGGGACCAGTCTTTTCTGACCTTGACTAAATATGAGCTGGGAAGAAGTTTGGGTGCTTGCTTTATGCAAGACAAGTGCCTTGCTGGAACAGATGCATGAGAAGATGGATTTGATGAATGAGAAAATGGACTTGATGACTGTTGTGGTTAATAACTGTGGACAAACAGGGAATATTGATACAGAAACCATTCAGGGACCAACTCATGAACCTGTACTGACTGGGCAAGTGCAGAAGATAATGGAGGAGGATGCGGTTGCACCTCAAATAATACAAATGGAGAGACCCGAGGCCCTACAGGAGCATAAGCCGCTGTCATTGAAGACTGAAGTTGGAGTGGGCCAGGGGGAGTCTGGAGCTGAGGAGGTTCTTAACTTTGGAGAGACCTTGAAATATGCTTTTAAATACTTTTTGGATTACATTGATGACTGTGGGGAGTGGGACTGTGGGGAATGGGCTGGTTTGATGAAGGGAGATGGAGATAATTTTGGGTTGGAATCCCCCAGAGTCCTACTCCTCAATGAGAAAGGAAAGAAATTAAGAAAGAGACCAACAAAAGACAAGGAAAAGGGCAAGTATAAACAAGAAGAAGAAGATCTGCAGAAGGGACATGGAAGAGACTTAAGGGCCTCGGACATAAGATTACCAGGTTGATGGACTAGATGGAATGGACAGTAAGGACTGACACGACCCGAGACCAGGAAGAAGAGACGTTGGATGAAGACTGGAAGAAAATTGATTAAATTTTTTTTTTTCCTAGGGAATTGGCCTAAAATTAATGAATATTAGGGAAAATGTTGGAATGAAACTATATGACTCTAGTAGAAATGATATCAGGAGTTATGTATAATCGAGTATTAAGCTTTAAGCTCTAAAGTATTTTACGGTAAGATAAGGTTAAATAAACTAAGGTAATTCAAATAACAGAACATGGGGAAAAGATGGAAAGGATTTGTTGAGTTAATTAATAGGTTAAATTGTTAAGATAAATTATAATGAAAATTGAGAAAGATGGAAAGAATTTGCTGAAATAACTAATCAAATTAGAATACAAAAAGGGAGGTGTGAGGAGGTCAATGAAACAAGCAAATGGAAGTTAAAGATATGTAATATGGGATTTGTGGTTTTTTTTCTTTTCTTTTTGTATCTTTTTGCTGTATTGTTGCATTGGTTTTTGTGTTTTGCTTTTTTTTCTTCCTTTTTATGTATTGTAGTGTTGTTTTTAATTTTTTTCTTTTTTTCTGTAATTCTGAAACCTTTAATAAATATTATTTTTAAAAAAAAAAAAGAAGAAAGAAAAATATTGCATAGGAACCTGGAATGTAAGAACCATGAACCTTGGTAAATTGCGGGAGGCAGTGGAAGACAGGAGTGCCTGGCATGCTCTGGTCCATGGGGTCACAAAGAGTCGGACACGACTAATGGAATAAACAACAAACTTGCAATGAAGTTGTTACAGTGAGTAAGAACAAAAAAGAGGTGCTGGTACTGCGTACCTTTGAGTATCCCCTGGGAAAAATGCACTGGTTATAGTTTCACTCCGATCTACACAGCTTGGGTATTGTAAGTGGTTCTGAACACCATGCTGAAAAGGAGGCTGTCCAGAGTAGGATGGCCAGGTTGGTGAAGGGATCTCCTAATAAAAAATATTGGAAAGATAGAACTATGTTTAACCTGAAAAAGGTAAGATAAAGGACAAAGAAGATACCTGAAGAACTAATAGATCGATCAGGATGTTTCAGCTGTATGATGGTGAGGAAACAGATCAGCAGATGGGGAGGCAGGGGGTTATTAGGAAGGAGGTTAAGGTAAATAGGTGCTGCAATCCTGATGAAAGGACCAATATATTTGGAGGCAACATCAATGATAAATCGGCCATCAATCTCTAATCCCATATGTGGTATTATATTGCACTCTTACCAGGGGTGTGAATTCCAATATTTCTCATTAGGAGATCCCCTCACCAGCCTGGCCATCCTACTCCGGATAGCTTTCTTTTCAGCAAGGTGTCCAGAAACACCCCCCTCTTTCTCTCAGAGCCCAGAACCATCACAATAAATATTGTTTCATAGATTATGGCAAGGATTTGCCAGCTGCCTGGTGGGGAGATGAATAGGCAAGCATATGGGGAGCGAGAGGGTTATTAGCAACAGTGCAAATGCAAAGATGGCAAGACTGAACAAAAGGCCTACAGATTGGGGGCAACATCAAAGAGAATTGTGTTGCAAAGTGTGAAGTAATCTCAAATGCCATATCCATCCCTTATCTAGAGAGCTACTTCAAAAACAATGAAACCTGTCCCATTAGGACAGCCATCTTGGCATCCCACCTGCATATATAGGCATGAACTGTGTGAAGGCATCACCATTGCCAGTTCATCCTTGTGACTCCTTTCAGCAGCACACAACAGGTCTTAGAAGAACCATGAAGTTCATCTGTCTTTTCTTTGCTGTGGTCTTCCTTGGCATTGTCCAGTCTGATGAAGCAGATCTGGACCAAGCCGAGAAGCAAGAGGCAGAGGCTTTGGAAGATCTGAGTGGTCCTCAGGATGAAAACCCAGATGGTTATGATGAAGCTTTGGAGGATGAAGGTGATTGTAACGTACATGGTGGGCGGGTATTGCATTTCTTTCAGAGATGTTCACTCTTTCATTGAACTCGGTTAGAAATACTTCTCCTTGGCTGGATCATGAGCTAATGATAGTATTTTCAATGGTGATTAGTAGTCTGTACATGCCCTTAGGCATGGTCCTCTTGGACATTACATTGAAACTCTCTAATATGTTCTGGAAGGGATGCTGAGTTAGACCAAGGTAGTTGTTGTCGGCATGCAGAGGGTCACAAGGCCAGCTGGCTAGCCCCAGCTAGGTTGTGTCCTTGGACCCGTCCCGCTGCAAAGACGTAAATGAGCAACCAGGCTTCAAAGCCAGGGCACACTATCAGCAAAGCAAACTGCGCACACAGAATAGGTGTGAGGCTTCTGGAAGCATACTACAACTACGGATTTATTAATCATAAATCAGGACAAAGAAACATGTTCTCTCTCTCTTTGTCTTCTCGGAGAGATAGAGAAAAGCAAAAGCTATACACACAACAGAAGTTGCTAGCAGGCTGTGCTGGAATGTAAACAGACATGTGACACGCAACAGTTTCATGTCTGTAACTAAAGGTGGAATGGAATTTTCCAACAGTTACCTCCTTTTCTCCAGCACTGGAAATTTCTAGCAGGGGTGGCCAGCTTGTCCCCTGCATCTGGTCGTCAAAGATGTACTGCCTTCAGACATGGCTGAAGCCACTGATGATAGCTGATTATCAAGGCTATATTTCAGATAATTGTCTGAAATAGGATATCACCTAGTGTGTTCTTCCCTGAGTGGTTTTGTTTCTTTAGAGTTTGAACTGCGTGATGGGGATATGCAGTGGATCAGTTTCATTTGTGCTTGTTACAATGGAACGGGGTGCTCTTTCTTAGATCTGATGGAAAAGAGGTTGTTGGAGCGTATAATAAATAAATAAATAAATAAATAAATAAATAATTTTTTTAATTTATTTTTACCCTTCCCATCTGGTTGGGTTTTCTGGGCGGCTTCCAACAAATGATTAAAATGATTAAAAATACATTAAAACATCAGACATTAAAAACTTCCCTAAACAGGGCTGCCTTCAGATATCTTCTAAACAAAAGCTAGTGAAATCAGAAAGGCAAAGTGTGATGAATGAGTAGCTGGCTACTTAATGGGGACTTGTTATTACAGAGTCTTTTTGTTTCATGCTGACTAGCAATAAGAAAGGCTTCCATTCATCAAAAAAATCCCATTCATCCCTAAAACGAATGTTCACCACCAGTGTTATGCATAAAGATAACATCCTTTCTGCTTTGTGTGAATGCTTCTAGACTTCCGTGTAACAGGTTCCATGTAACAGGACTGTTTTTCTCTGTGCAGGAAACATGCAACGGAAGGATCGTACAAGGCAATGTTGGCGTTCTGGTGGTAGATGCTTTTTAGCCCTCTGCCCTCGTGGAACTACTCGCATTGGAAAATGCACCTTTTCATATCTCTGCTGTAAAGGTGAAGTCTGTGTTCCTCATTAAGACATCTCACGTTTAGCAGAAAACCTTTAAGATATCTCACATTTAGCAGAAAACATCTCAGACCCACTCTTCCTAGACATGGGACAAGTGCAAGTGTGGATGAGCTCTGAGTGTTAGTTGCTGTAACTCACCCTTTGACCATCGGGTGAAGGGCAGCTATTTAATTACAGGATGATATCCAATGTTATTCAGTGTAGACCCATTGATTTCAATGCGCCTGCCATGAGCATGACTGCTGGAACTGATCCAGCACATATATGTAACACTATATACAGTGGACCCTCCAGATACAAACTTAATTCATTTGGGGGTCTGTTCGCACCCCAAAAATTACGTAAATAGAGGCGCGATGCTGCTCATGCACGTGCTGCAAAATCCGGAAGTATACAGGCCGTGGCCGTAACCCAAATATTCCGTATCCAGAGGGATACATAAGTAGAGGTATGACTGTATTCTCAACATGTGTGATCATGACTAAACCACCTCTTCTTCCTCTTTTCTTTAGCAAAATGAAGTAACTGGGAGGGATTTCAAAGCTGGACCATTGTTTGATCACCCGTGGAAGAAATTTAATATCAAGTAATCATCTCTGTTAATTTGGGCTTCAAGAAATCTGGCATGGTGCGAGTCTATCCTTGATAAGTCAAGAATCTCTTCCTTTCAGCTGTTACTACTACAAATAAACAATCAACACAAACATTTTTAGTACATGTGCTTTCTTATTCCTTCATAAAAAAAACTCATTATTCTAAGAGATCTAGTTATGCATGCTTCTGGCCAGACTAAAAGCCAACTAACCAATCAAAACACCACTCCAGAACAAGAAATCCCAACAGTATGATGTTGGCAAAATATCAGAATCCTGTCTCCCCACAAAATTATTGCTCAGCTCCTTGAAACAGGCAACTAAAAAAGCCCATACTGAATATGGGCAGAAGGAAGGAGTAAAATCATGGCAATTCAAAGTGCTTTGGAAAGAAGCTGCCTATTTAAGCCTGTCTGAATCCCCTTGAGACTGGCCCACTTAGAATCATAAAATTGTAGAGGAGGAAGGAACCCTAGTGTCATCTAGTCCAACCCCCTAGGACTCCCTAGGTCAGTGATGGCAAACCTTTTACAGACCAGGTGCCCAAACTGCAACCCAAAACCCACTTATTTATTGCAAAGTGCCAACACAGCAATTTATCCTGAATACCAAGGTTTTAGTTTAGAAGGGGAGGTTGGCACATCCATGTGGAGAGAGAGTGGAGAAATAAGGTGGAACCTCGATTTTTGAACAGCTTTGTTCTCGAACTACTTGGAACCTGAACACTTCAAACCCGGAAATGCGTGTTGTGGTTTTCGAACTTTTTTCGGAAGCAGAGCGTGCTCTGTTCTTAGTATAACTTTCGTTTTGATTGCCACACTTCCATTTTCAGAGTGACGGAAGGCGGACTGGGCAGAAAGCGAGCAGGGACCTGCCGCCCTCCAGCACTGGGTCCCTCTGCTGCTGCAGCCACAATAGCAACCACCCCCTCCTCCAGCTCTGGAGCAGGCAAGTAGGATTGGGCTGCTCTGCTAGACAGCGTTGCTGCTTGCATGGGAACAGGAGCTGGATCGGGGCTGCTCAGCTGGGGAGGTGCAGGCTCCATCACACTTTCTGTTTAGGGGTTCGTGGCTGCACTCCCCTCAAGTGAGAGGTTTAAAGGAGCCCCCACCATTGCATCAGATCCCCTGCAACCCCATGAAGGCAGCCAGGCCGAATAGCTGCTGACGTTGGGGAAGGTGGAGGCAGCCTTGAAGCTGCATCTGAGAGCCCCTGCACCGCCTGAAGGCAGCCAGGCGCTCCTCCCCTGAGCTGCCCAATCCTGCTCCTACTTGCATGCAAGCAGGAGCAGGGCAGGGATCTCTCAGAAGTGGAGGTTTTGTTCTTCCCAGTTGAGAGATCCCCAAGGGAAAACCCACGCCCTGGAGGTTGTGGCTCCGTTTTGCACACACACCCTGACGCCCATCCGAGGCGCTTCTACTCGGACACAAGTTAAACGGATAACTCGACTCGCACCATCGCCCCAGCGCAGCAGCAGCAGCAGTTAAAGAGCCGCTGGGAATGGAAAGGGAGCTGGAGGAGGCTGTGGGAGGAGTGCAAGCGCCAGGACACACTGAAACAGAGAGAGAGAGAGAGAGAGAGAGAGAGAGAGAGAGAGAGAGAGTGTAGAAACCCACCCTCCCCGCCCTCTCGGCAGCCTGACGAGGAGGGCAAGTTGAGGTTGGGCGCAGCGCGTAACGGGAGGGAAGGCGAGAGCTGCTGCTATCGCAATCCTCATTGCCTGTCGGCCTGCCAGCCAGCCACTCTCTGCGCGCATGGCCGGGGTATGTATGTGAGACCCAGACAAGCCCAGCAGAGGGACCCCGCTTGGGGTGCTTTCCTGCATGGCCCTAATGTGCCCCGTTTTCCTCGGCCTGGTGGAAGGCGGCTGCGCAGCGCTCCACACTCCGCCCGAGTTGCTTCCCATCTCTGGCCAGGGCGTTTAGTTCCTCCCACTTTGTGTGCTTCAGCAAGCAAATTAGAGAGACCCCTCTTAATGAAGGTAACAACGTGGGTTACACTCTTACCTACATTCTTACTGCAGCACCCAGCAGGAATAATCACTGCTGAACGCGGCGTGCCTTTCTTCCAAAAAGATACAAGATATCGAGCTTGGAATATAGGTTTTTAGGGCTGCCATTCAATCCTGTACCCATTTATCAGGGAGCAATCCCCAGTGGGATTTATTCTAGCATACTAATATTAGACTTACTAATTGCCTTCTAAACCACCGTCTCAAGGCAATTTATGTCTAAGATATTGAAATAATAATAATAATAATAATAATAATAATAATAATAATTTATTATTTATACCCCGCCCATCTGGCTGGGCTTCCCCAGCCACTCTGGGCAGCTTCCAACAAAATATTAAAATACAGTAATGCATCAAACATTCAAAGCTTCCCTAAACAGGGCTGCCTTCAGATGTCTTCTAAAAGACTGGTACAGTGGTACCTCTGGTTGCGAATGGGATCCGTTCCAGAGCCCTGAGCAGAACGCAACCCACGTCTGCACGTCTGCGGGTCCTGATTTGCCGCTTCTGCGTATGTGCGTGATGTCATTTTGAGCATCTGCGCATGCGCATGCATGAGCGGCAAAACCCGGAAGTAACCCTTTCCGGTACTTCCGGGTCACTGCGGGACGCAACCTGAAAATGCTCAACCTCAACAAACGCAACACAAGGTATGACTGTAGTTGTTGTTCTCTTTGACATCTGGTGGGAAGGCGTTCCATAGGGCGTGTGTCACTACTGAGAAGGCCCTCTGCCTGGTTCCCTGTAACTTCAATGTGAAAGCATCCATGACTGATAGCCATCCAACCTCTGCATGAAAACTCCCAAGGAAGGAGAGTCCACTACCTCCTGAGAGAGACCATTCCACTGTCAAACAGCTCTTACTGATGTTCAGTCAGAATATCCTTTTGAAGGCATTGGGTTGAGTCCTACTCTGTATCTTATGATACAGTGGTAGAGAAATACTTTTTTAAAAACTGAAAAGATGCTACTCCTCCCCACCCCAAAATAAAACACCCCTAGAAGAGAATTTGCCCTTTTTCCTTGGGATAAATACTTTTTTAAAAACTGAAAAGATGCTACTCCTCCCCACCCCAAAATAAAACACCCCTAGAAGAGAATTTGCCCCTTTTCCTTGGGATAATAACAAGAGAAAGTACTGGGGGGGGGGGGGAAGACTTGGTGCTGTCCGTCAGGAAATATCTGTCTCCACCTGCCTTGCCTCATCCTCCACCTTTCAGGGACTGGACTGCTGATGAGAAGAGGCGGAGACCGCAGAAGCATTCCAGTGAGGGCAAAGGGGGAGAGAATAATGTTTTGGACTGGTGGTTTGTGACAGGTCACACCCCAGGAGAGAGGAAGGAGTTGGGAAATAATGGGTGGTGAAGGACAGGAGCAGTGCACAGAGGCAGGAGTCAGATCTGTGCAGCAGCCAAGTGACTTGCCATCTCTGGAGAGTTTGCCAGAGTCCCCGTCCTTCCCTAAGAACTAGGCATACTCTGCATGTCGCAGAACAAGGAGCCCAAAGGTGGTTTGCCCTTAGCAGCCACCATAAGCAGCAGGAGGCGTCTAATTGCTAGGAAGTAACAGCCAGGGGGCCGGTGGTGCGTTATTCCGAGCAATGCTGGCTTGATCGTAAGGTCTTTCCCCCTGTGTCTTATTGCCTTACTGTGGACAAATAAAAGAACTGAAAAGATCTTTCTCTCTGCATTTCTGATTTCCTGGGCAGATAGCCAGGAACTGTCAACAGCACCCACTCCTAGGAGGCGTCATAAGGGAGCTGTTCCCAGAGAAAGAACTGGGAGGGAGGAGAGGCGGGTTGGTTTCCCCTCTGCTGCCCCACATCCAACCCAATAAACCTTCAGAAAGGAGTTCCTGCCACAGGCAAGATGTGATGTGTATTTTAATGAGCTGAAGTCATGAGGATTGAGAAGAGTTTGTGTATGAATTCAAAAGGGCTTAGTTTATTTTTTTGTTTCCTATTTTAGTTAATGCTGTTAAGATTGTTGCATAGACTGTGAATGCTGTAGTACTTTGTGAATCCCATAATATGACTTCTGTTGTGATTATGCTGCTTTGCTTTTTGTTGTTGTTTTGTTAATAGTGTTTTACTGATTTGTTCATCATTCTATATGATTTGCGATGTTCTGTTCTGTTATTGTTATTTGCTCTTTGGAAGCTCATGTGGATGTAAAGTTGCATAGAAATAAAATAAATAAAATCAAATTAAGAAATCAAGAAAACTGAGACTTTTTCGGATAACTCGGGGCACTGGGAGAGTTTGTAGCAGTAGCAGCAGTGGTAGTTCAGTGCTAGTGATAACTAGGAGTAATTGAGTGCCTTGAGGAAGAATGAATTGGATGCAAACTCAATTTTAATTGAAAAGGAATGATTTAGCATTAATTCATATCGATCAGTTTCTTCCTCTGTTCCGATCATACGCTGTTGGTCTTTCTTGCCTCTCTCTCTCGCATGCTCTCTACTGAAAACGCACACAGCAGGACATAGTTGCAAAGCATCGTCCAACAGACTTCTCAGAGCGACCGCACTTGTGACGGCATCTGCCCCCCATAGAATTGCATACGATGGGATTTCTTGGGAGGGGAACTTCTACAGGGGGAAAAAAGGGAAGAGACTTTAACGTGCTTTTCAGGTATCTCACCCTTTTTCGGCTTAGCTTAGTGTTCAGCTCACTTTAACATAGCAGACACTGCTTTTCTGTAATAAATAAACGTTTTCCAAATTAAAGCATGATATATTTCATCTCCATGCATTTAGCGTCTTCTTTTTTTTTTTTTAGTTTCTCTCTTGTCCTCACTTTTCACCCCCTTCAAAAATTAAAGTTCCATTCACCACATTTCTATACTAGTTTGCAAATTTTATTTTTTTAAAGTCCTCATGAAAATCCATCAACCTTCTCCTAATAAAAACATATTTGCAAGCAAAGACAGACCATTTTTTCAAAGCAGTTTTACACAATATGGTACCTATTGCATGCCACTTTCATTAATATATGCATATTTAGACAAGTGTTGCCCAGGTATTTTATGCAATACTTTTTTTCTTTCTTGCCTCTAGATTACCGGTAACATTTTTGTTTTGACAAAAAATGACAACCATCTTTGCATTTTTCTTTATAAACCATACAAACACACACACACACACACACGAGAAAAAACAATGCCATACACCCCTCCAGGGGGAGCAAATTTGTCACACCCCTTCTCCCATGTGGTTTCCTATGGAACTATCCTAAAATGCGTGTAGCTGTTCTTATGGGCAGACTCCTTGGGTTACGCTTGCCCCAGTCTTCCATCCCAGAATGAAAGTGGGATCTCATAGGATTGCCCCAAAGTGAAGCACTTCAAGGAACTTCAGAGATGAACATGTTTTCAAAACTATGTAGACAATGCAAAACTTGTTGTGTTTCTCTTAACACTTCCCATATAATACCCAGGAAGTGGGGGCAGAAATGAAGCAAGACAGAGCTCTTGAAAGGTCCAGCTTCTGACCACATGAATTTTTTTTACAGAACTCTCCAGTTCCCCTTTTGGGCAGGGTTCTTGAAGTCCTCTTGTTCTTGTCTGATCTGTGCTTTTTGCTACATCTACTAGAGGAAAGTACGATACTGTAGGTCTCTCTGCTTTCCTCCTTACCAGTTCTAATGGGCACCATTCACCACTGGGAAGCACAACCCAAAATGTCTGGTTGCCATCCATTAAACTTCTGAATGGAATGCTTTAGCTGAGATTCCTGCATTGCAAGGAATTGAACTAAAGGACCATTGGGGTCCCTTCCAGTTCTACAGTTCTATGATTCTGTGTGCAGGCAGGTGACCTATGTACCCCATTTTTGCAGTAATAAGCATCTACTAATAAGCACGAGGTGTCTTAATGAGGAACACAGACTTCACCTTTACAGCAGCTCTCGAAAGAACTGCATTTTCCAGGGGGCACAGATCCACAAGGGCAGATGCCGAAAAAGTATTTATGGCCACCACTCTTACATTGACCAGTACCATTCCTCCGTTGCATGTTTCCTGTACAGAGAAAAACAGTCCCATTGCATGGAACCTGTTACACGGAAGTATAGCACAAAGCAGAGATGAAATGATGTTATCTTTATGCATAACACTGGTTGCGAACATCTGTTTTGGGGATGTATGGGAAATTTTGATGAATGGAGCCCTTTCTCATTGCTAGTCATCATGAAACAAACAGACTCTGTAATAACCAGTCCCCATTGAGTAGCCATCTACTCATTCATCACACTTTGCCTTTCTGATTTCTCTGGTTTTCATTTCTCCATAGCCAGCAGGTACCTGGTTGGTTGGTTGGTTGGATGGATGGAAGGTGGAGGAAGAGAGAAGCAAACAGTGGAAAGCCCCCTTACACCACCCCTCATTATTCACTATGGCATTTCTGTTTCCCATTTTCATCCAAGGAGCTGAAGGTAGCGTAAATGGTTCCCCCTCTTTTATACTCACAACAAACCTTGGCTACAGTGGGGTGGGGGTGGGGAGTGACTGGCCCAAGGTCAGCCAGCGAGCTTCATGGGTGAGAGAAGATTTGAACCCAACACACTGACCACTGCAGCATGCTGCCTGTCTGCATCACTTGCATGTGGAGGGGAAGGCATGTCAAAAGTAAGGTGGGAGTCATGTATTTAAACCCACAGCACAAAGTCATACTGCACTTCCTGGCCCGGTTGCTACCATCATTCATGTTCAGCATAATGCATGCAGCAGGGAGCTTTCTGTTTGCAAGGAAGACTCAACTCCAGGGCCCATAATGGCATCAAGTCAAATTCTCTTGCATAAGGCTTCACAGGCATCCAACAGCTATTTGTCTGGCATTTAGGAAGGCTTCAGAATGCTCATTGAAAGTCCTGTGCTTAGCACTTCCCAAGCAGGAGATAAGGCAACTTGAGCAGCTGCAGACCAGGAGATCTCTTGGCTGCACTAGGCTAGGCTCAGGAGCAAACGAGCCTGCTCCTTCAGCAGTTCCCTTGTTTCCTCCTTGTGCTGAGAAGCCACCATCAGCTCAACCAGAATCAGGACTTACTTACATGTTTAGTTGTTTGGGCTTCTTATTTGAAACCTTAAGTTCCTTCTTGGACTTTTTGCTTTCTCTCAAATCAAAATCAGGGAGCAGGCTGTCCATCTCCGATCCTAGCAGGCCCAGCTAGAAATTTCCAACACTGGAGAAAAGGAGGTAAACTACTTGGGTCTAACTCAGCATTTCTTCAGGAACATATTTGTGGGGTCTATGTAACTGGGGGGAAAGGAGCAGAGTAGCTGCATATACAGGGATCTAGACTGGAAATGCCAGACGCTGGTGGTGCTGTGGGTTAAACCACAGAGCCTAGGACTTGCTGATCAGAAGGTCGGTGGTTCAAATCCCCGCGTCAGGGTGAGCTTCCGTTGCTTGGTCCCTGCTCCTGCCAACCTAGCAGTTCAAAAGCACGTCAAAGTGCAAGTAGATAAATAGGTATCGCTCTGGAGGGAAGTTAAATGGTGTTTACGTGTGCTGCTCTGGTTCGCCAGAAGCGGCTTAGTCATGCTGACCACATGACCCGGAAGCTGAATGCCGGCTCCCTCGGCCAATAAAGCGAGATGAGTGCCGCAACCCCAGAGTCGGCCACGTCTGGACCTAATGGTCAGGGGTCCCTTTACCTTTACGTAATGTGTGAGATGACCACACCTAAGAGCATGTACAGCCTACTGATCACCATTGAAAACATTGCCATCAGTGCATGAGCCAGCCATGATCTAATTGAGTCCAATGTAAGAGTGAAGACTTCCCAAAGAAATGCAGTCCTGCCCACCATATATGTTCCAGTCTCCTATGTATGCTACAATTACCTTCATTCTTCAAAGCTTCATCATAACCAGCTGGCAAAGCTGGGTTTTGGTCCTGAGGACCACTCAAGTCTTGTTCTTCCCCTTGATCCACATCGGCTTCATCAGCCTGGGCTCTGCCAAGGAAGACCACAGCAAAGAAAAGACAGATGAACTTCATGGTTCTTCTAAGACTTGTTGTGTGTCACTGAAAAGAGTCACAAGGATGAACTAGCAGTGGTGATGCCTTCACAGAGTTTGTGCCTATATATGCAGGTGGGAAGCCAAGAAGGCTACCCTAATGGGACAGGTTTCATTGTCTTTGAAGTAGCTCTCTCAATAAGGGTGTGAGATAAGGGTGAACATGGCATTTGAGATTACTTTATTCTTAGGAACACGGTTCCCTTTGATGTTGCCACCAACCTGTTGGCCAATCTGTTCAGTGTTGCAATCTTCCTATTTGCACTGTTGCTGTTGCTAAAATCCCCTTTGCTCTCCATATGTTTGTTCATCTCTCCATCAGTCAGCTGACACATCCTTGCGATAATCTGCAAAGCAATATTCAACAGGAGCTGCAACACATGCAGAATCAAGGCACTCAGCAACATTCATAAAGAGAAGGTGCTTTATAACACTGTGAAAATGTGATTTCACTTTATAGAGCTTACAACTCGATTAACTGAGATGCTTCTTTGACATGCCTAGATCATAGCTGTCAACTTTTCCCTTTTCTTGCAAGGAATCCTATTCGGAATAAGCGAATTTCCCTTTAAAAAGGGAAAACGTTGACAGCTATGGCCTAGATCCAGCCAAGGAGAAACGTTGAAATTCTGCTTTTAAGTACAAAGTGGGGGGATGGGACAAGATCTGGAAAACTTGCATTAGCAGCAGCCCAGGGGAGAATTTTAATTGTTTTAGCTCATTAGAAGCTAAATAGGTGCCAGCAATTGCCGGCTAAAATAGTCTAATCTTAGGCTGCAGTAACAGAAGCATAGTATCCAAATCATGAATGATTTATATAGATTCACTTTGTTCTACACTTTTTTCCCTACACAACCTGGGTCCTGGGTCTGGTTCTGGGCACTACATTGAAAAGGAGGAGGCTGTCTGGAGTATTATGGCCAGGTTGGTGAGGAAAACTCCTAAGAATAATTATTTGAAAGACTGGATTCTGTTTAACCTGGAAAAGGCACGATAACAGAGACCAGGCAAATCTCTTCAGTTACCCAAATAACAACTAATAGACTGTGATCAGGGTGTGTCTGCAATGTGATGGTGAGGAAACAGGACAAGGGATGGGGAGCCAGGGTTTGTTTAAGGAAGGTGTTAAGGTAAATAAATGCTGTAATTCTGATGAAAGGGCCAATATATTTGGAGGCAATGTCAAAGATAAATCGGCCATTAAGTATAAAGTAATCTCAAACACCATATTGCACTCTTTTCAAGGGTGGAAATTCAAATCCAGTAGAACACAGCCCATTACAAATCCTGTACATAGGAATATTTTATTTTTAATAATAAGAGTGGCTTGGGCAACCCAGCCAGATAGGCAGGGTACAAATAATAAAGTTGTTGTTGTTGTTATACCCTGCCCATCTAGCTGGGTTGCCTTGCTGAGCAATATGTTGGGCACCAGTTTGACTGCTATGGGATTCGTCACAGCCCCTTAACAATCCTATATATAGGAATAAATTCATTCTGCTGTTAATTATCTTTATGGCCTTGCTGAGCAATATGTTTGGTACCTGTTTGGCTGCAGGAGTTGCTGGAATCCAACCATCTTAGGGACTTCACTTGGATTTGTGTTGAGTTTACTCCCTAGCCTTTTCTTCTCCCAAAGATATCCTACAAGGAAGTGGAGATTTAGGATCAGAGTTTTGCTTCTCCTACATGGGCTGCCTTCTCAGGTTGATGAGCCCCATCTCCCCCCTCACTTCCCTCTACAGCACGTGCAGAAACCACCTTCTTGACCATTGGACCCACTATTGGTCTTGTCCACTCAATCTTCCAGAGCCTGTCTTCACATTCAGGGGAAATCCCAATCCCACCGACGGTTTGAGACCCATTGGATACACTGACAACTGCTTTGGCCACCCAGTCGAAGCCATATCCTAGGGTGGCACATATTGACAGCTTCATGGATCCACAGATGAGAGCTGAATACGGCTGAGGAGGACCAAAGGTGGACAAACTACCATAGAAGGAGCAAGATGTGTCTCACAACAGAGGTATCACCCCACCCCTAACACCCCATAGATACCCAGTTCATTAGTGCTTTGAGGAAGTGCTTTGAGGAAGAGTGAAATAATAATATTTACTTAGGAATAAGTCCCATGTAACTGAACGGGATGCACTTCTAAGGGGACAGTCTTAGAACCATAGAATTGTAGAGTTGGAAGGGACCCTGAGGATCATTTAGTCCAACCCCCTGCAATGCAGGAATATGGCAGCTGTCCCAGAAGGGGATCGAACCTCCAACCTTGGTGTTATCAGCACCAAACTCTGAGATACCCAGTGAATTGGATCCAAACATCATTTAAATTGAAAAGGAAGAATTAAGCCTTTATCACTCTTGACTGAGCGGTGGTATCACAGTCCGGGTTACGGGCAGTCAGAGTCCTGGCTTGGTACATCGGGACCGGAGTAGAGGTCAGGAAACAGCAGTCCAGGGTCAGCGCTCCAGGGTTCAGGAGGCCAAGAGTCCACAAATCAAGAAACCAGGAGTCAGGAAGCCAAGGGTCCAAGAGTCAGGAAGCCAAAGCACAGCTAGGCAGGTAGCATGTTGCCATGGCAAAGAGCCAGAGGGAAATGCTGGTCTTATATACCCCTCCTGGCCTGTCAAGCATCACCTGTGCAGTAGCGCCGTGCCCTTCCAGACCAAACTCAGGAAGCCCCCAATCCTGCGAGGCCCTACCAATCACAGGGCCTGGCTCCTGCAAGCACTCCTAACAGGTGGTTTCATATTATTGTAGAGTTGGAAGGGATCCCAAGGGTCATCTAGCCCAACCCCCTTCAATGCGAAAGCATCCATGACTGATGGCCATCAAACCTCTGCATGAAAACCTGCAAGGAAGGAGAGTCCACTACCTCCTGAGGGAGACTGTTCCACTGTCAAATAGCTCTTCCTGTCAGAAATGTTTCATCAGATTCTCCTTTTGAAGGCATTGGGTTGAGTCTACCCTGTATTTTATGATACAGTGGTACAGAAATCCTTTTTTAAAAAATTGAAAAGATGCTATTCCTGCTCCCCCCAAAAAACACACACCCCTAAAAGAGAATTTGGGGTGACCTTTTCCTTGGGATAATTAAAAGAGGAAGTACTGTGAGGAGGGAGAAACTTGGTGCTGGCCATCAGGCAATATTTTTCCCCACCTGCCTTGCCTCACCCTCCAGCCCTTGGAGCCTTCGTAAGGGGAAAGGTTTCCAGAGAAAGAAGTGTGGGGGAGAGACAGCTTGTCTGTCATCAGAGGGGGGTTGGTTTCACCTGTGCTGCCCCACATCCCACCCAATAAACCTTCAGAAAGGAGTTCCTACCATGCGCATGATGTGGATGTGCATTTTAATGAGCTGAACAGAGTGGGAGATTTTGAGTCATAGGGGCTGAGAAACGTTTGTGCATGAATTCAAAAGTGCTTAATTTATTTTTTGGTTCCTATTTTTGTTTGTGTTGTTAAGATTGCTGTATGGGTTATGAATGCTGTAGTACAGGGGTAGGCAACCTAAGGCCCATGGGCCACATGTGGCCTATGGGGGTCATTTAACCGGCCCATGAGGTGCCCCCTAACCAAGCCACCCACTCGGCAAGTCCCTGCGCACTGCGCTAAACCTGTGCAGCGCAGAATGGGGAATCGCTTCCGCGGCACCGGAAATGCCGTCTGCGCAGACACAGATGCCGGAAATTGCAGGCGCGCACACTCACACACATGTGCAATCCTGCCCACAGAGGGATCTCCGCTGGAGTGAACCGGCCCAGGCAAAGTAAACCTTGCTGACCCCTGCTTTGTGAATCCCATAATATAACTTTTGTTGCAATTGTGCAGCTTTGCTTATTTTATTTTTTTGGTTGTTTTGTGAATTGTGTTTTAGAGACTAATTGTTTTACTGATGATTTGTTAATTGTTCTATGTGATTTAAGTGGCATTTGTGGTGTTCTATTGTTATTTATCGTTTGCAATATATAGGCTCCTGGTATAAGGAAGTTTTTAATGTTTGATGTCTTACTGTGCTTTAATTTGTTGGAAGCTGTCCAGAGTGGCTGGGACAATCCAGTCAGATGGGCGGCATTTAAATAAGGCCTTATTATTATTATTGTTGTGGTTGTTATTTGCTTTGCGATTCATGTGAATGAAAAGCTACCTAGAAATATAATAAAAAATCAAGAAAACAGACTGTTGTGGATAATTTGGGGCATTGGGAGAATTTGTAGAAGTAGTTACAGCAGCAGTGGTAGTTCAGTGCAAGTGACAGCGATGAGTGATTGAGTGCTTTGAGGAAGAATGAAACACCATATATACACTGAATTGGATGCAAACTCAATTTTAATTGAAAAGAAATGATTCAGCATCAATTCATCTTGATTGGTTTCTTCCTCTGTTCCGATCAAATGCTGTTGGTCTTTCTTGCATCTCTCTCAAGTACGTTTTCTACTGAAAACGCACACAGCAGGACCTAGTTGAAAAGCATCGTCCAACAAGCTTCTCATTTTGACCGCACCTGTGACGGCATCTCCCCCCCAGAGTAATGCAATAGATGGGAATTTTTGGGCAGGGAACATCTTCTGCAGGAAAAAAAAAATAGCAAGAGACTTTAACATGCCTATTGGGTATCACTCGTTTCTTGGGCTTAGCGTAGTGTTAAATAGCGGACACTCCTTTTCTGAAATAAATAAACGTTTTCCAAAGTAAAGCATCTCCATATGTTTAGCTTTTTCTCTTTTTTCTTAGCTCTGGTTTTCATTTTTATAGGGTTTTTTTCAAGTTGGCTTTACTGTAAACTGTTTTGAGTTATGAGAAAATAAAAAAAATCTGAAGAAGTGTGCATGCACACAAAAGCTCATACCAATAACAAACTTAGTTGGTCTCTAAGGTGCTACTGAAAGGATTTTTTTATATATTTTGTTTCGACTATGACAGACCAACACGGCTACCTCCCTGTAAGGTAAGAAAAGTTTCTAACAAAAATAAAATTAATGATGGTGATATAACAACAAAAGCTTCCTCTCATCTACACAGGTGTTGCTGGTTACACCACTGTAGTAATCTACACAGGTTTGGGTAAGGCTACTCTGCAGAGAGGTTAGGGATCTTGTTTCTCTCTGAACATGCTATTAGCCCCATTGCCAACAATGAGCAGTGGATGACTCTGTCAATTTCAGTTTCTCTTGCACTGCCCCACCTGCAAATAATGAAGTTCCATTCAGCACATTTATATAGGTAAAGATACCCCTGACTTCCCCTCTAACCCTCCATGGTTTCCTTGTTTCCCCTTATCCTGCTGTATATTATACCTAACATCCTTCTTCATCCTTACTTAATATCTACATTGTTTTACTGCTGATTACAGTCTAAATCCTACTTGCGTATTAATCTGTTATTAAAAGGTAAAGGTAAAGGGACCCCTGACCGTTAGGTCCAGTTGTAGATGACACTGGGGTTGCGGTGCTCATCTCGCTTTATTGGGTGAGGGAGCCGGCGTACAGCCTCCGGGCCATGTGGCCAGCATGACTGTCAGGGAAGAGTTAGAAGTTTCCAGTTTCTCAGAGGGAGAAAGCATTCCCCAAGGGGGGAAGGAGAGCAGTGAATCTAATAGAAGGGAGCAAGAGGAACAACAGGGAGGGACCAGCTGTTCACAGGAAAGGCAAGGGTTAAGTTCTAGCTCAGATTTGGAGGAGGGGAGATACAGGCCAGCTCTAGCCAGGAGGTTAGAAAAAAGAGCGGAAAGCGAAGGGAAAGGCGCCTTCGCCATTTTGAGGGTGTCTGGTCACGGAGAAGCAGAGCTCAGAAGGTATCTGAAATAAGTGACTCTGAGGAATAATAGTTAAGAACCGTTTATAAGAATGTTTTGTTAATACGCAATAAAAAGTTTTATAAAAGAACAAGAAGCGTTTGTGCGGTGATCTGAAGAGGACAACGACCAGTCCTGACAATGACTAAGCCACTTCTGGCAAACCAAACCAGCGCACGGAAGCGCCATTTACCTTCCCGCTGGAGTGGTACCTATTTATCTACTCACACTTTGACATGCTTTGGAACTGCTAGGTGGGCAGCAGCTGGGACCGAGCAATGGGAGCTCACCCCATCGTGGGGATTCGAACTGCTGACGTTCCCATCGGCAAGCACTAGGCTCTGTGGTTTAGACCACAGTTCCGTTTGCAAATCTTAATTTTAAAAAGCCCTCATGAAAATTAATCAACTTCCTACTAATAAACACATATTTTCAAGAAAAGCCAAACATTTTTGTCAAAGCAGTTTTATAATTGTATAATTATAATTATTTTAGTTATTATTCATACCCTGCCTATCTGGCTGGGTTTCACAGCCACTCTGGGTGGCTCCCAACACAATATTAAAACCACAATAAAACATCAAACATTAAAAACTTCCCTAAACAGGGCTGCCTTCAGATGTCTTCTAAAAGTCAGATAGTTGTATATTTCCTTGACATCTGATGGGAGGGTGAAATACCGATGAAATCCTGTCCTGCCCACCATGTATGTTGCAATCTCCTATGTATGCTACAGTTACCTTCATCCTTCAAAGCTTCATCATAGTCAGCTGGCAAAGCTGGGTCTGGGCCCTGAAGGCCAGGCCAGTCTTCCAAGGGCTTTCTCCATTGCTTTTGCCCATCGGCTTCATCAGACTGGGCAATGCCAAGGAAGACCACGGCAAAGAAGAGACAGACGAACTTCATGGTTCTTCTAAGACTTGTTGTGTGCCCCTGAAAAGAGTCCTGAGGATGAACTAGCAAATGCGATGCCTTCACAGAGTTCATGCCTATATATGCAGGTGGGAAGCCAAGATGGCTGCCCTAATGGGACGGGTTCCATTGTTTTTGAAGTAGCACTCTAGATAAGAGTGTGAGATAAGGGTGAATTTGAGATTACTTCATCCTTAACAACACAGTTCTCTTTGATGTTGTCCCCAATCTGTAGGACGTTTGACCAATGTTGCACTCTTTGCATTTGCACTACAGTGGTACCTCGGGTTACAGATGCTTCAGGTTGCAGACGCTTCACTTTACAGACTCAACTAACCCCGAAATAGTACCTCGGGTTAAGAACTTTGCTTCAAAATGAGAACAGAAATTGTGCGGTGGCGATGCGGCGTCAGTGGCAGTGGGAGGCTCCATTAGTTAAAGTGGTACCTCAGGTTAAGAACTGTTTCTGGTTAAAAATGGACCTCCAGAACGAATTAAGTTCTTAACCCAAGATACCACTGTACTTCTAATAACCCTCTCGCTCTCCAGATATTTGCCTGTTCATCTCTCCATCAGTCAGCTGACACACCCTTTTCTAAATTTTATTCTAACTTGAATAAAACATTGTGGGGGCCCAGGAAAGTCCGGCTCTATGTAATCGATCACATGGCACAGCGCACACACCCCATTTGATTGGGAATGCCCTTTAACTTTGGGGGGACCCAGCCCCCTCAAATATTTTATTGTGGGTGCCAAAAAACCCTTGGCCCCTAGGAGTTGGCTCCCACGTCCTTGCCATAATCTGCTAAACAATATTTGTTGTGATGGTTCTGGGCTCTCGGGAAAAGACTGGGAGGAAAGACTGGCACTGGGTGCTTCAACAGGGGCTGCTACAAGTGCAAAATCAAGCTAGAAATGCAAAAGATTGTTTTTAACATACAAAAGAAAAAAGAAACACATGCATGATCATGATCAGGGAAACCTGAATCAGCAGCAGCTCAGGTGAGATTTTCCAGTTGTCTTAGCTGAACAGGTGCCAGAGATTGCTGGATAAAATAGTCTAATCTCAGGCTGCAGTAACAGAAGCATAGCATCCAAATCATGAATGGTTATAGTTTCACTCCATTCTACACGACTTGAGTACTATGTCTTGTTCTGAATTTACATAGATTCACTTTGTTCTACACAAACTGTACACACAACTTCAAAGGAACAGGTTGGTGAAAGGATCTCCTAGGAATAAATACTGTACTGGAAAGTTTGGCCATCCAATCTCTGCTTAAAAAGGAGGGTCCACTACCTCCCAAGGGAGACCATTCCACTTTTGAACTGCTCTTGCTCTCAAAAATAATGCTTAGTCAAGTTCTCTGTTCTTGTAACTTGAAGACATTGGGTTGAGTCCTACCATGATTTATTTTATGACATAGTGGTATAGAAATACCTAAACAAACATTTTTCAAGATGTGTATTTTAATGAGCGGAGTATTATGAGTCATGAGAGTTGAGAAGAGTGTATGAATTCAACAATGCTTAGTTTATTTTTTGATTGCTATTTTTCCCTCGTTGTTAAGATTGGTTTATTGGTTATGAATGCTGTAACACTTTGTGAATCCCATAATATAACTTTTGTTGTAATTGTGCTGCTTTGCTTATTTTTTTAGTTGTTTTGCTAATAGTGCTCTTTAACCTGTAATTGTTTTACTGATGATTTGTTGAATGTTCTATATGATTTAAGTGATATTTGTCATGTTCCATTATCAGCTTGCAATATATTATTTCACCGCACAGGGAAGTTTTTAATGTTTAATGTCTCACTATGTTTCAATTCATTGGAAGCCACTCAGAGTGGCTGGGACAACCCAGTCAGACTGACAGTATATAAATAATAAATGTTGTTGTTGTTATTTGCTTATTTATTAGCTTTTTGTGATTCCTCTGAATGAAAAGTGGCATAGAAATACAATCATACCTTGGGTTGAATATGCTTCGGGATGAGCGCATTCAAGTTGCGCTCTGCGGCAACCTGGAAGTAATGGGTTTCGCCGCTCACGCATGTGCAGACGCTCAAAATGACGTCATGCACAGAAGTGGCTAAAAGCGACGCGCGCGCACACAGACGTGCCATCGCTAGTTACGTTTGCTTCTCGATGCGAATGGGGCTCCGGCACGTATCCCGTTCGCATCCAGAGGTACCACTGTATGATAAGTCAAATCAAGAAATCAAGAAAATTGTGACTGTTTCAGATAATTGGGGGCACGGGGGGAGTTTGTAGTAGTAGTTACAGCAACAATGGTAGTTCGGTGCTAGTGATAGCTATAAGTGATCAAATGCTTTGAGGAAAAATGAAATACCAGATAGCCACTGAACTGGAAGCCAACTCAGTTTTAATCAAAAAAGAGAGGTTTAGCATTAATCCTTCTTGATTGGGAGGTGGATTCTTCCTCTGTTCCGATCGTACGCTGTTGGTCTTCCTTGCATCTCTCTTGAGTAGGCTCTCTACTGGAACCCCACACAGCAACACATATTTGCAAAGCATTTTCCAACAGACTTCTCATTGGCATAGCATCCGGGGCGGCAATTTCCTCCCATAGCATTGCATACCATGGCATTTCTTGGGCGGGGAACATCTTCTGCAGGAAAGAAAAGAAAAGGCAAGAGACCTTAACATGCTTATCAGGTAGCTCTCCGTTCTTTGGCTTAGCTTAGTCTTATCTCACTTTAACACAGCGGGCACTGCTTTTCTGTAAGGTTTTCCAAATTAGAGCATAATATACCATATTTCTTGCTTTATAGGACACACTTTTTCCCCTCCAAAAATTAAGGGGAAATGTTTGTGCGTCCTATGGAGTGAATGCAGGCTCCTTGGATTCAGCGAAAGCAAAGCGAAGCCTCCAAAGCTCAGAGGGAGCGCTCCCTCTGTGCTCCGGAGGCTACGAGTTAATTTCGATGAAGCCTGGAGAGCGAGAGGGGTCGGTGCGCACTGACCCCTCTCATTCTCCAGGCTTCAGGGATAGTCGCCTGAAGCCTTTGGAGCACAGCAAGACTCTACTGGCTTCAGCAAAGGAATCCGAAGCCTTTGGAGCATAGCGCTAGTTCCCGCTGCACTCTAAAGTCTTCGGGTGGCTATCCCTGAAGCCTTTGGCGAGCAGCGGGAACTCGCACTGTGCTCCAAAGGCTTCGGGGTTAGCTGCGCACAGCCTCCACAGTGCCTTCACCCCGTTGCCCTTCGGAGGCTTCAAAGGCTGTCCCAGAAGCCAGAACAGCGAGACGGAGCGCTGCACAGTGCTCCATCTCGCTGTTCTAGCTTGGGGATGGCTGCGCAAAAAAACAGCACTCCATCTCGCTGTTCTACTTGGGGATGGCTGTGCAAAAAAACAGCGCTCCATCTCGCTGTTCTAGCTTGGGGATGGCTGCGCAAAAAAAAACAGCGCTCCATCTCGCTGTTCTAGCTTGGAGAGGGCTGTGCAAAAAAACAGTGCTCCATCTCACTGTTCTAGCTTGCGGATGTCTGCGGCAAGCCCAAGAGGCTCAGTGGTTTAAACCACAGCATCACCTGTGTCCCTTGCTCATGGCTACAAAGATTCCTGTTGAAAACAGGCCAGAAAGCAAGCACTTCCTTTCAGGGGTCCTCTTTACTTGGTGGCTCTGACCAGGAGCTCTTGAGTGAAACTAATCCCAATGGGGTTTGCATTTGGTGCAAAAACTAAAGGGTGCCGAAGTCCTCATTTGTAGAGGTAAGATCAGGACCAGATTCCTAGTTGTTCATTTGCGTGGACAGGCGGAGTCCCCAGATCCCGAGCGGTCCCTCCCATCATGTGGAATAACGACTCAAGACAACGTGCTATAGGATTAAATTGGCCACAACTTTATTAAATTTCAAATGTGGGTAGACCTTGGCTCAGGCATTGGGCGTTCTCCCTCCCCAGTCCCCAGCCGGGGACCTAGGGAGCATCAGGGTTATCTAGTGTGGGTGGGGGGGATGGGCCGGCTCTGGAGAACATATGTTCAAGCAGAGATAGCCGCCCCCGTCACGCCACCGCTGCAGGGGAGAGCAATGATGACCTTTCGGCGTACGGTCAAAGCCTCCCTTCAGAAACCCCTTTAATGGGGAACCCTGGTATCGCCGCCGCAAAGAGGAAGATGGACTAAAGGATTCCGCCCAAGGCCTGATACGGCCAAAGTTGTGATGTTTTGCTACAGGAAAGGCAAAACCTTCCAATGCAGGGAAATTCCTTTCCGGCCCTTTAACAGCAACCTTAACGTAGCAGCGCCCACATACCTGTGAAGAAAAGTTAACCTGCAAAATAAGACATTAACTGAGGGTGGGTAGGGTGGGAGAAGCTCTGGAGCCAAGTGAGGATTCCCAGGTAAGATCCTCTCTCTATTGTGTGGGCAGGTAATCCCTCCCCTACCTGGCCTGGTCTCCTTGGCAACGCTTCCCCCAGGTGGGATTGGACAACTGATTGAGGTAGGTGGGGACCTCCAGGTATCCCACCTGAGGGAAGGCAAAGCCAAGCCTATGCTGTTGGAGCCGCTCCAGATCTAGGGGCTGCGTGCGTCCACGCAAAGGGCGCCCCCCGTTTTAAGCGGGGAGTGGTAATTGCCACTGCAGCTTGACTTGCCCCACACCTAATGTTATATGAAGTCAGGTGTAGGGCAGGTGGCCATGACTTGATGAAAACAGACTTTGGGCCCAAATTAGAATCCCTGATGGGTCTAATTTGACCCATGGGACAAAGGCTCCCAAGACTCGTTTTAGATAACACATGTCATCCTGTAACCTCTTTAGCTCTCTCAAAGGCTTTAGGGCTCATATCTGACATTCAGAATGTGGTTGCAAGGCAAATCCTGGTTTTTTTGTGAGCGACTGAGAAGTGAGAAAGTGGCAGCATCTTTACTTCAGAACCAATAGTGATGCTGATACGTCTAAACAAAAGTGGTGGCCAAATTGGTCTTCTGTATATACTGTGTCTTCTTGTGTGCAAATCAACTGACTTTTGGCTGGGTGAAGAGACAGGATTCTGGAAACAGCTAATGTAAGAATCTGTGGGACCTTGCATGATGCCCTTCAACTCTAGACCTAGTGGTAGAAGCCAGCAGATGCAGGAGATTGAGGGCATGAGAAAAGAAACAAATTGGAAAGGTGAAGGAACCACAATGATATGGACACACTATTGCAAGAGGAGGGGAAAGAAAGAGAAAGGGGGAGGGATAAGGTTTTGCTTAATTCTACTCACCCGCTGGCATTTGGGCATCATCTTCTGCTAAAACATCAGGATTTGGCTTAGCCGTTGCCTGGAAAACCAAGAAGGCCAAAGCGAAGAGCACAAAAGCAGTCTTCATGGTGCACAATTGGCTGGGATCTCAGAATTGCAGGAGAGAAGAGCAAGGCTGAAGAATGGTTGAAGGACGAGATTGCAGAAACCCTTTATTTATACAAAATTTTATGGGAGTGGGCCAGCGAATTTATGATCAGTAAACTTCTCAGGGCAAACATCCTGCAACATCTGTCAAAACCCCACCTGGAGAGTAAATCATGTGGGAGTATTTGCTGATTATTGGGCAATTATTGTCATGGTGATCCTTTGCAACACAGTGGAGGACCAAGAATAAATGCATCACCCCAAACATCTTAATCTGACGGCTTTATGCAGTTGTCAAATAGTATATGCAATAAGGTAGGAGTTGGGGGCATTTATTTAAATGGCTATGAACTGCACTGGGGTGGGGTAGGGAATTAAAAGCCCACAATCATGCAACAATATCAGTGAAGCACCAAAGGGTAAAAGTGCCCTATCGGAAGATACCAGTGAGCGAAGTGGAACATTAGGAATCAGAAAGTCCAGAAGATAGTTTGGGCCCAAGAACCTTGAACATAGACTTCAAAGAATTGGAAGGGGCTCCCTCGGCCTGAAATGCAAAATAAGCGTTGCACCCCATAGTTGTCTTTGACTGGACAGCATAGACCTGAATAATGGCCTTGTCCAAGCAGGTGAATTCTGTGGCCCCTTGAGAGTGGTGAAAGCACTGAAACAGGACACAAGGTGTTGGGTCAAAACTGTCCAAAACTTCACAGACTATCAGACACAACAGGGTTAGCATGGCAGTAGGACAAGGATAAATTCCTCATTCCACTCAGCCTTCACTGATTGAATAGGACTCCATTGTGGCTGGGAAATGCCCCAACTCCTTCGTTGAGAACCACCCAGCATTGAACTCTGTCATGGGGCAAGCCCAGCATCCAGGCTATTGCTTGATGACTGGAGTGGGAGATTGCAGCCAGGCAGATGTTTCAACCTGAGCTTAGGGTGTGCCAAAGCTAATCCATCCCATCAGGGTCCACTCATTACTATGCTGATTCTGCCCTGTGCCATTTTCGCCACAAGGAGTTACTGTAACACCGCAGCTTAACTACCACCATACTGTTAATAATGAGGTGTGGGACATGCCCAAGTGACTCACTTGGGTAGCAGTTGGGGGATCATCTTCCTCGGTTCCAGGGGGTTAAGCTGGATTTTTATGGAGGGAACTCTATATAACCCTGCCCCCAAAACATGGGAACCTAAGTCCCGCACAGGACGTCTGCAATCATGGGCATATCTACACCAGTCACATAGACATTTTCCTTGATTGTAGTTCCAACACACTACTGTGATGGGCTGACCCTCCAAGTGCCCCTATTTTCCAGGGATAGTCCCTGATTTAGAGAAGCTGTTTTGGTTTCTGATTTGATCCCGGAATGTCCCTCTTCTCCTCAGGACGTCCCTATTTTCATTAGAGAAATGTTGGAAGGTTTGAAGTTATGCGACTCCACCAGCCAAGGAGATAAGTATACAAATCTTTAGTTACAGGTAGGTAGCTGTGTTGGTCTGGGGAACAAAATAAACAAAATAAAACAAAATAAACAAAATTTTAAAAATCCTTACAGTAGCACCTTAGAGACCAACTAACTTTGTTATCGGTATGAGCTTTCGTGTGCATGCACACTTCTTCAGGCATATTCATATACAAATCTTTAGAAGACATCTGAATGCAGCCCTGTATGGGGACGTTTTTAAATGTTTAATGCTTTAAAAGGGAAAGGGAAAAGGAAAGGGACCCCTGACCATTAGGTCCAGTCGTGACCGACTCGGGGGTTGCGGTGCTCATCTCGCTTTATAGGCCGAGGGAGCCGGCGTACAGCTTCCGGGTCATGTGGCCAGCATGACTAAGCCACTTCTGGCAAACCAGAGCAGCACACGAAAACGCTGTTTACCTTCCCGCTGGAGCAGTACCTATTTATCTACTTGCACTTTGACATGCTTTCGAACTGCTAGGTTGACAGGAGCTTGGACCTAGCAACAGGAGCTCACCTCGTCGCGGGGATTCAAACCGCTGACCTTCTGATCAGCAAGTCCTAGGCTCTGTGGTTTAACCCACAGTGCCACCTGCGTCCCCTTGTTTAATGCTTTATTATGTTTCTATATGTGTTGGAAGCTGCCCAGAGTGGCTGGGGCAGCCCAGTCAGATGAACATCATCATCATCATCATCATCATCATCATTATTATTATTGAATCTGACATCCCTGTTTTCATTTGTGAAATATTGGAGGGTATGGGTGGGTCACAGTATGGGGGTCTAACATGGGCTGTCTTGCCTTTCTCAGACAGTCCAGTGGGCCATATGGGGAAGAAGACTGCCACAGGCCAGAAACATTAAAGAGGGCGGGTGCCATCCACCTGCCTCCCCAGTAGAGAAGGCCATACCATGCCTTACAGCTCCAGAAGGTGCTGCCAGGAGAAAGGTTGGCCCCGACTGCATCTTTCAAGATCCCTCAAGAGCCTAAGAAGGATATGGGATATGACCGCCACACCACTTTCCAGACACTGTGTCCCGAGGGTGGGGGGAGGCATTACACGCAGTCACCTGAAGGAGCGTCTCCACCTCCATCGTTCTACCTGGACACCGAGGTCCAGCGCCAAGGGCCTTCTGGTGGTTTCCTCGCTGCGAGAAGCCAAGTTACAGGGAACCAGGCAGAGGGCCTTCTTGGTAGTGGCACCAGCTCTGTGGAACGCCCTCCCACCAGATGTCAAAGAGAAAACAACTAGCAGACTTTTAGAAGACATCTGAAGGCAGCCCTGTTTAGGGAAGCTTTTAATGTTTAATAGGTTATTGTATTTTGGTTTTCTGTTGGAAGCCACCCAGAGTGGCCTGATGGGCGGGGTATAAATAATATATTATTATTATTATTATTATTATTATTATTATGATGCACAGAACAACGCTTATGATATTGGCAGTTTTATTTCCCACTGCTTCCCTACAATCCCTAGCTCAGAATTTGCATTTTTCACAGACTGAGTCAACATCTTGCTTGAGCTATCTACCATGACCCCAAGGTCTTGTTCCTGGTCAGGCACCACCAATGGACCACCCTATGGCCATCTGTTTGAAATGCTTTTGCCACTTTGCATTTGCTCACTTTCCCATTTTGTCACCCATTCATTTAGTTTGGAGAGGTACTTTTGGAGCTCTTCGCAATCCCCCTTTGTCCTGACTGCTGGCAGCTGGTGCAAACGTCCCCATATCCCAATCCATTTCCAGGCCTTTCACCGTAAGTATAATAATAATAATAATAATAATAATAATAATATTTTTTTATTTATTTATACGTGTGGGTGTCCTTGGAGCATCGTATTGTGGAACATGGGAGACGGCTTTATCCAGGGTCAGACCGCTGATTCATCTAGCTCAGGTTTGTCTGCACTGAATGGCAGCATCTCTCCACCATTTCAGACAGGCATCCTTTTCCGGTAAAACCTAGAGATGAACTTTCTGCATGCCAAGCATATGCTCTGTCCTTGAGGAAAGGCCCTTCTCTTGGCAAGCTTTTCTTGCAGCAGCAGGCAGCCGCAGTGCAGGAGGTCATCCGGGAAATAATGTCCTTTGCATCCACTCTTCCTGTAACTGTCATAAAAAAGGATATTTGAACTTCGTTCTTTCCATTTCAAGGAGCGAATATTGGGGCAATTCAAACAATTTATAAATGAGTGGTAAATAGTCTTTGCAGCTGGAGAGCGGGTGTGCTGTTCTGGGTCAACATAGGAGTGAGATCTAGCCCAAGGACAAGCTTGTTTCCTCATGCTCCAGAGGGCAGGACTCAAACCAATGGCTTCGTTACAACAAAGGAGATACCAACCCAACTTCAGGAAGAACTCTCTGACAGTAAGGTCTGTCAGTGGTATGGTGTCCCTCAGGAGGTGGTGGACTCAGTGGTGGAGGAAGTGGGGGTGCGGGCCACCCCAAGTGTCATCACAGGGGGAATGACAAAATGACAAAAATATGAGGGTTTTATTTTTTAAAAAATGGACTCAAGAAACTTTTTAGTTCAGTCAACAAACGTAACAAATTGCGGCTGGCACTGGGTGCCACACTGCGGGGGCCGGAACTTCTTTGGCGATCACTCATAGCCGAGTAAGATTGTCTTCCATAGGCACGGTTTTAACAATGAGTCTGTAAGTTGCTGTGGAGGCCAATTCTGGACCCACACATCCTTCCACAGTGGGGACATTGGTTCCCGGGCTGGAATTGATCATGGTGAGGGTTTGCCAAGCATGCCTTCTTCTTAGCACGTTTCTCCCTTTCATCCTGAGTTTGAGCGCCTTCAAAGCCCATGACACCTTTGGGAAAGGCTGTTCTCCAATTGGAGCACTTGCAGGCCAATGTTTCCCAGTTGTCAGTGTTTATACTACATTGTTTTAGATTTGCCTTGAGAGAGTCTTTAATCGGCTTTTGTTGACCACCAGCATTACACTTTCCATTTTTAAGTTCGGAATAGAGTAGTTGCTTTGGAAGACGATCATCAGCCATCCACACAACATGACCAGTCCAATGAAGTTGATGTTGAAGAATCGTAGCTTCGACACTGGTGATCTTTGCTTCTTCCAGAACACTGGTATTAGTTTGCCTGTCTTCCCAAGTGATGTGCAAAATTTTTCGGAGACACTGTTGATGGAATCTTTCAAGGAGTTAGAGATGGCGTTTATAAGTGGTCCATGTTTCACAAGCATATAACCATAGAGCCTGCAGCTTGCCTGAGCCACGTGTCTCTCCTGGGAGTGATGTGGTGGCTTGGCTGCCTGCAGGCTCCACACTGCCTGAAACAGCAGCATGGAACTTGTGCCTGCCCTCCGCCTCTCCCTTGGTCACCCTACAGCTGGGGGGGTGGCAGAGAGGCTTCACGCAGCACGCCCTGCCCCTGACTACAGGATGTGCACACCACCCTCAGCAGCTGAGCGGCTAGCTCCATCGCTGGGTGGACTCTCCGACCTTGGAGGTTTTCAAGCAGAGGTTGGATGGCCACCTGTCATGGATGCTTTAGCTGAGATTCCTGCACTAGGACTTCCTGCACTGCAACTAGGGGTTGGACTAGTGGACCCTAGGGGTCCCTTCTGACTCTACAATTCTATGATTCTATAAGGATAAAACCCAGGTAGTGGGGGTGGAAGTTGTCAGGAGCTTGAGTAGAACCCTGGCAGAGACACATGCCCGACTGGCAAGTTCTCTCCCTCCTGGTCGATCGTTTGGGAGCTTCAAAAGCTTTCTTCAGCCCAAACATCATAGTGACCGATGCCAACAGACACCAGCACACTTAGGGATCCGCAGAATTTTCACAGTTTGCTTAACAGATCTCAGCAACTCAGCATTTTGGCTAATCTACTGGAAAAGGATGCCTGTCTGAAATAGTGGAAAGATGCTGCCATTCAGCGCAGACAAACCTATGCTAGATGAATCAGCGGTCTGACTCTGGATAAAGCTGCCTCCAAAGTTCCACAATATGATGCTCCAAGGACACCCACATGTGGATATTACTTTCAAACAGATGGCCATAAGGTGGTCCATTGGTGCCTGACCAGGAACGAGACCTTGGGGTCATGGTAGATAGCTCAAGGAAGATGTTGACCCAGTCTGTGAAAAAATACTAATTCTGAGCTAGAGATTGTCAGGGAAGCCGTGGGAAAGAAAACTGCCGATATCATAAGCGCTGTTCTGTGCATGACTGCGCATCATGGCTCCCCCCACCCCAGGGACACAGTGTCTGGAAAGTGGTACGGCGGTCATATCCCGTATCCTTCTTAGGCTCTTGAGGGATCTTGCAAGATGCAGTCAGGACAAACCTTTCTCCTGGCAGCACTTTCTAGAGCTGCAAGGCATGGCGTGGCCTTCTCTAGTGGGGAGGCAGGTGGATGGCACCCACCCTCTTTAATGTTTCTGGCCTGTGGCAGTCTTCTTCCCCATGTGGCCCCTGGACTGTCTTAGAAAGGCAAGACAGCCCATGTTAGACCCCCATACTGTGACCCACCCATCCCCTCCAATATTTTCACAAATGAAAATAGGGATGTCCGATTCAATAGTAGTAGTAGTAGTAGTAATAATAATAATAATAATAATAATAATAATAATAATATGCTTATTTATACCATGTCCATCTGACTGGGCTGCCCCAGCCACTCTTGGCAGCTTCCAATGCATATAAAAACATAATAAAGCATTAAACATTTAAAAACTTCCCCATACAGGGCTGCATTCAGATGTCTTCTAAAGATCTGTATACGAAACAAAATAAAAAAATTCCTTCCAGTAGCACCTTAGAGACCAATGAAGTTTGTTATTGGTTTGAGCTTTCATGTGCATGCACACTTTTTCAGATACACTTCACATGCACACGAAAGCTCATACCAATAACAAACTTAGCTGGTCTCTAAGATGCTACTGGAAGGAATGTTTTTTACAGTGGTGCCTCGCAAGACGAAATTAATCCGTTCTGTGAGTGTCTTCGTCTAGCGGTTTTTTCGTCTTGCGAAGCAACCCTATTAGCAGCTTAGTGGATTAGCGCTATTAGCGGTTTAGCGGCTATTAAAGGCTTATCGGCTTAGCGGATTAGCTGCTAAAAGGCTATTAAAGGCTTAGCGGCTTAGATAAAGGGGGGGGGAGCGGAAAAAAAATCTCAAGACTCGCAAGACATTTTCGTCTTGCGAAGCAAGCCCATAGGGAAATTCGTCCTGCGAAGCAACTCAAAAACGGAAAACCCTTTCGTCTAGCGGGTTTTCCGTCTTGCGAGGCATTCGTCTTGCGGGGCACCACTGTATTTTGTTTCGACTATGGCAGACCAACACAGCTACCTACCTGTAACTAAAGATTTGTATAGTTACTTATCTCCTTGGCTCAGGGGGTCACATAACTCCATACCCTTCAACATTTCTCTAATGAAAATAGGGACGTCCTAAGGAGAAGAGGGGACGTGGTTGGCGCTGTGGGTTAAACCACAGAGCCTAGGACTTGCTGATCGGAAGGTCGGCGGTTCGAATCCCCGCAACGGGGTGAGCTCCTATTCCTCGGTCCCTGCTCCTGTCAACCTAGCAGTTCGAAAACACGTCCAAGTGTAAGTAGATAAATAGGTAGTGCTCAGGAGGGAAGGTAAACGGCATTTCCGTGCTCTGCTCTGGTTCGCCAGAAGCGGCTTAGTCATGCTGGCCACATGACCTGGAAGCTGTACGCCGGCTCCCTTGGCCAGTAAAGCGAGATGAGCACCGCAACCCCAGAGTCGGCCATGACTGGATCTAATGGTTAGGGTCCCTTTACCTTTTTTAAGGAGAAGAGGGACATTTCGGGATCAAATCAGAAACTGAAACAGCTTCTCTAAATCAGGGACTATCCCTGGAAAATAGGGGCACTTGGAGGGTCAGCCCATCACAGTAGTGTGTTGGAACTACAATCAAGGAAAATGTCTATGTGACTGGTGTAGATATGCCCATGATTGCAGAAGTCCTGTGCAGGACTTAGGTTCCCATCCCTTGAGGGTAGGGTTATATAGAGTTCCCTTCATAAAAATCCAACTTAACCCCCCTGGAACTGAGGAAGATGATCCCCCAACTGCTACCCAAGTGAGTCACTTGGGCATGTCCTACACCCCAGTATTAACAGTATGGTGGTAGTTGAGCTGCGGTGTCACAGTAACTCCTTGTGGCGAAAATGGCACAGGGCAGAATCAGGATAGTAATGAGGTGACCCTGATGGGAAGGATTAGCTTTGGCACCCCAAAGCTCAGGTTGAAACATCTGCCTGGCTGCAATCTCCCACTCCAGTCATCAAGGAAGAGCTTGACTTACCCCATGATGGAGTTCAATGCTGGGTAGTTCTCACTGAGGGAGTTGGGGCATTTCCCAGCCACAACGGAGTCCTATTCAATCAGTGAAGGCTGAGTGGAATGAGGAATTTATCCTTGTCCTACCGCCATGCAAACCTGCTTGTGTCTGATAGTCTGTGAAGTTTTGGACAGTTTTGACCCAACACCTCGTGTCCTGTTTCAGTGCTTTCACCACTCTCAAGGGGCCACAGAATTCACCTGCTTGGACAAGGCCATTATTCAGGTCTATGCTGTCCAGTCAAAGACAACTATGGGGTGCAACGCTTATTTTGCATTTCAGGCCGAGGGAGCCCCTTCCAATTCTTTGAAGTCTATGTTCAAGGTTCTTGGGCCCAAACTATCTTCTGGACTTTCTGATTCCTAATGTTCCACTTCGCTCACTGGTATCTTCTTATAGGGCACTTTTACCCTTTGGTGCTTCACTGATATTGTTGCACGATTGTGGGCTTTTAATTCCCTACCCCACCCCAGTGCAGTTCATAGCCATTTAAATAAATGCCCCCAACTCCTATCTTATTGCATATACTATTTGACAACTGCATAAAGCCATCAGATTAAGATGTTTGGGGTGATGCATTTATTCTTGGTCCTCCACTGTGTTGCAAAGGATCACCATGACAATAATTGCCCAATAATCAGCAAATACTCCCACATGATTTACGGTACTCTCCAGGTGGGGTTTTGACAGATGTTGCAGGATGTTTGCCCTGCGGCTATTTATTCCACAACTGAGAAGTTTACTGATCATAAATTCTCTGGCCCACTGCCACAAAATTCTGTATAAATAAAGGGTTTCTGCAATCTCGTCCTTCAACCATTCTTCAGCCTTGCTCTTCTCTCCTGCAATTCAGAGATCCCAGCCAATTGTGCACCATGAAGACTGCTTTCGTGCTCTTCGCTTTGGCCTTCTTGGTTTTCCAGGCAACGGCTAAGCCAAAGCCTGATGTTTTAGCAGAAGATGATGCCCAAATGCCAGCGGGTGAGTAGAATTAAGCAAAAACTTATCCCTCCCCCCTTTCTCTTTCTTTCCCCTCTTCTTGCAATAGTGTGTCCATTGTGGTTCCTTCACCTTTCCAATTTGTTTCTTTTCTCATGCCCTCAATCTCCTGCATCTGCTGGCTTCTACCACTAGGTCTAGAGTTGAAGGGCATCATGCAAGGTCCCACAGATTCTTACATTAGCTGTTTCCAGAATCCTGTCTCTTCACCCAGCCAAAAGTCAGTTGATCTGCACACAAGAAGACACAGTATATACACAAGAGCAATTTGGTCACCACTTTTGTTTAGACGTATCAGCATCACTATTGGTTCTGAAGGAAAGATGCTGCCACTTTCTAACTTCTCAGTCACTCACCAAACACCCAGGATGTGCCTTGCAACCACATTCTGAATGTCAGATATGAGCCCTAAAGCCTTTGAGAGAGCTGCAGAGGTTACAGGATGACATGTGTTATCTAAAATGGGTCTTGGGAGCCTCTGGCCCATGCGTCAAATTAGACCCATCAGGGATTCTAATTTGGGCCCAAAGTCTGTTTTCATCCAGTCACGGCCACCTGCCCCACACCTGACTTCATATAACATTAGGTGTGGGGCATGTAAAGCTGCAGCGGCAAAAGAACAACTAGGAATCTGGTCCTGATCTTACCTCTACAAATGAGGACTTCGGCACCCTTTAGTTTTTGCACCAAATGCAAACCCCATAGGGATTAGTTTCACTCGAGAGCTCCTGGTGAGAGCCACCAAGTAAAGAGAACGCCTGAAAGGAGGGGCTTGCTTTCTGGCCTGCTTTCAACAGGAATCTTTGTAGCCATGAGCAAGAGACGTGGGTGATGCTGTGGTTTAAACCACTGAGCCTCTTGGGCTTGCCAATCGGAAGGTCGGTGGTTTGAATCCACATGACAGGGTGAGCTCCTGTTGCTCTGTCCCAGTTAGCAGTTCAAAAGCATATCAGCACAAGTAGATAAACAGGTACCACTGCAGCAGGAAGGTTAACTGTGTTTCCGTATGCTGTGGCACTCGTCATGGTGTCCCGTTGTGCCAGAAGCAGTTTAGTCATGCTGGCCACATGATCTGGAAAGCTGTCTGCAGAGAAATGCCAGCTCTCTCAGCCTGAAATGCGACATGAAGGTCACACCCCATAGTCGCCTTTGACTGGACTTAACCGCCCAGGGGTCCTTTACCTTTACCTGTAACCATGGCTTGAATTCAAGCAGAGGAAGCAAAGACTCCAGAGCACTTCTGAGTGTACTTTCAATCCTTCCCTTTGATTTGAATCACCAATGCTTGGTGATGGACAGTTGGCCAGCATCACCTATCTGTCAAAAGTGGTCCAGTTCTCCCTTCGGCAGCACATATACTAAATTGGAACGATACAGAGAAGATTAGCAAAAGTAGTCCAGTTCTGCATCTCAGCCACTGGCTGCTGGATCTAGTTTCTTTCATATAGACCCATTCCAATATGGCTTCACGTTTGGGCATGACTTTGGTTACCCTGACGGATGACTTTTATCGGAAGTGATGTGGTTCTAAACCAGAGTTTCACAAACATGGGTCTCCAGCTGTTTTTGGACTACAATTCCCATCTTCCCAAGCCACTGTTTCTGTTAGCTAGGGATGATGGGAGTTGTAGCCCCAAAACAGCTGGAGACCCAAGGTTGGGACACCCTGGTCTACTTTCTTGACTCTCCTTAACTTCTCTGTGGCTTTCAGTACCATGAGAACAGAGGGTTAGGGGCACAACTTTGCAGTGTCTCCACTCCTCTCTTAAGGGCCACCAAGAGGGAATAGAATCGGGATGCTACCATTTAGACCTATAGCATTGACACTGTGCGGTCCCTCAATGTTCCATATTGCCTCCCTTGCTGTTTAACATTTATGTGACACCACTGGGAGATGTTATCCAGAGATCGGGATACCCAGCTCTCTCCCTCCATTCTATCTGAATCAGGAGAAGCTGTGCAGGTGCTGGGCCAGTGTCTGGAGGCAGATGGGGGTTAATAAACAGAAGCTGCATCCTTACAGTTATTTCTTGGATATGAGAATTTGGAGGACAGTTACCGTATTCTGGATAGGGCACCAGACTTCCTGAAGGAGCAAGTGTGCTGCTTGGAGGTGCTCCTTCATTTTAGATGGGCAACGAGTGCCTATGCCCAGTAATCACTGACAGTCTCCCATGTAGACTTTAATGAGCTCTGTGTGGATCTGACATTGAAAGTGGTCCAGAAGTTGAGGCTGGCAGAGAATACTGCAGCCCAGATGCAATGGGGCACCATTGGACAGGAACACATCCTGCGTTGGCTGCCAGTGAGAGAACAGATCTGATTCCAGGTAGTCACTAAGAATGATGGAGAAATTTCATTCGGTTAGCAGTTAAAGGTTTAACTCCCTAATTCACACTTTCCTGGAAAATACACAAATGGAAACACAGCCATCCTTCAAAATTGACACATTACTCAATTTTGTTTTTAAATATTTTTTATTAGGGTTTATAAAGAAAAATGCAAAGATTATCGTCAAATATCTTCTCTTTTTTTTGGTCAAAATGAAAACTTTAATCTAAAGGGGGCAAAGAAAAAGAGAATAACAGAAAATACTGGGGTAAAGCATGTCTAAATAGGCACGCACATATTAATGAAAATGGCATGCAACAAGTACCATATTATGTAAAAGTGCTTTGGGAAAATGTCTGTCTTTGCTTGCAAAATATGGGTTTATTAGCTGGTGAATTTTCATGAGGACTTTTTAAAAATAAAATCTGCAAACTAGTATGGAAAGATGGTGAATGGAACTTTGTTTTTTTGTGGGGGTGGTGGAGGAAAATGGGGACTTCAGAGAAACTGAATTTGACCAACTCACCCAATGTTCTTTGCTGGCAACGAGGCTGATATCTTGTTCAGAAAGAAACAAGATCGCTGACCATTCTTCAGAGTAGCCTTACCAAAACCTGTGCAGATGTTTGCAACAGTAAAACCAGCAGCACCCGTGTAGAGGAGAGAAAGTCCATTGTTATATCATCGTTATCATTAATTTTATTTTGGTTAGACACTATTCTTACCGCATAACTCAAAGAGCGGTTTACAGTAAAACCAACCCCCCCCCAAAAAAAACAATAAAAATGAGAACCAAAGCTAACAAAAAAAAGGTGGGAACATATATTATGCTCTAATTTGGAAAACTTTACAGAAAAGCAGTGTCCGCTATGTTAAAGTGAGATAGGACTAAGCTAAGCCAAAGAGAGGAGAGCTACCTGATAAGCATGTTAAGGTCTCTTGCCTTTTCTTTTCTTTCCTGCAGAAGATGTTCCCCGCCCAAGAAATGCCATGGTATGCAATGCTATGGGGGGAAATTGCCGCTCCGGATGCTATGCCAATGAGAATCCTGTTGGAAAATGCTTTGCAAGTATGTATTGCTGTGTGGGATTCCAGTAGAGAGCCTGCTCAAGAGAGATGCAAGGAAGACCAACAGCGTACGATCGGAACAGAGGAAGAATCCACCTCCCAATCAAGATGGATTAATGCTAAACCTCTCTTTTTTGATTAAAACTGAGTTTGCTTCCAATTCAGTGGCTATCTAGTATTTTATTCTTCCTCAAAGCATTTGATCACTTATAGTTATCACTAGCACTAAACTACCATTGTTGCTGTAACTACTACTACAAACTCCCCCCGTTCCCCCAATTATCTGAAACAGTCACAATTTTCTTGATTTCTTGATTTGATTTATCATACAGTGGTACCTCTGGATGTGAACGGGATACGTGCCGGAGCCCCGTTTGCATCTAGAAGCAAATGTAACTAGCGACGACATGTCTGCGCACGTGCACGTCACTTTTAGCCGCTTCTGCGCATGGCATCATTTTGAGCGTCTGCGCATGCGCAAGCGGCGAAACCCAGAAGTAATGCGCTCCATTACTTCTGGGTTGCCACAGAGTGCAACTCGAACACGCTCATCCCGAAGCACATTCAACGCGAGGTATGACTGTATTTCTATGCCACTTTTCACTCAGAGGAATCATAAAAAGATAATAAATAAGCAACAACAATAACATTTATTATTTATATACTGTCAGTTTGACTGGGTTGTCCCAGCCACTCTGAGCGGCTTCCAACAAATTGAAACATGGTGAGACATCAAACATTAAAAAACTTCCCTATGCAGGGAAATAATATATTGCAAGCTGATAATGGAATGTGACAAATATCACTTAAATCATACAGAACATTCAACAAATCATCAGTAAAACAACTACAGGCTATAAAGCACTATTAGCAAAGCAACTAAAAAAAAAAAAAAGCAAAGCAGCACAATTGCAACAGAAGTTATATTATGAAATTCGCAAAGTATTACAGCATTCATAACCAATAAAGCAATCTTAACAACGAGGAAAAAATAGCAACGAAAAAATAAACTAAGCATTGTTGAATTCATACACTCTTCTCAACTCTCATGAATCATAATATTCCGCTCATTAAAATACACATCTTTAAAAATGTTTGTTTAGGTGTTTCTATACCACTATATCATAAAATAAAACATGGTAGGACTCAACCCAATGCCTTCAAGTCACAAGACAAGAGAACTCGACTAAGCATTATTTCTGAGAGCAAGAGCAGTTCAACAGTGGAACGGTCTCCCTTGGGAGGTAGTGGACCCTCCTTCCTTTAAGGTTTTCAAGCAGAGGTTGGATGGCCACCTGTCATGGCTGCTTTAGCTGAGATTCCGGCACTGCAGGGGGTTGGACTAGCTGACCCTCGGGGTCCCTTCTGACTCTACAATTCTATGATTCTATAAGGATAAAACCCAGGTAGTGGGGGTGAAAGTTGTCAGGAGCTCGGCATACACTCGAGTAGAACCCTGACAGAGACACATGCCCGACTGGTAAGTTCTCTCCCTCCTGGTCGATCGTTTGGGAGCTTCTAAAGCTTTCTTCAGCCCAAACATCACAGCGAACAATGCCAACAGACACCAGCACAACAGACACTCTACTGGTGGAGGAAGGGGGGGTGCGGGCTGCCCCAAGCGTCATCACGAGGTGGGGGGGGTGACAAAATGACAATTTTTTTTAAAAAAAAAAATCAGGCTCACAAAACCTTTTAGTTCAGTCAACAAACGTAACAAAATGTGGCTGGCACTGGGCGCCACACTGCGGGGGCCAGCACTTATTTGGCGATCACTCATAGCCAAGTAAGATTGTCTTCCATAAACACGGTTTTAACAATGAGTCCATAAGTGACTGTGGAGGCCAATTCTGGAACCACACATCCTTCCACAGTGGGAACATTGATTTCCAGGTGGGAATTGATCATGGTGAAGGTTTGCCAAGATTTGCTTCCTCTTAGCACGTTTCTCCCTTTCATCCTGAGTTTGAGCGTCTTCAAAGCCCATGACACCTTTTGGAACGGGTGTTCTCCAACTGGAGCGCTCGCAGGCCAGTGTTTCCCAGTTGTTGGTGTTTATACTACATATTTTTTAGATTTTAGATTCTACGATTCTATAAGGATAAAACCCAGGTAGTGGGGGTGAAAGTTGTCAGGAGCTCGGCCTACACTCGAGTAGAACCCTGGCAGAGACACATGCCCGGCTGGTACGTTCTCTCCCTCCTGGTCAATCGTTTGGGAGCTTCTAAAGCTTTCTTCAGCCCAAACATCATAGTGACCGATGCCAACAGACACCAGCACACTTAGGGATCCGCAGAGTTTGCACAGTTTGCTTAACAGACCTCAGCAACTCAGCATTTTGGCTAATCTACTTTATTAACATATAAACACACACGGAGCACTGCAACATGGCTCCCTCTCTCTCTAGCATCAGACAGCAAAGAGAAAAAGAACAAAGGACAATAGTCTCACTTCTCGGAACACAGTAACACAAACATCCTGTCTCCATCACTTCCCACTCTGTGGAGTCAAAACATATACCGTCATGTGATAGTCAACAATCCCATGACTGCAATCATGGAGCAGGAATTCTAACAGAAGTGAAGGAAGGTGGAGCTTTTTTTGCGACTGAAAGATCCAGCTTCTAATCTCATGAAGGAATTTTACCAGGGCTCTCCAATTCCCCTTTGGGGAGGGGTTGCTGAAGTCATCTTGTTCCTGCCCGATCTGTGCTTTTTGCTACTTCTGCTAATGGTGCTTTGCTCAAAAGATGCTGGTCATTCAAGCCCTTCTGCCTCTGTGCCCCACAGCCAAGTTTCCATTCCTGGCAAATAAGCTTTGCACTTCCGCTTGTGCAACGGGGCTTCACACCCCCTCCTTCCCTCAAACACCCCCACGCCCCCCCAATGGCTTGTGGGTAAGGGCGAACTCCCAGAATGGCACACAGGGGTAGGAGAGGGGGGAACCATTCCACATGGCAAGCTCAAATGCTTAGGATTGCCTTGATGTGGTGCTGAAATCCTCCCTCTATCCTCCGATGTCACACTCACCTTTCTAAAACAATTGCCTAATCTAAGATAGAACCTGTGTATTACAAACTGTGTGTCCTTTTAAAAAATAGAATAAAATGCAAACAGTGGGGCTAAACTATCACAAATTGCACACACACACACACACACACACACACACACACGTGTAGCATTTCTCTGCTGAGCCAAAGCACACAAGATAAGACCTGCTTTATTGCAGATAATATTGTTTTATTATCACCGTGCTAATTTAACACCTGTTAACACTTGGCCCGATAAAGGCTACTCATATTTACATTCCGAAGTTTCCGCCCCAGTTTGTGTGTATGCATGTGTGCAATATACATATAAATCTTTTTCTCCGTAGAAACATACAAAGAACTTTGAACACAAATAAAATTCTGAACATAACCCAGAACATTTATTAATTTATTTCATGAAATTTATTCACTGCTCTATTGCTGTTGTTGTTTTTTTTAAAAAAAGAATTCAAAGTGGCTTATGAAAAAGATAAAACAATAAAATCATCAATAAGGAATCAGGTAGGTAGTCGTGTTGGTCTGACACAGTCGAAATAAATTAAAAAATTGTCCAGTAGCACCTTAGAGACCAACTATGTTTGTTCTGGGTATAAGCTTTCGTGTGCATACACACTTCTTCAGATACACTGAAACAGAATCTTAAGAAGGGTATCTGAAGAAGTGTGCATCCACTCTGGGCAGCTTCCAACATATATAAAAGCGTAATAAAACATTAAACATTTGAAAAAAACCCTTCAGACAGCTTGAGAGTCAGATAACTCCATACCCTCAGGAGCGTCGCTAGTGGGGTGTGGGGGTGTGGTCCGCCCCAAGTGTCTTGCCTGGGGGGGTGACAAAAGGTCAGGGCAAGAGAGGTAAGGACCCTCCCTCCCTGCTAGGAATCAATCAAGGGTTCTGTTCCTAGAATCATAGAGTCCTAGAGCTGGAAGGAACCCCAGGGTCACCTAATCCAGCCCCCTGTAGTACAGGAATCAGTTTCTTTGCTTTCCGCAGCCTCCAGTCCTCCAAGGAGAGCATTTTGTCTGGTTTCATTGTGATGTGGGAAATGGGAAACGAAGGGATTAAGCAGGCACATGCACACATATGCATGCCTGTTACTCTCTCGGAAACCCTTGGCATTCAGTGGGAAACAGGAAATCTGTGCAAAGCTTCGGGCGGCTACATTAGTCTTATAAGGTGCCAAATGATGGCAAGCTGCATTGGCAAGGAGGCTTTCTCATAAGTTCAGATTAATGCAAGGAAAGAAGCACGTTTTCACCACAGCGTGGTGCAATTTTATCATGCACACCAACAAACTGGGGGGAAAGGAACACAGTAGCTGCATATACAGGGATCTGGACTGGAAACATAAAGAAAAACAATTTGAGGAGGCTGTGTGCTCCGTTAAGAGGTTGTTTATTGAAAGATGGGGGACAAATTAACCAATGGTTCGCTGAAAGGATTGGAATCAATTAACCCATGATTTATTCAAAGTGAGTTCCTCATTCTTCTTCCTGCTTGCAGAAACTTCTGCTGGGGTTTTTTCAGGATACCACCTAATCTTACATCAGCGCACTTCAGAACATCAGAAAACAGGAAGTCGAATTCCGCCCCCCCCATCACCCATCATTCTCAGAAAGTCAGCACTGTCTCTGGAGTGTTCAAGCAGAAGTTCTTTACTTTCAGTGCAAACTCAGGTGGTTTACCTACAGTTACCTTTACCTACAGTTATATACAAAAAACTCCCTCCCTTCCCCAAGACAAGGTCATTTCATCCCTGTTCGGGAGTAGTTTACCCCCTGAACAAAAAAACAGAAGATGAACTATCAACTTAATGTCCTGAGTCATAAAAGAAAAAGGTGGGGGAGGAAATACAGAGGAAACTATCTCTGACAATTAGCCATGCTTGCTGGAAACACTCAACCAGTGAACTAGAGTACTCCTTTCCCACTGTCCTGGGATTAAACTCCAGTAGACATAATGGTAATGATCCCTGAGTAAACATGCAAAGCATTGTGTCATTAGAAGCCAAGCTTCGTGGAGAGCCTGCCCTAACTTAAAAAGGTAAAGGTAAAGGGACCCCTGACCATTAAGTCCAGTCGTGGATGACTCTGGGGTTGAGGCGCTCATTTCACTTTACTGGCCGAAAGAGCCAGCGTAGTTTCTGGGTCATGTGGCCAGCATGACTAAGCCGCTTCTGGCGAACCAGAGCAGCACACAGAAATGCTGTTTACCTTCCTGCCAGAGCGGTACCTATTTATCTACTTGCACTTTGACATGCTTTTGAACTGCTAGGTTGGCAGGAGCAGGGACTGGGCAACAGGAGCTTACCCCATCACGGGAATGCCGACCTTCTGATCAGCAAGCCCTAGGCTCTGTGGTTTAACCCACAGCGCCACCCACATCCCTTGCCCCAACTTAGTCATCCTTTATTTTTATTTTTTTATTTATTAATTATTATTATTATTATTAAATAAGCAAGAATTTCAGATTCCCCAATCTTTCACTTAGTCAAACAGAAAACATAAAGAAAAACCACCTGAGCCAGGCTTATGTGCAGTTAATGAGTTGTTTATTGAAAGAAGGATTGAGAATTAACCCATGATTTGGTGAAAGGAGTGGAATCAATTAACCAGCAACTTCTGTGAAAGGAGTGGAGTGGCACATTCTTCCTGGTGATTGTAGAAAGGTCTGCCACTGGGTTTCTCAGGACTCTGCCATCTGACATCAGCGCACGCAGCACTTCAGAACTGCAGAAAACGGGCAGTTGTTAAACACTTCTGCGAATACCAAGCCATTGTGACATGAGAAGCCCCGGGGCAGGCAGTATCCATTGAAGCCTTGGCACAGGACCACCTTAAGTCGTTCAGAATCATCTGGCGGGGGCATCAGCCCAGGGTCTGCATATAAAAGAGGAAAGCAGAATTCGTGAAAATTCTTCAAGGGTCAATAGACATAGAAAACAGCAAAGACCTCAGGAACTTAAGTTTATGTGAGGGGAGATCCTGGCTGGCAGAACATCATGATGGTGAAAGTAGTTCAGTTCCATTAGGGCAAACTGGGCACTCCCCACTCCCAAACCTCAGATTGCTTCCAGCCAGCTTCCATTTGCCTGCCTCCCCCCCTTTTTTTTACAATTTTCTTTTGATTTTCAAAAGTTAATTACATATTTGGTTTCCCCCAATATTTTTTAAGAAATGTGAACTTCCCCACTAACCCTCCATGGTTTCCTTGTTTCCCCTTATCCTGCTGCAAATTACACCTAACATCCTTCCTCATACCCTATGTGGAGTTGGCAAGTTTGACAACAAGAATCAGAGACCAGGAGGAGTCTGTGATTAGAGAGGGGTGGAAGCTTTGTGGTATTTGAAGAAATGTAATGTCAGGGCTGCCTCAAGTCTCAGCTCACAAAAGACCAACGCCTATGTCTTCTTATATACAAAAGTGTTTATTGCAGTTCATTGTTTGCTTGACATCCTAGGCGCGCAGCCCTACGTCTGCTACGCTTAGACCGCTGAAGTCCCCTCTGAATCCGTCCCTCCCCTGCACCAATTTAAGAGGCTTGCGCTGCTCCACCTCTTTCTCTCTTTCCTTTTCCGCAGGGTCCTTCTGCCCGCTGGGGTTTCGCCCCTCCTGGATTCCTCTGACGCGGAATCAGACTGCTCTTGCCCCCTCCTGCGGGCTTTGGGACCTGGCCCCTCCTCCGGGCTCCCTGTACTTCCGCGCGCCTCTACATTTGAACGTGGCGCGCGCGCCCAGCCTCTCACCTTCCTTTCAACAGCTACACTCCTCCCTTCACTGCTCCCCTCCCCTTCCGGGAGGATGGCTTGCTCCGACCTCCCTCCTTTCTCTACTGCCGGAGCCGCTTCCCCTGACACACTGAAACTTCCACCCCCCTTCGCTGCACTCTGGCGGGGAGGCTGGTCCTGACACCCAGCTGCCACTTTGGGATGCTCAGCTGGCCCCCTGCTCCTGACACGTCCCCCCTGGGGCTCCCCTGGGCTTGACCACCGGCGCCCCCTTCTGGGAATCCTCTGATTCGCTGGAAAGACTCATGGAATCTCGTGAGTCATTGTCATCCTCTTCCTCGCTGTCCTGGGATTCATCCCCATCGCTCTCCATCTCCTGCCTACCCTGTGCCTCTGTCCCAGAACCCCTGACATGTAATAACAGACATGGGTGGTGCAAGGGATGCGGGTGGCGCTGTGGTCTAAGGCACTGAGCCTCTTGGGCTTGCCGATCAGAAGGTTGGCGGTTCAAATCCCCATGATGGGGTGAGCTCCCGTTGCTCGGTCCCAGCTCCTGCCAACTTAGCAGTTCAAAAGCATGCCAATAAGTGCAAGTAGATAAATAGGTACCGCTTCCCCGGGAAGGTAAACAGCGTTTCTGTGCACTACTCTGGTTTCAGTGTTCCAATGCACCAGAAGCGGCTTGGTCATGCTGGCCACATGACCCAGAAAAACTGTCTGCAGAGCGGACAAATGCCGGCTCCCTCAGCCTGTAAAGTGAGATGAGTGCTGCAACCCCAGAGTCGTCTGAGACTGGAGCTGGCAGGAGTGATGGCACTAAGATTAGGGAAAGGGTTTGGGAGAGAGGGAGAGAGAGGACATGGAAATAGGGATGCCCTGCAAATTTGGATTCCAGTCTCAACCACTGCCACAAAGAAGCTTCTGATAGATTGCTTCTGAGGGATTCTGGGGGGGAAACAGCCCATCCCAACCGCTGAAGGAAGGTCAAGAAGAAAGTCCTAAAACACAAAGTCCCATCAAACTCAGTAAGAAGTAAATGCATCAGGAAGAGCTGGACAATGAACCAGATTGCCCAGGTCCTTCCTATGAGACTGGAAAGTCCATGATAACTAAAGCTTGTAAGTCAAAAGAATTCTCTTTCTGCAATAATATGGCTGAGCTAACCTAGAGTTGTACTTCTAACCGTGATTCTAGGATTCCTCCACAAGCTGCAGTATGAAAGAATGACCATTTTCAGCCCAACTTACCCTCTTTCAACTTCATTTCAGGGTCAAGAGGCTCCTTGGCTTCATCCTCGGAAGGTGGTTGGGGATTGGCCTGGACCTGGTAGACCAAGAAGGCAACAGCAAAGAGAACGTAGAGCATCTTCATGGTGGAAGATTGGCTGCAGTCGCAATGCTAATGGAAGGAAAAGGCTCAATGAAGAGAAGGGTGGAGAATCTATGGAAGCTTTGCTGCTATTTATATGGTTTATACCAGGAAAAGGGCAGAATGGTGTTAGAGACTGTTGCCAAATCAACTGTTGTCACTCAACAATCCAAATCATTTGAAATACTTTCATTTTGCGTTTTATGAAATGTTTGTGGGCACTGAAATTCTGATTTCCCAAACTATTATTCTCTTTGTTGTCATCTCAGCTATGTGATTCTGTATCTATTGACTTAACAACAACCAAGCTTACAGAATACTTTACAGGCCTTACAGAATGCGGTCACATTCAATCAATCACTCTCTTTATTATTGTCAATGACAGATATTCAGAAAGAAACATGTGATGTGACCCAATCCTGCACTGTAGGGGTTTGGCCTAAATGACTCTTGGGCTCCCTTCCAACTTTACAATTCTATGATTCATGTGTGTGTCTGGTGTGTGTGTGTGTATTTTTTATTTTATTTTTGCAGAGGACACCAACGACCATAACATCCTTCTGGACCATCTAGAGGGACTGGGAGCACTGTTATACAGTGGTTCTGCTCCTTCCTCCTGGACCGTGTTCAGAAAGTGGTGGTGGGGTATGAGTGTTCAGACCCCTGGGCTCTCACTTGTGGGGTGCCTCAGGGTTCCGTCCTCTCCCCCATGCTTTTCAACATTTACATGCAGCCACTGGGAGAGATCATCAGGGGGGTTGGGTTGGGTGTTCATCAGTATGCAGATGATACCCAGCTCTACCTCTCTTTCAAATCAGAACCAGTGAAAGTGGTGAAGGTCCTGTGTGAGTGTCTGGAGGCGGATGGAGGATAGATGGCGGCTAACAGATTGAGGTTGAATCCTGACAAGACAGAAGTACTGTTTTGGGGGGACAGAAAGCGGGCAGGTGTGGAGGACTCCCTGGTCCTGAATGGAGTAACTGTGGCCCTGAAGGACCAGGTGCACAGCCTGGGAGTCATTCTGGACTCACAGCTGTCCATGGAGGCACAAATTAATTCTTTGTCCAGGGCAGCTGTCTACCAGCTTCACCTGGTACGCAGGCTGAGACCCTACCTGCCCTCAGACTGTCTCTCCAGAGTGGTACATGCTCTAGTTATCTCTCGCTTGGACTACTGCAATGCACTCTATGTGGGGCTACCTTTGAAGGTGACCGAGAAACTACAACTAATCCAGAATGCGGCAGCTAGACTGGTGATTTGGAGTGGCAGCCGAGACCACATAGCATCGGTCTTGAAAGACCTACACTGGCTCCCAGTACATTTCCAAGCACAATTCAAAGCGTTGGTGCTGACCTTTAAAGCCCTAAATGGCCTCGGTCCAGTATACCTGAAGGACCTGGCTAGGTGAGGGCGAGAGAGGTAAGGAGCCTCCCTCCCTGCCAGGAATCAATCAAGGGTTATCTTCCTAGAATCATAGTAATCCAGCCCCCTGCAGTACAGGAATCAGTTTCTTTGCTTTCCACAGCATCCAGTCCTGGAAGGAGAGCATTTCATCTGGTTTCATTGTGATGTGGGAAATGGAAAACAAAGGGATTAAGCAGGCAGATGCACACATATGCATGCCTGTTACTTTCTCGGAAACCCTTGGCATTCAGTGGGAAACCGGATATCTGTGCAAAGCTTTAGGAGGCTATGTTAGCCTTATAAGATGCCAAATGATGCCAAGCTGCATTGGCAAGGAGGCTTTCTCATAATTTCAGATTATTGCAAGGAAAGAAGCACATTTTCACCGCAACGTGGTGCAATTTTATCGTGCGCATCAACAAACTGGGGGAAAGGAGCATAGTAGCTGCATATACAGGGATCTAAACTGGAAATGCGGGACACGGGTGGCACTGTGGGTTAAACCACAGAGCCTAGGGCTTGCCGATCAGAAGATCGGCGGTTCGAATCCCCGTGACGGGTTGAGCTCCCGTTGCTCAGTCCCTGCTCCTGCCAACCTAGCAGTTGGAAAGCACGTCAAAGTGCAAGTAGATAAATAGCTACTGCTCTGGCGGGAAGGTAAATGGCGTTTCCGTGTGCTGTTCTGGTTTGCCAGAAGCGGCTTAGTCATGCTGGCCACATGACCCGGAAGCTGTACGCCGGCTCCCTTGGCCAATAAAGCGAGATGAGCGCCTCAACCCCAGAGTCGGCCACGACTGGACCTAATGGTCAGGGGTCCCTTTACCTTTACCTTTTAGACTGGAAACATAAAGAAAAACAATTTGAGGAGGCTGTGTGAATAGGTTGTTTATTGAAAGATGAAAGATGCTGAAAGGATTGGAATCAATTAACCCATGATTTATTCAGAGTGAGTTCCTCATTCTTCCTCGTACTTGCAGAAACTTCTGCCGGGGGTTTCCCGGGATTCCACCTTCCCTTGCATCAGCGCACGCAGCACTTCAGAACATCAGAAAACGGGCAGTCGTTCCATGGTTCCTTGAACGCCAAGCCATTGTGACACTGGAAGTCACGTGGCAGGCAATAGCCATCGTTGTCAGAGCACAGAACCACCTGAAACCGTGAAGAATCCTTTGGTTCTGGGTTCAGCCCAGGGCCTGCATATAAAAAGAAAGAAAGGGCAGCATTCTTCAAAATATTTGAAGAGCTCTCGAAGAGCAAAGGACTTCTTGAAGGGCAGATTTCAGTAGAAAATACATATGATTTTTGTACACATCATTGAGCTGGGAACCACCTTGCAAAATTCACAGGAGGGGCGAATTTCAAACAATGGCTGGAGTGCAAACTGAATAGAATCTCTCCCTCATTCTTATTACCAGATAAATGGCTGCAGGGCTGCAGCATTAAGCACACAAATTCCCAGAGAGAAATATGAAGGTGCAGATGCACGAAAAGCATGCCTCTTTGAACATCTTACTTCAGGTATAGGCAAACTCAGCCCTCCAGAAGTTTTGGGACTATAATTCCCATCATCCCTGACCAGTGGTCCTGCTAGCTAGGGATGATGGGAGTTGTAGTCCCAAAACATTGGGAGGGCCGAGTTTGCCTATGCCTGTCTTACGTCTTACAGAAGATAACATTGAGGGTAACTTAAGCAGAAAATGTTTTCAGCAATTCCCCACCTCCCAAAAAAGGAATGGGGAGGGTGAGTTTTAAGCCGTGCCCTAAAGTAGCGTCGAGCAATTTGCACTCCAGGGGCCTCAGAAACTGGCAGGGGAGGAGTGAAACAAACAAATGGTGGAGGAGATAAAGAGAGAAGGGGTGGGAGATAGAGAAAAGGGGGTCACAGAGAGAGGGAATGCCTCACTCACTTTTGAGTCTATTCTCAGCCACTGCCACAATGCAACTTCTGACAGATTGCCCCTAAAGGAATCTGGGGGAAAAACTTCCCACCCCGGCCATTGAAGGAAAATCAGGGGAAAGGTTCTAAAACACACAGTCCTGTCCAGCTCAGTAAATAATGAACCTGAATGCATTCCCTCATCCCAGTATGAGCTGGGCAATGAACCAGTTTGCCTAGGTCCTTCCTGCGAGGCTGGAAAGTCCATGGCAGCTAGAGCTTGTAAGGCTCAAGAATTTTCTTTATGCAACCCCATTGCTGAGCTAACCTAGGGTTGCACAACCAAGTGGGATTGTAGAATTCTTTCTCACCTCTCAATAACTACAGGGGGTTAATTTATTAATTAAATTAGTCCATCGCATCATCTTGCTTGGGACAACCCAAGGCAACTTACAACCAAACTAACAGACAATGAACCCCACATAGATACATTGAAATGTTGTTCTTCAGCCCAACTTACCATCATCTTTATAAGCACGAGACTCGCGAAACTCCTTGGCTTCCCCTTCAACCTTGGAGGGTGGTTTGGGATTGGACCGAACCTGGAAGACCAAGAAGGCAACAGTAAAGAGAACGTAAAGTGTCTTCATGATTGAAGATTTGCTGCACCCTCAATACTAATGGAAGGAAAAGGCTCAATAAAGAGAAGGATGAAGAACCTCTGGAAGCATTGCTGGTATTTATACAGTTTATACCAGGAAACGGGGAGAATGATGTTCTGAGATTGCTGCCAACATCAAATATCCATTGTCAACTATTGGTTGAAACCACCTGAAATTATTTCACTTTACAGTTAATCCAACAATTGCTGGGATTAGCATCCTGCTTCTTTCAAATGCTGATTCTCTGTTCTCACCTTAGCAAAGCAATTCAGCATCAATTGACTCACCAATACCTGAACTGCGGACATCTTTCAGAAGGCACCTCAAATGTTTTTTGTTGAAACTGGGGAAGCTGGTGAGAGCAAGGTGGGGCTTTTGTAATCAGTGGAGCTGGGGGTGTTAGAATGAATGTATTGTTTCCTGCTATAAGCCTTGCACCATATAATCATTGCATCGGTCTGACAGCTAAAGATGCAGGGATCAAGCTTCAACCAATTTCCCCCCTGAGAAACTGCAAAACACTGGGGGACATGCTTTCAGGGCCAACTCTACCATTGGACAGCACAGGGCAGCTGCCTCTGTTGTCAGGGGAGAGACAGCAGCAGTCTAAGTTAGCCTCATGCTTAGTGTGGTCCCAACACCAGTGTTGAGTAAGATTCAAGTGCTAGTCCTGTAAGATTCTGCATGTAGTATGGAAAGGACACCAGCCTGTCCATTGCAGCAGGCAGTAACATGGCCTCAGCTGCCCCTGAGAGCTATGTTCTGTCTTCACATAAGCTAATAACAGCTGGCCAATGAATGAACCAAGAAGCTGGACAGATCCATGTTAGGTAGATTTTATGAGTCTATAAATTCCTGTCAATGTATTGCCAGAACCTAGCTTACCCAGAAATGGGTGAATCTGTCCGTTCTGGTTTTTCTCCTCCTCCTCTTCTTCTTTTTCTTTTCCAAAATTTGAATGTAGTTCTGCACTTTCCCATATCAGTTTGTGAAATGGCAAGTCCTCCTGAAAATTCATCAGCATCTTGCTACAAATTTATCCCAATGCACATGTATTTCGATGCAATTTTGCCCAATGCACACATTTTTGGCAAGCCATTTCCCCAAAGATAATGCAGTTTCATATATTAACAATATATGCATCCCTGTGCACATTTTACCCTGGTATATGCATTTGGGTACACTTTGCTTAGCTGAAGAACTGCATTGCAAAATGCAGACAAGTGTTGCTTTGAGGGATGGCCGTGGTTCAGCTAATATATTGCCTCAGAAAGTGCAATGTTGGTAGATTTGCCTTTAGATGTGAACTGAATCAACTTTCTCCCCCATCTCTACCAACAGCCCTCCTTCTAAATTTGATTGCTTCTAGGATTTTTACACCCCCCTCGGTTCCTAACTGAAAAACACTCCTTTTCTTTTTGTTCTGAAAGAATCCCTCAGCTTAACATCTGCTTGATAAGCAGCACACTCAGCCTCAGAATCTGTGCTGTTTTTTCAGTCTGCCTGCAGACGACAAATCTAGCCTGGCTGGGCTATGGAGAACCAAGAAGAGGACTATACAGTAAAGACAAGGTGAAGGGCCTTCATACTCAAAGGTAAGCTGCATATGTCCACAATTTCTGATGGAAGTAAAGAACCCAAGAGGTTCTCACAACTTCTGGAAAGGTGTGCAGAGTCCCTGGTATTTATTCAAATATATATTTTTTTCTTCTGGCAAAGCACCAGTAAATTAGGAGCAGGATTGAGTCAACTCTGTGCCAATGCTCTTGAAGGGCAGCTCTCAATGCCCACTCAGAAACTCTTGAAATGCTTTTGACTGAAGGTTTACCCAACTTTAGGAAGACAGGCAGCTTCCTTGTAAAAGGCTTTTTGCCTATCTAGCCCAATATTGTCTACTCTGACTGGCAACAGCTCTCTCCAGAGCTTCAGACGGAGAAGGGATTTTCCCATCAGCTCTTACCTGAGGGACGAAAACAGCTCCCTTTCTACCTTTTCAACTCCATGCATAATTTGCACACCTCTACTGAGTCCCCCAAATTTTTCTAAGCTGAATAGCCCCCAAATGTGGCAAAAAAATAATAATCTCAAAGGGATTTGCTCCAACCATTCGATCCATTGGGTCTTTCCTTTTCTGCACCTTTTGGATGTTTCTTGTGGTGGGGGTATCTTGTTGCACTATACACAGACAAGACTTATTCTTCTGTCTCCTACATTTGAAACTTCTTCTTTTTTCAATTGGGTTTTATAAACAAGAATAATGCTATACAAACAAGTATACCACGTTTTCTCATGTCATTTGCATATCACAAAAGTAGCATAAAAAATGTGGGAAAATATCTGCAACACATGTTTATTAGTGGTCAATGGATAAGTTCTTGGTTTATGAAACTGGTTTAAGCAGTTAGGAAGAAGAAGAAGAGAGAAAAGAAAAAGAAAGAAAAAGAAAAAAGGGTGTGTGGCAGGTGAGGTAGTTATGCTTCTATTATTCTACTTAGTGTGTGTGAGGGGCTGTCTCAGCGTTACTTGTATGAATTTTCTTACTATTCACTTCTTGTATTTCCTTGGTGGTGAGAGAGGTTGGGTGTGGCTTAGGGTGTGCTTAGTTGTATTTGGTTGGTTGTAGTGAGAGTTGTTTTTTGTGTGAGAGCGGGGTGCAAGTGTGTATTTTTGAATCAGGTTAGCCAGATTGATTCGTATACTGTTGGGGGATTCTTGTTGTTGTCTTGTTGGGCTGTGTATGTGAGAAAGGGGAACCAAACTGGGGTGAAGACGTCTTCTTCTATTTGTCCGGGTGTCAGTTTCCCTGTTTCCCATGCTATTTGATACCAGTTGCATGTGAAACATCTTAAACCAACTCAAGACCATGTGAAAGTGAAGTCATAATTTATCAGAGAATGCCGCCCCCATCACCCATCATCTCAGAAAGTCAGCGCTGTCTCTGGAGTGTGCAAGCAGAAGTTCTTTACTTTCAGTGCAAACTCAGTTGGTTAGAGCATGGTGTTGATAATGCCAAGGTTGCAGGTTTGATCCCCGTAATGGAGAGCTGCTTATCATGGTAAGGGGTTGGACTGGATGATCCTCAGGGTCCCTTCCAACTCTATAGTTATATAAGGACATGGGTGGCATTGTGGTCTAAACCACTTAGCCTCTTGGGCTTGCTGATCGGAGGGTCAGTGTTTCAAATCCCCGTGATGGGGTGAGCTCCCATCACTCTGTCCCAGCTCCTGCCAACCTAGCAGTACAAAAAGCATGCCAGTGCAAGTAGATAAAAAGGTACTGTTCGGTCCGGAAGGTAAATGGCATTTCCTTGTGCTCTGGCACTTGTCACAGTCCTCCGTGCGCCAGAAGCTGTTTAGTCCTGCTGGCCACATGACCCAGAAAGCTGTCTGTGGACAAACGCCGGCTCCCTCGGCCTGAAAACGAGATGAGTGCCCCAACCCCATAGTCGCCTTTGACTGGACTTAACCGTCCAGGGGTCCTTTTCCTTTACCTACAGTTATATATAAAAATCTCCCTCCCTTCCTTCAAAAAGGTCATTTCATCTAAAACCTCCATGTTTGGGAGTAGTTTACCCCCTGAGTTTAACACAAAAAACAAAAAATCAACTTAATGGCCTGAGTCATAAAAGAGAAAGGGGGGGGAGGAAATACAAACGAAACTATCTCTGACCATTAGCCATGCTGGCTGGAAACACTCAACCAATGAAGTACTCCTTTCCCACTGTCATGGTGCAATTTTATCATGCACACCAACAAACTGGGGGGGAAAGGAGCATAGTAGCTGCATATACAGGGATCTGGACTGGAAACATAAAGAAAAATAATTTGAGGAGGCTGTGTGTTCCGTTAAGAGGTTGTTTATTGAAAGATGGGGGACAAATTAACCAATGGTTCACTGAAAGGATTGGAATCAATTAACCCATGATTTATTCAAAGTGAGTTCCTCATTCTTCCTCCTGCTTGCAGAAACTTCTGCTGGGGGTTTTTTGGGATTCCACCTAATCTTGCATCAGTACTCCTTTCCCACTGTCCTGGGATTAAACTCCAGTAGACATAATGGCAATGATCCCTGAGTAAACATGCAAAGCATTGTGTCATTAGAAGCCAAGCTTCATGGAGAGCCTGCCCTAACTTAAAAAGATAAAGGAACCCCTGACCATTAGGTCCAGTCGCGGATGACTCTGGGGTTGAGGTGCTCATTTGACTTTACTGGCTGAAAGAGCCGGCGTACAGCTTCTGGGTCATGTGGCCAGCATGACTAAGATGCTTCTGGCGAACCAGAGCAGCACACGGAAATGCTGTTTACCTTCCTGCCAGAGTGGTACCTATTTATCTACTTGCACTTTGACGTGCTTTTGAACTGCTAGGTTGGCAGGAGCAGGGACCGAGCAACAGGAGCTCACCCCGTCACGGGAATGCTGACCTTCTGATCAGCAAGCCCTAGGCTCTGTGGTTTAACCCACAGCACCACCCACATCCCTTGCCCCTACTTAGTCATCCTTTATATTTATTTGTTTATTTGTTTATTTATTTATTTATTTATTTATTATTATTAAATAAGCAAGAATTTCAGATTCCCCAATCTTTCACGTAGTCGAACAGAAAACATAAAGAAAAACCACCTGAGCCAGGCTTATGTGCAGTTAATGAGTTGTTTATTGAAAGAAGGGTTGAGAATTAACCCATGATTTGGTGAAAGGAGTGGAATCAATTAACCAGCAACTTCTGTGAAAGGAGTGGAGTGGCACATTCTTCCTGGCGATTGTAGAAAGGTCTGCCACTGGGTTTCTCAGAACTCTACCATCTGACATCAGCGCACGCAGCACTTCAGAACTGCACGAAATGGGCAGTTGTTAAACACTTCTGCGAATACCAAGCCATTGTGACATGAGAAGCCCCGGGGCAGGCAGTATCCATTGAAGCCTTGGCACAGGACCACCTTAAGTCGTTCAGAATCATCTGGCGGGGGCATCAGCCCAGGGTCTGCATATAAAAGAGGAAAGCAGAATTCGTGAAAATTCTTCAAGGGTCAATAGACATAGAAAAGAGCAAAGACCTCAGGAACTTAAGTTTATGTGAGGGGAGATCCTGGCTGGCAGAACATCATGATGGTGAAAGTAGTTCAGTTCCATTAGGGCAAACTGGGCACTCCCCACTCCCAAACCTCAGATTGCTTCCAGCCAGCTTCCATCTGCCTGCCTCCCCCCACTTTTTTTTTACAATTTTCTTTTGATTTTCAAAAGTTAATTACATATTTGGTTTCCCCCAATATTTTTTAAGAAATGTGAACTTCCCCTCCAACCCTCCATGGTTTCCTTGCTTCCCCTTATCCTGCTGCATATGATACCTAACATTCTTCATCATCCCCTATGTGGAGTTGGCAAGTTTGACAACAAGAATCAGAGACCAGGAGGAGTCTGTGATTAGAGAGGGGTGGAAGCTTTTTGGTATTTGAAGAAATGCAATAACAGACATGGGTGGTGCTAGGGATGCGGGTGGCGCTGTGGTCTAAGGGACTGAGCCTCTTGGGCTTGCCGATCAGAAGGTTGGCGGTTCAAATCCCCATGATGGGGTGAGCTCCTGTTGCTCGGTCCCAGCTCCTGCCAACCTAGCAGTTCAAAAGCATGCCAAATAAATAGATAAATAGGTACCGCTTCCCCAGGAAGGTAAACAGCGTTTCTGTGCACTGCTCTGGTTTCAGTGTTCCGTTGAGCCAGAAGCGGCATGGTCATGCTGGCCACATGACCCAGAAAAACTGTCTGCAGAGCGGACAAATACAAGCTCCCTCAGCCTGTAAAGTGAGATGAGCGCTGCAATCCCCAGAGTCGTCTGAGACTGGAGCCGGGAGGAGTGATGGCACTAAGATTAGGGAAAGGGTTTCGGAGAGAGGGAGAGAGAGGACATGGAAATAGGGATGCCCTGCAAATTTGGATTCCAGTCTCAACCACTGCCACAAAGAAGCTCCTGATAGATTGCTTCTGAGGGATTCTGGGGGGGAAACAGCCCATCCCAACCGCTGAAGGAAGGTCAAGAAGAAAGTCCTAAAACACAAAGTCCCATCAAACTCAGTAAGAAGTAAATGCATCAGGAAGAGCTGGACAATGAACCAGATTGCCCAGGTCCTTCCTATGAGACTGGAAAGTCCATGATAACTAAAGCTTGTAAGTCAAAAGAATTCTCTTTCTGCAATAATATGGCTGAGCTAACCTAGAGTTGTACTTCTAACCGTGATTCTAGGATTCCTCCACAAGCTGCAATATGAAAGAATGACCATTTTCAGCCCAACTTACCCTCTTTCAACTTCATTTCAGGGTCAAGAGGCTCCTTGGCTTCATCCTCGGAAGGTGGTTGGGGATTGGCCTGGACCTGGTAGACCAAGAAGGCAACAGCAAAGAGAACGTAGAGCATCTTCATGGTGGAAGATTGGCTGCAGTCGCAATGCTAATGGAAGGAAAAGGCTCAATGAAGAGAAGGGTGGAGAATCTATGGAAGCTTTGCTGGTATTTATACGGTTTATACCAGGAAAAGGGCAGAATGGTGTTAGAGACTGTTGCCAAATCAACTGTTATCACTCAACAATCCAAATCATTTGAAATACTTTCATTTTGCGTTTTATGAAAAGTTTGTGGGCACTGAAATTCTGATTCTCCAAACTATTATTCTCTTTGTTGTCATCTCAGCTATGTGATTCTGTATCTATTGACTTAACAACACCCAAGCTTACTGAATACCTTTCAGGCCTTACAGAATGCGGTCACATTCAATCAATCACTCTCTTTATTATTGTCAATGACAGATATTCAGAAAGAAACATGTGATGTGACCCAATCCTGCACTGTAGGGGTTTGGCCTAAATGACTCTTGGGCTCCCTTCCAACTTTACAATTCTATGATTCATGTGTGTGTGTGTGTGTGTCTGTGTATTTTTTATTTTATTTTTGCAGAGGACACCAACGACCATAACATCCTTCTGGACCGTCTAGAGGGACTGGGAGCACTGTTATACAGTGGTTCTGCTCCTTCCTCCTGGACCGTGTTCAGAAAGTGGTGGTGGGGTATGAGTGTTCAGACCCCTGGGCTCTCACTTGTGGGGTGCCTCAGGGTTCCATCCTCTCCCCCATGCTTTTCAACATTTACATACAGCCACTGGGAGAGATCATCAGGGGGTTTGGGCTGGGTTTCATCAGTATGCAGATGATACCCAGCTCTACCTGTCTTTCAAATCAGAACCAGTGAAAGCGGTGAAGGTCCTGTGTGAGTGTCTGGAGGTGGATGGAGGATAGATGGCGGCTAACAGATTGAGGTTGAATCCTGACAAGACAGAAGTACTGTTTTGGGGGGACAGAAGGCGGGCAGGTGTGGAGGACTCCCTGGTTCTGAATGGAGTAACTGTGGCCCTGAAGGACCAGGTGCACAGCCTGGGCGTCATTCTGGACTCACAGCTGTCCATGGAGATGCAAATTAATTCTGTGTCCAGGGCAGCTGTCTACCAGCTTCACCTGGTACGCAGGCTGAGACCCTACCTGCCCTCAGACTGTCTCACCAGAGTGGTACATGCTCTAGTTATCTCTCGCTTGGACTACTGCAATGCACTCTATGTGGGGCTACCTTTGAAGGTGACCGAGAAACTACAACTAATCCAGAATGCGGCAGCTAGACTGGTGATTTGGAGTGGCAGCCGAGACAACATAGCATTGGCCTTGAAAGACCTACACTGGCTCCCAGTACATTTCCAAGCACAATTCAAAGCGTTGGTGCTGACCTTTAAAGCCCTAAATGGCCTCGGTCCAGTATACCTGAAGGACCTGGCTAGGTGAGGGCGAGAGAGGTAAGGAGCCTCCCTCCCTGCCAGGAATCAATCAAGGGTTATCTTCCTAGAATCATAGTAATCCAGCCCCCTGCAGTACAGGAATCAGTTTCTTTGCTTTCCACAGCATCCAGTCCTGGAAGGAGAGCATTTCATCTGGTTTCATTGTGATGTGGGAAATGGGAAACGAAGGGATTAAGCAGGCAGATGCACACATATGCATGCCTGTTACTTTCTCGGAAACCCTTGGCATTCAGTGGGAAACCGGATATCTGTGCAAAGCTTTAGGAGGCTATGTTAGCCTTATAAGGTGCCAAATGATGGCAAGCTGCATTGGCAAGGAGGCTTTCTCATAATTTCAGATTATTGCAAGGAAAGAAGCACATTTTCACCGCAGCGTGGTGCAATTTTATCGTGCGCATCAACAAACTGGGGGAAAGGAGCATAGTAGCTGCATATACAGGGATCTAAACTGGAAATGCGGGACACGGGTGGTGCTGTGGGTTAAACCACAGAGCCTAGGGCTTGCCGATCAGAAGATTGGCGGTTCGAATCCCCGTGACGGGTTGAGCTCCCATTGCTCAGTCCCTGCTCCTGCCAACCTAGCAGTTCGAAAGCACTTCAAAGTGCAAGTAGATAAATAGGTACTGCTCCGGCGGGAAGGTAAATGGCGTTTCCGTGTGCTGTTCTGGTTTGCCAGAAGCGGCTTAGTCATGCTGGCCACATGACCCGGAAGCTGTACGCCGGCTCCCTTGGCCAATAAAGCGAGATGAGCGCCTCAACCCCAGAGTCGGCCACGACTGGACCTAATGGTCAGGGGTCCCTTTACCTTTACCTTTTAGACTGGAAACATAAAGAAAAACAATTTGAGGAGGCTGTGTGAATAGGTTGTTTATTGAAAGATGAAAGATGCTGAAAGGATTGGAATCAATTAACCCATGATTTATTCAGAGTGAGTTCCTCATTCTTCCTCGTACTTGCAGAAACTTCTGCCGGGGGGTTTCCCGGGATTCCACCTTCCCTTGCATCAGCGCACGCAGCACTTCAGAACATCAGAAAACGGGCAGTCGTTCCATGGTTCCTTGAACGCCAAGCCATTGTGACACTGGAAGTCACGTGGCAGGCAATAGCCATCGTTGTCAGAGCACAGAACCACCTGAAACCGTGAAGAATCCTTTGGTTCTGGGTTCAGCCCAGGGCCTGCATATAAAAAGAAAGAAAGGGCAGCATTCTTCAAAATATTTGAAGAGCTCTCGAAGAGCAAAGGACTTCTTGAAGGGCAGATTTCAGTAGAAAATACATATGCATTTTCGTACACACCATTGAGCTGGGAACCACCTTGCAAAATTCACAGAAGGGGCGAATTTCAAACAATGGCTGGAGTGCAAACTGAATAGAATCTCTCCCTCATTCTTATTACCAGATAAATGGCTGCAGGGCTGCAGCATTAAGCACACAAATTCCCAGAGAGAAATATGAAGGTGCAGATGCATGAAAAGCATGCCTCTTTGAACATCTTACTTCAGGCATAGGCAAACTCAGCCCTCCAGAGGTTTTGGGACTATAATTCCCATCATCCCTGACCAGTGGTCCTGCTAGCTAGGGATGATGGGAGTTGTAGTCCCAAAACATTGGGAGGGCCGAGTTTGCCTATGCCTGTCTTACGTCTTACAGAAGATAACATTGAGGGTAACTTAAGCAGAAAATGTTTTCAGCAATTCCCCACCTCCCAAAAAAGGAATGGGGAGGGTGAGTTTTAAGCCGTGCCCTAAAGTAGCGTCGAGCAATTTGCACTCCAGGGGCCTCAGAAACTGGCAGGGGAGGAGTGAAACAAACAAATGGTGGAGGAGATAAAGAGAGAAGGGGTGGGAGATAGAGAAAAGGGCGTCACAGAGAGAGGGAATGCCTCGCTCACTTTTGAGTCTATTCTCAGCCACTGCCACAATGCAACTTCTGACAGATTGCCCCTAAAGGAATCTGGGGAAAAAACTTCCCACCCCAGCCATTGAAGGAAAATCAGGGGAAAGGTTCTAAAACACACAGTCCTGTCCAGCTCAGTAAATAATGAACCTGAATGCATTCCCTCATCCCAGTATGAGCTGGGCAATGAACCAGTTTGCCTAGGTCCTTCCTGCGAGGCTGGAAAGTCCATGGCAGCTAGAGCTTGTAAGTCTCAAGAATTCTCTTTATGCAACCCCATTGCTGAGCTAACCTAGGGTTGCACATCCAAGTGGGATTGTAGAATTCTTTCTCACCTCTCAATAACTACAGGGGGTTAATTTATAAATTAAATTAGTCCATCACGTCATCTTGCTTGGGACAACCCAAGGCAACTTACAACCAAACTAACAGACAATGAACCCCACATAGATACATTGAAATGTTGTTCTTCAGCCCAACTTACCATCATCTTTATAAGCACGAGACTCGCGAAACTCCTTGGCTTCCCCTTCAACCTTGGAGGGTGGTTTGGGATTGGACCGAACCTGGAAGACCAAGAAGGCAACAGTAAAGAGAACGTAAAGTGTCTTCATGATTGAAGATTTGCTGCACCCTCAATACTAATGGAAGGAAAAGGCTCAATAAAGAGAAGGATGAAGAACCTCTGGAAGCATTGCTGGTATTTATACAGTTTATACCAGGAAACAGGGAGAATGATGTTCTGAGATTGCTGCCAACATCAAATATCCATTGTCAACTATTGGTTGAAACCACCTGAAATTATTTCACTTTACAGTTAATCCAACAATTGCTGGGATTAGCATCCTGCTTCTTTCAAATGCTGATTCTCTGTTCTCACCTTAGCAAGGCAATTCAGCATCAATTGACTCACCAGTACCTGAACTGCGGACATCTTTCAGAAGGCACTTCAAATGTTTTTTGTTGAAACTGGGGAAGCTGGCGAGAGCAAGGTGGGGCTTTTGTAATCAGTGGAGCTGGGGGTGTTAGAATGAATGTATTGTTTCCTGCTATAAGCCTTGCACCATATAATCATTGCATCGGTCTGACAGCTAAAGATGCAGGGATCAAGCTTCAACCAATTTCCCCCCTGAGAAACTGCAAAACACTGGGGGACATGCTTTCAGGGCCAACTCTACCATTGGACAGCACAGGGCAGCTGCCTCTGTTGTCAGGGGAGAGACAGCAGCAGTCTAAGTTAGCCTCATGCTTAGTGTGGTCCCAACACCAGTGTTAAGTAAGATTCAAGCGCTAGTCCTGTAAAATTCTGCATGTAGTATGGAAAGGACACCAGCCTGTCCATTGCAGCAGGCAGTAACATGGCCTCAGCTGCCCCTGAGAGCTATGTTCTGTCTTCACATAAGCTAATAACAGCTGGCCAATGAATGAACCAAGAAGCTGGACAGATCCATGTTAGGTAGATTTTATGAGTCTATAAATTCCTGTCAATGTATTGCCAGAACCTAGCTTACCCAGAGATGGGTGAATCTGTCCGTTCTGGTTTTTCTCCTCCTCCTCTTCTTCTTTTTCTTTTCCAAAACTTGAATGTAGTTCTGCACTTTCCCATATCAGTTTGTGAAATGGCAAGTCCTCCTGAAAATTCATCAGCATCTTGCTACAAATTTATCCCAATGCACATGTATTTCGATGCAATTTTGCCCAATGCACACATTTTGGGCAAGCCATTTCCCCTAAGATAATGCAGTTTCATATATTAACAATATATGCATCCCTGTGCACATTTTACCCTGGTATATGCATTTTGGGTACATTTTGCTTAGCTCAAGAACTGCATTGCAAAATGCAGACAAGTGTTGCTTTTGAGGCATGGCCATGGTTCAGCTAATATATTGCCTCAGAAAGTGCAATGTTGGTAGATTTGCCTTTAGATGTGAACTGATTCAACTTTCTCCCCCATCTCTACCAACAGCCCTCCTTCTAAATTCGATTCCTTCTAGGATTTTTACACCCCCCACGGTTCCTAACTGAAAAACACTCCTTTTCTTTTTGTTCTGAAAGAATCCCTCAGCTTAACATCTGCTTGATAAGCAGCACACTCAGCCTCGGAATCTGTGCTGTTTTTTCAGTTTGCCTGCAGACGACAAATCTAGCCTGGCTGGGCTATGGAGAACCAAGAAGAGTGCTATACAGTAAAGACAAGGCGAAGGGCCTTCATACTCAAAGGTAAGCTGCATATGTCCACAATTTCTGATGGAAGTAAAGAACCCAAGAGGTGCTCACAACTTCTGGAAAGGTGTGCAGAGTCCCTGGTATTTATTCAAATATTTATTTATTTTTCTTCTGGCAAAAAATTAGGAGCAGGATTGAGTCAACTCTGTGCCAATGCTCTTGAAGGGCAGCTCTCAATGCCCACTCAGAAGCTCTTGAAATGCTTTTGACTGAAGATTTACCCAACTTTAGGAAGACAGGCAGCTTCCTTGTAAAAGGCTTTTTGCCTATCTAGCCCAATATGGTCTACTCTGACTGGCAACAGCTCTCTCCAGAGCTTCAGACGGAGAAGGGTTTTTCCCGTCAGCTCTTACCTGAGGGATGAAAACAGCTCCCTTTCTACCATTTCAGCTACATGCATACTTTTGCACACCTCTACTGAGTCCCCCAAATTTTTCTAAGCTGAATAGCCCCCAAATGTGGCAAAAAAATTCTCAAAAGGGATTTGCTCCAACCATTCGATCTATTAGGTCTTTCCTTTTCTGCACCTTTTGGATGTTTCTTGTGGTGGGGGTATTTTGTTGCAGTATACACAGACAAGACGTATTCTTCTGTCTCCTGCATGTGAAACTTCTTCTTTTTTAAAGTTGGGTTTTATATACAAGAATAATGCTATACAAACAAGTATACCACGTTTTCTCATGTCATTTGCATATGACAAAAATAGCATAATAAATGTGGGAAAATATCTGCAACACATGTTTCATTATTAGTGGTCAATGGATAAGTTCTTGGTTTATGAAACTGGTTTAAGCAGTTAGGAAGAAGAAGAAGAGAGAAAAGAAAAAGAAAGAAAAAAGGGGGAGTGGCAGGTGAGGTGGTTATGCTTCTATTATTCTACTTAGTGTGTGTGAGGGGCTGCGTCAGCGTTACTTGTATGAGTTTTCTTACTATTCACTTCTTGTATTTCCTTGGTGGTGAGAGAGGTTGGGTGTGGCTTAGGGTGTGCTTAGTTGTCTTTGGTCGGTTGTAGTGAGAGTTGCTTTTGTGTGAGAGTGGGGTGCGAGTGTGTATTTTTGAATCAGGTTAGCCAGATTGATTCGTATACTGTTGGGGGATTCTTGTTGTTGTCTTGTTGGGCTGTGTATGTGAGAAAGGGGAACCAAACTGGGGTGAAGACGTCTTCTTCTATTTGTCCGGGTGTCAGTTTCCCTGTTTCCCATGCTATTTGATACCAGTTGCATGTGAAACTTCTTAAACCAACTCAAGACCATGTGAAAGTGAAGTCATAATTTATCAGAGAATGCCGCCCCCATCACCCATCATCTCAGAAAGTCAGCGCTGTCTCTGGAGTGTGCAAGCAGAAGTTCTTTACTTTCAGGGCAAACTCAGTTGGTTAGAGCCTGGTGTTGATAATGTCAAGGTTGCAGGTTTGATCCCCGTAATGGAGAGCTGCTTATCATGGTAAGGGGTTGGACTGGATGATCCTCAGGGTCCCTTCCAACTCTATAGTTATATAAGGACATGGGTGGCATTGTGGTCTAAACCACTTAGCCTCTTGGGCTTGCTGATCGGAGGGTCAGTGTTTCAAATCCCCGTGATGGAGTGAGCTCCCATTGCTCTGTCCCAGCTCCTGCCAACCTAGCAGTACAAAAAGCATGCCAGTGCAAGTAGATAAATAGGTACCGCTCGGGCCGGAAGGTAAATGGCATTTCCTTGTGCTCTGGCACTTGTCACAGTCCTCCGTGCACCAGAAGCAGTTTAGTCCTGCTGGCCACATGACCCAGAAAGCTGTCTGTGGACAAATGTCGGCTCCCTCGGCCTGAAAGCGAGATGAGTGCCCCAACCCCATAGTCGCCTTTGACTGGACTTAACCGTCCAGGGGTCCTTTTCCTTTACCTACAGTTATATATAAAAATCTCCCTCCCTTCCTTCAAAAAGGTCATTTCATCTAAAACCTCCATGTTTGGGAGTAGTTTACCCCCTGAGTTTAACACAAAAAACAGAAGATGAACTATCAACTTAATGGCCTGAGTCATAAAAGAGAAAGGTGGGGGAGGAAATACAGACGAAACTATCTCTGACCATTAGCCATGCTGGCTGGAAACACACAACCAATGAACTAGAGTACTCCTTTCCCACTGTCCTGGGAGTAAACTCCAGTAGACATAATGGCAATGATCCCTGAGTAAACATGCAAAGCGTTGTGTCATTAGAAGCCCAGCTTCGTGGAGAGCCTGCCCTAACTTAAAAAGGTAAAGATAAAGGAACCCCTGACCATTAAGTCCAGTCGTGGATGACTCTGGGGTTGAGGCGCTCATCTCACTTTACTGGCCGAGGGGGCCGATGTACAGCTTCCAGCAGACGCTTCTGGTGAACCAGAGCAGTGCACGGAAACACCGTTTACCTTCCTGCCAGAACGGTACCTATTTATCTACTTGCACTTCGTGCTTTTGAACTGCTAGGTTGGCAAGAGCAGGGACCGAGCAATGGGAGCTCACCCCGTCGTAGGGATTCGAACTGCCGACCTTCTGATCAGCAAGCCTAGGCTCTGTGGTTTAACCCACAGCCCCACCCACATCCCTTGCCCCAACTTAGCCATCCTTTAATATTATTATTATTATTATTATTATTATTATTATTATTAAATAATCAAGGATTTCAGATTCCCTAATCTTTCATGTAGGCAAACAGAAAACTTAAAGAAAAAACACCTGAGCCGGGTTTATGTGCAGTTAATGAGTTGTTTATTGAAAGAAGGATTGAGAATTAACCCATGATTTGGTGAAAGGAGTGGAATCAATTAACCAGCAACTTCTGCAAAAGGAGTGGAGTGGCACATTCATCCTGGTGATTGTAGAAAGGTCTGCCACTGGGTTTCTCAGAACTCTGCCATCTGACATCACCGCACGCAGCACTTCAGATCTGCAGAAAACGGGCAGTCGTTATACGGTTCTTTGAATACCAATAAACTGTGACATAAGAAGCCCCGGGGCAGGCAGTATCCATCGCCGCCTTTGCACCGGATCGCCGTACGTTTTGCAGAATCGTCTGGCGGGAGCATCAGCCCAGGGTCTGCATATAAAAGAGAAAAGCAACATTCATGAAAATACTTCAAGGGTCAATAGGCATAGAAAAGAGCAAAGATACCTCAAAACTTCAAATACCACAAAGCTTCCACCCCTCTCTAATCACAGACTCCTCCTGGTTTCTGATTCTTGTTGTCAAACTTGCCAACTCCACATAGCTTGTCAGTTTATTCAACCAATCTTCCTTGGTTGGTTTATCTTTATCTTTCCACTTTCGTGACTTTTTTTTTGCCTGCCTTCTTATTTCAAACTACTTGTTGCTTTCCTCCTCCTGTAGCCCCTGTAGAACTCAACAGAGAGAACGAGGGGGACAAGACCAGAATTTGTTGGTTTGGTTTGGCTTTGACTTTGGCTCCAACCACTGTTGGGTTCCTTGCCTTCTGCCCTATCAGTTCTAGTGGGTGCCAACCACCATTGGAGCAGTTCAATCAATATTCTACTGGCTTTGTTAATATTTCTATTGGAGGGGGGGTGTTTGCTTCCTTCTAATGTTACATGCCCTTGCTGGTGTCAACTATTTGGTTCTAGAATCTGTAGGATTTATACATTTTACATCTATTTTATACCTATTTGTATTTTTATATTTTGCCTTTGGTCATTATGAAAACGGTGAATAAGGCATTATAACGGTGAATAAGGCATCCCATTAAATAAATTATGCCCATATGGAATGCAATTTTGCTATAAACATGACATAATTTCCCCTTTTAGATGATCTTTGTAAACATTATTTGTCTAGGAGAACCACCTTGAAAGATTCATAGTAGGCTGAAGTTCAAATGATGGATGTGTTTCAATTTGCAGATAAAGAAAATAATAGAATCATAGAATCATAGAGTTGGAATAGACCACAAGGGCCATCGAGTCCAACCCCCTGCCAAGCAGGAAACACCATCAGAGCACTCCTGATGCTAATAAGCACATGCAGGATCAGACCAGAGGCCCAACTAGTCCAGCATCCTGTTCTCACAGTGATCATAGGTCCCTCTCAGGAACTAGGGCAGGAGTGATGGCACTAAGATTAGGAAAAGGATTTGGGGGAGAGGGAGAGGGAGGACATGGAAAAAGGGATGCCCTGCAAATTTGGATTCCAGTCTCAGCCACTGACACAAAGAAGCTCCTGATAGATTGCTTCTGAAGGATTCTGGGGGGGGGGGGGACAGCCCATCCCAACCTCTGAAGGAAAGTCAGGAAGAAAGTCCCATGAAACTCAGTAAGAAGTAAATGCATCAGGAAGAGCTGGACATTGAAGCAGATTGCCCAGGTCCTTCCTATGAGGCTGGAAAGTCCATGATAACTAAAGCTTGTAAGTCAAAAGAATTCTCTTTCTGCAATAATATGGCTGAGCTAACCTAGAGTTGTACTTCTAACCGTGATTCTAGGATTCCTCCACAAGCTGCAGTATGAAAGAATGACCATTTTCAGCCCAACTTACCCTCTTTCAACTTCATTTCAGGGTCAAGAGGCTCCTTGGCTTCATCCTCGGAAGGTGGTTGGGGATTGGCCTGGACCTGGTAGACCAAGAAGGCAACAGCAAAGAGAACGTAGAGCATCTTCATGGTGGAAGATTGGCTGCAGTCGCAATGCTAATGGAAGGAAAAGGCTCAATGAAGAGAAGGGTGGAGAATCTATGGAAGCTTTGCTGGTATTTATACGGTTTATACCAGGAAAAGGGCAGAATGGTGTTAGGTTTCTGAGACTGTTGCCAAAAACAACTGCTGTCACTCAAGAATCCAAATCATTTGAAATACTTTCACTTTGCATTTTATGAAATGTTTTTGGGCACTGAAATTCTGATTCTCCAAACTATTATTCTCTTTGTTGTCATCTCAGCTATGTGATTCTTTGTCTATTCACTTAACAACACCCAAGCTATTGATACCTTACAGAATGTAGCCTGATTCAATCAATCACGCTCTTTATTATTGTCAATGACAGATATCCAGAAAGAAACATGTGATTTAACCCAATTCTGCATTGCAGGGGATTGGACTAGATGACTCTTGGGGTCCCTTCCAACTTTACAATTCTATTATTTGTGTGTGTGTGTGTGTGTGTGTGTGTGTGTGTGTGTGTTAAAATAAATTATTTGCAGAGGACACCAACGACCATAACATCCTTCTGGACCATCTAGAGGGGCTGGGAACTGGGGGCATTGTCATAAAGTGGTTCTGCTCCTTCCTCTTGGACCGTGTTCAGAAAGTGGTGTTGGGGGATGAGTGTTCAGACCCCTGCACTCTCACTTGTGGGGTGCCTCAGGGTTCCGTCCTCTCCCCCATGCTTTTCAACATTTACATGCAGCCACTGGGAGAGATCATAAGGGGGTTTGGGCTGGGTGTTCATCAGTATGCAGATGATACCCAGCTCTACTTCTCTTTCAAATCAGAACCAGTGAAAGCGGTGAAGGTCCTGTGTGAGTATCTGGAGGCGGTTGGAGGATGGATGGCAGCTAACAGATTGAGGTTAAATCCTGACAAGACAGAAGTACTGTTTTGGGGGGACAGGAGGCGGGCAGGTGTGGAGGACTCCCTTGTCCTGAATGGAGTAACTGTGGCCCTGAAGGACCAGGTGCGCAGCCTGGAGTCATTGGACTCACAGCTGTCCATGGAGCCACAGGTCAATTCTGTGTCCAGGGCAGCTGTTTACCAGGTCCATCGGATACGCAGGCTGAGACCCTACCTGCCTGCAGACTGTCTCACCAGAGTGGTGCATGCTCAGGTTATCTCTCACTTGGACTACTGCAATACACTCTATGTGGGGCTACCTTTGAAGGTGACCGGGAAACCACAACTAATCCAGAATGTGGCAGCTAGACAGGTGACTTGGAGAGGCCTCCGAGACCACATAGCATCGCTCTTGAAAGACCTACACTAGCTTCCAGTACATTTCCGAGCACAATTCAAAGCGTTGTTGCTGACCTTTAAGCCCTAAACGGCCTCGGTCCAGTATACCTGAAGGAGCGTCTCCACCCCCATCGTTTTGCCTGGACACTGAGGTCCAGTGCCGAGGGCCTTCTGGCGGTTCCCTAGCTGCGAGAAGCCAAGTTACAGGGAACCAGGCAGAGGGCCTTCTCGGTAGTGGCACCCGCCCTGTGGAACGCCCTCCCGCCAGATGTCAAAGAGAAAAACAACTACCAGACTTTTAGAAGACATCTGAAGGCAGCCCTCTTTAGGGAAGCTTTTAATGTTTAATAGATTATTGTATTTTAATATTCTGTTGGAAGCCGCCCAGAGTGGCTGGGGAAATCCAGCCAGATGGGTTGGGTATAAATATTATTATTATTATTATTATTATTATTATTATTATTATTATTATTAACAAAATGGAATGGGGAGAAAAACCCTTCCCCTCCTGAGACTATGGAGGGAGCTGCTACCAGTCAGAGTATATGGGGGGGGGGGAGCCTTTTACAAGGAAGCTTCCAGTCTTCCTAAAGTAAACTGTAAGCCAAAAGCATTTCAAGAGCTTCTGAGTGGGCAACTTGAGCTGCCCTTCAAGAACGATGACATAGAATTGACTCAATCCTGTTACTAATTTCTTGGTGTTTAGCCAGAAGAGGGGAAAAAATTGAATAAATAGTAAGATCTCTGTACACCTTTCCAGAAGTTCCAGAAACTCTCGGGCTCTTTACTTCCACCAGAAATTGGGGACACAGCTCAATCTTGAGTATGAAGACCCTTCACTTCTTCTTTGTAGTCCTCTTCTTGGTTCTCAGTAGCCAAGCCAGGCTACATCTGTGGTCTACAGGCAAACTGAAGGACAGCAAGGATCCTGAGACTGAGCGTGCTGCTTATCAGGCAGATGGTAAGCTGCGGGGTTCTTTCAGAACAACAACAACAACAAAAAGAGTGTATTTCACTCAGGAACTGTGGGTCCCATGTTGAGTGAAAGATTTGTGCATTGCAGGGGTTGGACTAAATGACCTTTGGGTCCCTTGCAACTCGACAATTCTATGATTCTACGATTCTGTGATCCCATCAGGAGATATGATCTGCGTGATATCAGCATTGGACATTAATGTGGCAACACCTATGCTTTGGACTCCCCTTCCATTAAATTATATATGCAACAGGCAACTTTTTCATTGTTCTGTTGGCACCTGTTGAAAATATTCCATTTCCAACAAGACTTCTTGAATGGATGGATGATAGATAGATATAGATGACATAGAATTGGCAGGGGGTTGGACTCGATGGCCCTTGTGGTCTCTTCCAACTCTATGATTCTATGATTCTAGATAGATGATAGATAGATAGATAGATAGATAGATAGATAGATAGATAGATAGAGATAGATAGATGATAGATGATAGATAGATAGATAGATGATAGATAGATAGATGATTGATAGATAGATAGATAGATGATAGATAGATGATAGATAGATAGATAGATAGACAGATAGATAGATAGATAGATAGATAGATGATAGATAGATAGATAGATAGATGATAGATAGATGATACGCTAAATTTTGATTGATTTCATATATGTTTTGTGGATTCAGGTAGGTAGCTGTGTTGGTCTGACACAGTCAAAATAAATAAAAGTACTTAATTTGTTCTGGAGGTTCGTTCTTAACCTGAAACAGTTCTTAACTTGAAGCACCACTTTAGCTAATGGGGCCTCCTGCTGTTGCTGTGCCACCAGAGCATGATTTCTATTCTCATCCTGAAGCAAAGTTCTTAACCCGAGGTACTATTTCTGGGTTAGCAGAGTGTGTAACCTGAAGCAGCTGTAACCCGAGGTACCAGTGTATATAGACGGAGGGTGGGGTGGAGGTTTTCTCAGAAGGGTAGTGGGAGATGGGTGATTGACTCAATGGGTATGGTAAACCTGTTGACGACTGCTAATGACTGCATATGTTTTGTTGTATGACTGCATATGTTTTGCTGCATATATGTTTTGTTGTAGTCATTGCAAGGGATTCAACTCATGAGTCCCACCAAAGCACTTCCTCTCCTCTCCTCCACTGTGTGTCCCTTGCATGTTCCCAACACTATCATTATTGCCTTTTTTCCCCTTTCCAGCAGAGAATGGGCAGGCAGTTGCACCACCACAGGACGGGAAAATCTCTTGCCTCTGGCCTTGGGGATACTGCTTACTGCGGAAGCTCCGGTGTGCCTCAGGCTTTGTGATGAAGGAGAGATTCAACAACTGCCCAAATACCCGCACCCTGAAGTGCTGCGTTCTGTGAAAAACTGGGATGAAGTTGCAAAATACCCCGAGAGAATTAAATTAATTAAATTAATCACTTTGATGTTGTTGATTTGTTGTGCCTGGTTCCTGACACCAGTCCCCTCTTTTAATTTGTGTAATCTGTTTACGTTGTGCTGGATCTTTTGAAGCAAGGTTGAATGGTCAACTTCCAGGGATGGTTTATCTGTGATTCCTGCATTGCAGAGGACTAAACTGGATGACCCCTGGCTTTCCTTCCAACACTACGGTTTTGTGATTCTTCCATTAGGGCCTGATTGATAAATTTGGACAGGAACTCAACAGGCTTGCTGAATTGAAACATTTGTACGTTCAAGTTGATCACTTGTTACATGGTACAACATCCTTTTTTTAAGTCAAACTTACAATCAAGCCACTGCAAAATAAGGAAGCTGGTTTAAATTCCGTTACAAGCCAGTTGCAAGTGACCAAGAATTCCCTTGTGGGCTGCAGGTACAAGGAGGGGATGTTCAAAAAGTTTTGATAGATGTTGCTGAGACTGCAAAAGAACTAGAAATGCTTCCAAACTAATACCGTCCAACTTTTTCTGACCCCAAACCAGGATGCAAGTCTTCCGGGACATACTCCTGGACAAGTCACATGGCCCACGCCTCACACTCACCCCTCCAAAAAAAAGTGTTTTTGGGGGTTGAGAACGCAGCATGCGAGAGCATGGCACCCAAAATGGCCACATGAAAAAATGGGATGTCCCTTTTTTCTGGGGTGCTTGGGAGGTATGCAAACTTTGAGAAAAAGCAAGTTAGAAAAAAGGCAAATGAAATTGTAGTTTGAGTATGTGGCCTGAGAAGAGGCATCACGAGTTCCAAAGCAAAAATTCGAAATAAGTTTCTACTATGCTGTCTTAGACACGGTCATACAATCTGTTGAATAGAGATTCCAACAGCTACAACTATACAATGGCCTGTTTGGCCACCTGTGTGATATACAGAGCATCAACAGAAAAATCTGCTGAAGATGTACGTACTTAAGACCTGCTACAATTTTGAAAAATCATTCATACTCAATGGAAACAAAGATAGTGATGCTGAATATCTGTGTCGTGAATTTCTAGCAATAGCTCAAAGACTTCCAAAGTCTATACAAGGAGTACTTCTCTTCATAGAGCAAGAAAAACTCCTGGATAATGTGCCTAACGTTTCTGTTGCTCTAAGGAAACATCTCACACTTCCAGTGTTGGTGGCAAATGTATTTCTCAAAGCTCAAACATATAAAAACTTACATTTGCTCAAGAATGTTGCCTATACACACACACACACACACACACACACACACACACACAATATAGCAACTATATCAATTGAACATGCCCAAGCACCATTTTTAAAAATATATATATATATTTGGTTTTTCATATTAACATTATACAGTCACGTGTCCAACTCACAACATAAAAACAAGATTCCAAGGAATCCCTTGGACTTCCCTCCTCCCCTTTGTGGGTCCTGTTGTTAATCATTTCCTCCTGCATCTTTAAGTAAGTAAGTAAGTAAGTAAGTAAGTAAATTTCTATTTATACCCCGCCCTCCCTGGCCAAGACCGGGCTCAGGGCAGCTAACATCAAATATCAAATACATTAAAACACAATCAAACAATTGATTAAAATACAACTTAAAAATTAGAATCAGGATAAAATTAAATGATTGTCCACGAATTACAACCATACGGGTCAGGAACCTCAAGTATTCATCAGGGCCAGCTATCTATGTTGGTCCCACATGTGCTGATAAAAGGACCAAAGAAGTAACTTACAGGGTCCCAAACTGGTAATGATAATCCAAAATATTTTTCTTCTCCATCGTGTCCAAAATTCACCATTAAACTGCAAGTGATATTCCAACCCTGCTAATGATTTTAACTGTTTACAATGGTTTTTATGATAAGTTATAAATTTTCCCCATTCCTTATTAAAATTTTGGTCTTCCTGATTTCTGATTCTTCCAGTCATTTTGACCATTTCGGCAAAATCCATCAACTTCATCTGCCATTCTTCTTTGATAGGGACTTTATCTTCTTTCCATCTCTGGGCCAATAACATCTGTGCAGCCATGGTTGCATACATAAATAGTCCTATCTGCTCCCTTGGGATTTCGGTGCCTAGAATTCCTAAAAGGAAGTCTTGGAGGGTTAGAAAAGGTTATTTTAAACATTTTTTTGTTCAACTCATTATATATTCCCAAGCATCACTACTTGACTGGAAGAAATTGGTAACAAAATTTGCAAAGGACTGTTATAACTGTTACTATTACTATTACCCAGTGCTTTTTTTTCTGGGGTATGCAGGGGTACACATACCCCTAAACCTTTTGTGAAGCTAAGTTTGGCCTCATTGAGGGGCAGTATTTCAATATGAGTAGGAAAATGAGAGTAGCCCTAAACATTTCTTTTAGGGGGGAAAAAGCACTGCTATTACCGGATGCAGTTCATGACAACACATCAGATCCATACACGAGATGTGATCAAAATATGAGAATCAGAAATGTGAGCAGCCCAGCCTGATTTCCTGCTAAAGGCAAATTCCCCAGCTGTGCTTCTCCTGTCTATTTCTTCCTGTATTCCCCCCTCCCTTCAAGGTTCATTTGCAAGCATGTATTCAACAAGAATAATCAGTTGAAGCTTATTTTGCTGATCAATCACCTCTGCGCATTTGCTGAAATCGCATATCTCCAAATGTTTGCACAGTTCAAATAAGTTAAAATAAGACTCTCTGCACACACGCCCTGCTGCTGCTGCCCAGAAAGCCCTGTGTAAACAGAACGCATTAAGTTCTATTCTGAAGTGGGCAGATAAAAGTAATTTCCTGAAACGTTTACCGAACTGCAGTCGCTTTCAAAATCCCCTACTTTCATTTCCTCTTACTCCAAAAAGAGTTGTAGAATGTTGGCTTGGCTGTGGCCTTTTGCCTGAAGTGTTGCTGGAAGAGGCAGCAGAACTGGAAAAATGGCTTCTCAGAACCCAGGGTGGGGGAAAATAAACCTTGAACCCATGTATTGGTCCCCAGCCCAAACTGGACAGGCAAGTGGAGGGAGAATATAGCAGACATGGCTGGCAACCATTGGCAGTCTCATCCTTCAGGAGTTTGCCCAGAACTCTTTCAAAGCCATCCAATTTGATGCTCATTGTTGTACTTTGAGGACGTCAACTCCACAGTTGTGCTATGTAGAAATGGGCTTCATTTTGCTTGTCCTGAATCCTGCAATGTTAATCACTTCCAGACCCTCGAAGCACCCCTTTTTTCCAGGGACAGTCCCAGAGTTACAAAAACCATCCCAGTTTCTGATTTTATCCTGGTATGTCCCACTTATGTCCCAAGGAGATAGGTAAGCAACTAAACAAGCTTTAGAAGACATCTGAATGCAGACGTGTACAGGGAAGTTGTTAAATATTTTATTATGTTCTTATATATGCTGGAAGCCATCCAGAGTGGCTGGGGCGACCCAGTCAGATGGGCAGAGTATAAGTAATAAGTAATAAGGGATGCGGGTGGTGCTGTGGTGTAAACCACTGAGCTTTGGGCTTGCCGATCAGAAGGTCGGCAGTTTGAATCCCACCACGGGGTGAGCTCCCGTTGCTCAGTCCCTGCTCCTGCCAACCTAGCAGTTCGAAAGCACGTCAAAGTGCAAGTAGATAAATAGGTACCACTCCAGCGGGAAGGTAAACGACATTTCTATGCACTGCTCTGGTTTGCCAGAAGCGGCTTAGGCGTCCTGGCTACATGACCCCAAAGCTGTCTGCGGACAAACGCCAGCTCCCTCGGCCTATAGAGTGAGATGAGTGCCGCAACCCCAGAGTTGTCCATGACTGGACCTAATGGTCAGGGGTCCCTTTACCTTTAATAAGTAATAAGTAATAGTTTGGTGTTGCTGTTGTTATTATTATTATTATTATTGAATAGGATGACATTTTCCCATTTTCATTGGAGAAATGTTATATTATCTTCTCTCAAAATCAGGTACATAGGCGTGTTGGTCTGACACAGTCAAAATAAAAAATAAAAATAAAATAAAAAATCCAGTAGCACCTTAGAAACCAACTAAATTTGTTCTGGCTACAAGCTTTGGTGTGCAAGCAGAAATCTGTGTATCTGAAGAAGTGTGCATGCACATGAAAGCTCATACCCAGAACAAACTTAGTTGGTCTCTAAGGTGCTACTGGAATTTTTCCCCCCAAAAAAAATATTTATCTCTTCTCTCAAAGGCTGTACACCTGCTTGCCTTGGGGCCTTTTAAAAGTCTCTTTGCAACTTATTTCTCTCTCTATTCAAAAAAGAAATCAGAAAGAATGTGAAGCTCCCATTGCCAATCAGATTAGGCAGTCTGACCTCACCCAGTTGTATTTCTCATCATGTTGAAATATATCCAGATCCAACTGGCGACATGACGGTGTTGTGATTTTGCGGAACACGGCCGATTTTAAGAATGTTTTGCTGCTGGTTGTGGCTGCAAACATCTGGAAACCCTTTTGGCATCTTTTCAGTGCGTGTTGATGACTTCTGCCTTTCAATAAGTCCTTCTAAGTTGAGATTTTTTTATCCCAGTCAGTGCAATATTTCGTATAATGAATTTGTATGTGTCATTTTCAAGGATGGAGAGGCTGAATTACATGAAGGAGCTGTGAGGGGATGGAGGTTGGGTTGAGGTACAAAGGGAAGGGGGTGGGTTGGCTGGATGGCAGGTAGACAGGGCTGTCAAGCAATGCAAGCAGTCCGGATACACACACACTGTTGCATGCCACCCCAATCTCTGAGCAGTGTGAGATTTGAACGGTTCTAGGCATTTACCCAGGGTTTGTGTTTCCTTTGAGGAATGAGGCACAGCAGGGAATGTGAGTCTTCATGATATATGGTTTGTGGACACATATATACAAGCTGAGCCTGTGATGGAGGGGTTCACAGCAAGCACCCCACAAGCATCTTGTTTCTCCCATAGCTGCAGTCTTCAATTAAGACAGAAAACAAACACCATGTTCTGCCTCCCTGGCTTTCCAACTTCCTGCCTTTCTTCTCAGTGACATCACTCTAGTCCTAACCTCTAAACTTTGGCTTTATCTGCTAAGCGGAGGGAGGCACCTATTTGGCATCCAGCAAAATCCCTTAGATTCTTTGCTGGTGCTCTCTTTCTTCTCCAGCTGCACTGGGTCCAGAGTGTCACTTTAAGCTTAGCACGATTAGGGAGAAAACAAAGGAGATGCAACAGCAACTCACATGTCCAGGGAGCAGCAACCCATCGGCCACAATATATAGGAGTTCAGGGCTTGATCCAGAGGGTCATAAGGTTGGGAATGTTCCAGGGCCTCATCCCCAGCAGATGACCCACTGCCCACAAAGAACCACCCTTTCCACTATGCACAGAGTATCCCAGCAGATCAGGTGATGGATGCACTTCTCAGGTTGCATCTCTTGTCTCCTCCAGAATAAGGGAACCCACTGAAGCTCCTGAGGCTGAGGGTTCCTGAATCCTGGAACCACCACTGCCTGGAATCTATGGTTCAGCTTTGTGGATCAGCAGGAACAAGAGCCTATGTTAGAGTGAGACAGCTGACCCAAGCAACAAATACTTGTTAGAGGGGATGAGTAGCCAACTGCTTTCCTTGGGGAGGGATGTAGATTATTGCATGCAACCTGATGCCTGAATAAAAAGGGACTATAAAATATAAACTTCTTGTTAATTCTTATCTGGGAAGTTACTGAAGGGGGCAGGCTCTCCACACTTCAACTGATGGAATTTGGGTCATTATTTATCTTCCAGACAGTCTCCCCCCACCCCTTATCGTTTGAGAACTGGGTAGCAATTCAAGCTTTTAGACAGTAAAGAGAAAGTCATCCTACAGCAGGGTAATGGCCCCATTGCTGGTGCCAGCTGTCCAGATGAGAACCAGTGTGGTGTAATGGTTAAGAGCAGTGGACTCGTAATCTGGTGAACTGGGTTCGCGTCCCCGCTCCTCCACATGCAGCTGCTGGGTGACCTTGGGCTAGTCACACTTCTTTGAAGTCTCTCAGCCCCACACGCCTCGCATAGTGTTTGTTGTGGGGGAGGAAGGGAAAGGAGAATGTTAGCCACTTTGGGACTCCTTAGGGTAGTGATAAAGTGGGATATCAAATCCAAACACTTCTTCTTCCATTAAGAAATCTTGGTGGGAATTCATTGGATGCAGGCATGTATCCTTCCTTTCCTTCAGTTCCTGACATGTGATGTGCAGTTGACCCCATCAAACCTTTATGCTGAACCAGAAGCCATTTCTATCCAGTTCTATCTTGTGCCACCCAGTCCACTTTCTGTGTACATTATGAGCAAATGCCATAACCCCTTTCGGATTTTAGCTCTGCCTTCTGAGAGCTAAAAAGAGTTGGTGCCTCATGTGTTTTTCCTGAAATTTAGCAGAAAGGAACCTCTTGGGGAAAGGTTTTGCACTACATTTCTACATTCTACGTTCACTTGGAAATGTACAAAGCCAACCAAAATGGGATCAGACCACTGGTCAGTCCATCTCAGGGTTACCCACACTGACTAGCAGTAACTTTCCAGGATTTCAGACAAGGATTATTTCCAGCCCCCCCTCAAAATGTCAGGGATTGAACGAAGGCATGCAGCGCTATACTCCTCCCTCCCCACTTTCCTGGGAGTAAACCCCAGTAGACATAATAGGACTTCCTTCTGAGTAAGCATGCAAAAGGTTGTGTCAGTTTAAGCCAACCTAATGGAATACTCGCCCCAACAAAAGGACAATTAAAAAATTAATTAATAGCAATAATGCACAAGGATGTCAGATTCTTACACGTTTGTAAAAAGAGAAAAGCATAAAGAATAACAACTTGAGTGGTGGGTGGGTGTAGCTAATCACATATTTATTGAAGGGATGGTGACAAATTATCCAATGGTTTTCTGAAAGGAGTGGAATCAATTAACCAATGATTTATTTGAAAAGAGCAGACTGGCTCATTCTTCCTCGTGGTTGTAAAAACTTCTGCTAAGGAGTTTCTTGGAACTTCACCATCTCTTGCCTCAGCGTACACAGCACAGCAGAACATTGCGATATGGACAGTTGTTCCATTTCTCCTCCCACTTCAAACCATTATGGCACCGGTAGCCCCGTGGCAGGCAATATCCTTTGTTGCCAAAGCAGCCGACGACCGCAAGTCGTGTAGAAGCCTTTGGCCCAGAGTCTGCATATAAAAGAGGAGGGAAACATTCTTCAAAATACTTGAAGGGCTGTGAGACACAGAAATGACCAAACACCCCATGGGCTTAAGATCAGGGCCGATTTCAGCTGAACAGTAGGAGGAGCATCTTGATGATGAGAGCAGTTTAGTGATGGCTGGTCCATTGGGGTGAATGGGGCACTCCCCTACCAACTTGAGGTTTCCTCCAGGCAGCCCCCACCTACCTGCCCTCTCACTCATAACTACCTGTCGGCTTTATCCTCCTGCAATCCCTGCAGAACTCAACAGAGAGAGGAGGAGGGGGATATTCCTTCTGAAGAATCCTCAGCGTTTTACTCCTAGTTACTCGTTTTTGTATCTGTTTGCAACTTTCCTTTGTTCTCAGACATCTGATAGCACGTGATGAGCTGTTTTAATGCTTCTCCACCTTTATTGATTTATTGCTAATTGCCTGTTACCTTTTATGGATTTACTGTTTTCATTATTATATGGCTTCACTGTTGTCGGCTCTCTGGTTATAGACTCTGTATGATGCATATATTTCATATTAGTCTTAAATATTTCTGTATTTTTGTAAGTCACCGTGGGTTATGATTAAATAGGTTTTGGGATTTTGCATGCAGTTTTGCCTAATGTAAACACTGCTGTAAATGATTTTACACAACAGAATGCATTTATGTGATTAACAACAACAACAATATGATCATGCTCATAATCCTCATTCTCCAAATCCTCATCCACATAAAGGCACACTTTACCCTAATACATGCCTCTGATGTCTAGTGGAAAACCTACAGTGTGGGCATTACCAACCCCAACATGTCATCCTAGAAATTCTCACGCTTGAGGTTCTGCAACTTCTTGGCTACTATGAAGTACATTTCTCACTCAACCATTCATCTAGAATATCGGTGACTTGACGCAATGCAAAGACTATCTAAGAGTATGTAGAGACAATTGTCCACCACGGAGCCAGCATATCTCTATCAGGAATGGTGATGCTGACAAGAGCATGCATAGCCATAATCAGGGCATGTTCCAGCCAAAGAGAAGCATTTTAAGAGATTTCAGTGGAAAAGTGAATCCCTGCACCCCAGTGAAATCCAGAACCTGTCCACCATGGAAGGTGTAGGAGATCATCTTCCATGTACATAACAATTACCTTCATCCTGCAAACCTTGATCGTCACCAGCAGGGTCTTCCCCCGGGAGGAGGTCTTTCAAGTCCTCTCCCTCTTGCTTCTCCATTTTGGCCAGATCTGCTTCATCAGCCTGGGCACTGCAAAGGAAGACCAATGCAAAGAAAAGACAGACAAACTTCATGGCTCTTAGAAAATTTGTTGGTGCTACTGCAAGGAATCCCAAGGATGGACTGGCAATGGTGATGCCTTGACAGAGTTCATGTCTATATATACAGGTTGGAAGCCAAGAAGGCTGCCCTAATGGGCTGCATTTCATTGACTTTGAAGTAGCACTTTAGGGAAGGGAGCAAGATAAGGCCACATCTGAGATTACTTGATTCTTAATGACAAGATTCTCTTTGATGTTGCCCGCAGTCCGCAGGCCTTTTCTTTGGCGTTGAAATAATTGTATTTAGCTTGTTGCTGTTACTAATAACCCCTTTGCTCCCCATATGCTTGTCTCCTCATCTCCCCATCAGGCAGCTGACACATCCTCGCCATAATCTACTAAGCAATATTTATTTTGATGGTCCTGGGCTCTGAGTGTGGGGGAAAACTTGGCATTTGTGGTATTGTTCAACGCCCTTTTGGGAGACTCTCTAGATATATATTTTTTTTATTTCATGATTTTCAAAGTTCATTTACCACCATTTCCCAAAATCTTGTAATAATTTTTTTATTCTGCTATAGGAATGAACTTCCAATGCAATGTGGGTTTCTCTCAGTTTCTCAGGTTTCCAATCTTAAATTCAGTTATAATTTTTTTCCTGGCAATTTCACTTTATTTTTCAAAAGAAAATAACCCTCAGGAGAATTCAACAGCATTTCTTCCAATAAGCATCTTTTTGTATGCAGGGTTGACAAAGGACCTTTTCTTCAAACAATTTTTATGCTATGATGCATTTTGCATGTTATTCTTGCGGCTTGTGTACTTTCTGCTTAATATATGCACTTTGTGTCCTTTTCGGAGTTGGGAAAAAAATGGATTGAAAGATCTGAAAGTCTGCATTTTGATGTATAGCTGGTTTTTCCTATGCGGACTGGTCTGAAACTGCAAATTAGGCAGTTTCTCATTAAATGCATCAAAATAAAACTCCTCCCCCACCCTTATTCTGCTCTTTATTTAGTTGGGTAATTATTGTCTCTGTGGTATTCAGGATACAGGTTTTGAGTGCCACAGGGCTCTGACCTAAGCCCTGTATAATTGAAAATTTTCATGAATAAGACTAGGACACGGAAGAGTTGCTCCTTGAATAGGTAGATGACACAAAACCAGGAGGCACAGTTAACACCGTTGATGGCAGTATGAAGATTCAGTATGAACTTGACAGTCTGGGACCTTTGATTGAAACTGACAGAATGAGAATCAACTGATATAAATCTACATCACTGCTTCAGTTGTAAAAGAAAGACACACACATTTAGAACAAGGAAGGCACAGATTGGCAGCAGAAGAGGGGAAAGTATAGAAAATGATATTCGTTCTACACTTTTCTACACATCTTGGATACTGTGTCAAGTTTTGGACAACACATTGAGATACAGAAGTATGTCTAGAGGGGGAGCAGATTGGTGAGGGGATTTCCTAATAATTCATAGTTGGATGAGTGGAATATCTTAGGAGCTGTATAGGTGAAACAGGGCCGGATTTAGGTTTGATGAGGCCCTAAGCTAGTGAAGGTAATGGGGCTCTTTATAAGTCCAGCTGTCCTTTGTCAACAACAAAGTGTCACTGTTTTTTGTGTTGAATATATGCTATGTGGTAATTTATGGACCTAATAGGTACCGAAAGCCATTTGCACATAACAAAATATGTATTTTATCAAAGTAAATGTTGAACCGAAATACAATTAAGAAGAAGTACAGTGGTACCTTGGGTTACAGACGCTTCAGTTTACATACGCTTCAGGTTACAGACTCCGCTAACCCAGAAATAGTGCCTCAGGTTAAGAACTTTGCTTCAGGATGAGAACAGAAATCGTGTGGTGGTGGCATGGCGGCAGTGGGAGGACCCATTAGCTAAAGTGGTACCTCAGGTTAAGAACAGTTTCAGGTTAAGAACGGACCTCCAGAATGAATTAAGTTCTTAACCCAAGGTACCACTGTATATTAATAGTGAAATACAATTAAGAAGAAGTATATTAATAGTGAAATAATTATTAAGCTCTAACTTAAAATGATTGGGGGCCCATTATTTACATCATAGGAGCCTACTCAACACAAAACACCGTTGCCGTATGTAGGTTTTATTTTATTTGTTTTTTATCTTATATTTTGAAAATGTACATCACATCCAGATTTTTTTTCTTTATTTTTTGGGGGGCCCCCAAGAGAGTGGAGCCCTAAGTTATAGCTCGTTTAGCTTATACATAAATCTGGCACGGAGGTGAAATTATCTAGTTGTCTTAGCTGATTTGAGCCAGCAGATGCCTGCTAAAATTGACTCATCTTAGGCTGCATTCAAATCATGATGGTAATAAAGTGGATCCTGTTTTGGGTGCCCCATTGATAAATGGCAGTGCGTTCAGAGGAAGACGGTCAGGTTGGCGAGGGCATCTCTTAAGAACAAGCATGTTTAAACTGCAAAAGCATAAGACATAGCATAAACAAGGCAGCTCTTTTTGAGTATCTGAATGACAACCAATAGAATTGGAACAGGATGAGTCAGCCACGTGATGGTGAGGAAACAGGTTGACAGATGGGAAGCCAGAGGGTAATTAGGAAGGAGGTTAAGGTAAATAGGTGCTGCAATACTGATGAAAGGGCCAATATATTTGGAGGCAACTTCAAAGATAACTCAGCCATGAAGAATAAAATGATCTCAAATGCCATATGTGATGTTATATTGCACCCTTGTCACGGGTGCAAATTCAAAGCCAGTGGAACATAGCCTGGTGGCAGTCCTGTATACAGTTGTACCTCAGGTTACATACGCTTCAGGTTACATAAGCTTCAGGTTACAGACGCCGCTAACCCAGAATAGTACCTCAGGTTAAGAACTTTGCTTCAGGATGAGAACAGAAATTGTGCTCCGGCGGCGCGGCAGCAGCGGGAGGCCCCACTAACTAAAGTGGTGCTTCAGGTTAAGAACAGTTTCAGGTTAAGAACGGACCTCCAGAATGAATTAAGTTCTTAACCCGAAGTACCACTGTATAGGAATAAATTCTTCCCTTAAGGGCATTACTGTTGTCAATTATCTCTGTGGTCTTTTACAATGAGAACCCCCAAAGTTTACAGCTGTGAGGTTCCTCTGTCACTTTTGCAGTGGTCGTCTTTTGCAGTCTGCAGGCTGACATTTATGCATTCTGTGCACACTTAGGGACACACACTCCGCCTTGTCCCCGCAATTGAGGGAGCTGGGGTCACGCAACGTCAGCATGCCATGCATGCACACCGCACCACAGGGCATGCTGACATCATGCACACACGCTGCCAGGGTGTGCTGATGTGTCATGTGGGTGTCCCACAGCCCTGTAGCTAATGCCACACAGCCACCACAAAACTTTGAGGGTGAGCCGCCTCTTCACTGAAAATATTTGGGGGTCCTTGGCACCCCCAGCCCCTCCCTATTTGGCGCACCTGTTTTAGAAGATTGAAAGCTGGCTTGGGGCTCATTCACAGCATCATTTCCCCCTGGGAAAACCCTCAGTTTATGACTGAATCCAGAGGCAGAGTTTGGGGACAAACACTGGAGGGGCTCAGTGCCATTGTCATGTGCCTGTGACGTCACTGAGCTCCACTCCTTCCTTTCCGCTTTTCTAGGACTAAACTCCAGTAAATGTCATGGGATTTCCTTTGAGTAAACATGCAAAGGGTTGCGTCATTAGAAGCCAACCTTCATGGGAAAACTGCCCCAACCTATGCATAATAGAAATATAACAAATATAGTGGTACCTCAGGTTACAGATGCTTCAGGTTACAGACTCCACTAACCCAGAAATACCGTAGTACCTTGGGTTAAGAACTTTGCCCCAGGATGGGAACAGAAATCGCGCAGCGGCAGTGGGAGGCCCCATTAGCTGAAGTGGTACCTCAGGTTAAGAACGGTTTCAGCTTAAGAACAGACCTCTGGAACGAATTACGGTAAGTTCGTAACCAGAGGTACCACTGTAACTAAGTAATGAACGAGGATTTCAGATTCCATGTTCTTGCGTGTATGCAAAAAAGAAACTTAAGGTAAAACAATTTGAGCAGGGTTTGTGTGCAATTAATAGGTCATTTATTGAAGGGGAGCGGAGGTTAATTAACCAATGATTTGCTGAAAGGAGTAGAAATGATAAACAGGTGATTTATTCGAAAGGAGTGGAGTGGTTAATTCTAGAAACTTCTTCCAAAAGTTTTCACGACACTCCGCCAAATCTTGTATCAGCGCACACAGCACTTCAGAATGTCAGGATACGGACAGTTATTTTCTTCATCCACGAACACCATGCCTGTATCACACTGAAAATCCTTTGGCAGGCAGTAACCCTTGTTCATTGAAGCACAGAGGACCACCGTAATCCTTGAAGAATCCTTTGGTTCTTTCTTCAGCCCAGGGTCTGAATGTAAAAAAGAAGCATTCATGAAAATATTGTCGGACATAAAAATGAGCAAAACACTCATTTATGGGAGGGTAGATTTCGGTTGGAGGAAAAACTTAATGGTGAGAGTAGATCAGTGATGGCTGGTCCGTTGGGTTGAATGGGGCCCATTTCAGCTTCCTCCTCCTGTACAACTTGACAAAGGGAAGGATGGGGATAAAATGAGAATCGGTTGGTTCTGCTTCTCATTGGCTTTGGCTGTTGGCCTCCTTACCTTCCACCCTATCAGTTCCAATGGGCACCAGCCAGCACTGTAGCACCCAACAGTGAAGCCAAATAACTAAAGGGCTAATCACTGCAGGGGTCAGCACACTTTTTCATCAGGGGGCCGGTCCACTGTCCCTCAGACCTTGTGGGGAGGGGGTCAGACTATATTTTTGGGGGGGAAATAATGAACGAATTCCTATGCACCCAGAGATGCATTTTAAATAAAAGGACACATTCTACTCATGTAAAAACATGCTGATTCCCGGATTTGGAAGGCGATTGTGCCAGATCCGGCCCCTGGGCCTTAGTTTGCCTACCCATGGGCTAATGGGCTTTCCCTCACAGGATGGAAGTTTTCAAGCAGTGGCTTGGCATCATTTGGTGGGGGTGGTCTAGGTATGGACTATCCAACACAGGGTTGGACTAGAATGCCAGGTGGATCCACTTCAACGCAGCCTCAGAGTAAGCCCCATTGACTTCAGTAGGGCTCGCTTCCAAATAGATATGCATAGGATTGCATTCTAAACAAACAACTGGTGAATAATCTGGCAATTTCGGTTTCCCCCAATGTCTCACTTCTTGCATCTTAAATTCAGTTTCCCACATTTGCATACTAACTCTTCTTCTTTTTTAATCATTCTAAAAATAACTCAGTTTTTTACTGTTAATTTCTCATTTTGCTGAATTGTATATTATGCTGGTTTTGTTACTTTTTATGGGTTGTGGTTTTCCATTACTGCAGGGCTTGACTGTTCTTTATTCTTTTGTTTTAGACTCTGTATATTTTATATATGCATATATCTGCTTTATATATTTCAGTATTTTTATAAGTTGCCTTTGTTCATTTTGAAAAAGGTACGACTATTAATTAAATAATGTACGCACCTTTGCCCAATGTAAACATTGCTGTCAACAACACTGGGATGCATTTTCATGTTATTTTTAGGCACATTTTTACCTAATAGATGCACATTTGTACATGTTATTTGGCTGCAGAACTGCCTTCTAAAAATTCAGAGAAGGGTGAATTTCAAATGTTGGTTGTGTTTCAGTTTTGCATATTAAGAACATAAGAAAAGCCTGCTGGATCAGGCCAATGCCCCATCTAGCCCACCATCCTGCTCTCACAATGACCACATGTCCCCTTCAGGAATTGGTGGGGGGGGTGTCAAAAAGAGTGAAGAAAGTGGCGGGAAAGAGAGGGAGAGGAAAGAAGAGGATGGCAGAGAGAGGGAGGGCTGTCCTGCCTTCATTTGACTATAGTCTCACCCACCACTGCTATACAGCTCCTTACAGGCTGCCCCTGAGGGAATATAAATAAAGACTTCCCAGCCCAGACCTTGAAAGAACAGGTCCATGCTACAATCCTAGGCTGCAGTGCTAAAATGCACAGTACCACCAAACTCAGTAGGTGTTGGGACTGAATGCATGCCATCATCCGAGTAAGAGCTGGGCAATGAAACAGTTTTCTTGTGTCCTTCCTGTGAAGCTGGAAAGTCCCGAGTAGCTGGATCATACCCTTCAACATGCCCCAGAGGAAAATTGGGATGCACGCCTTTCAGGGCCACAAACAGGACATCTCAGATCAGAAGCTGGGAAGACTTCTGTAATTCTGGGATGTTCCACTTAAAGCGGAACAGTTTGAGGGGTTTGTAATTCTAGATAATCCTTTTTCCACCACACCCTACAGGAGCTGATCTAGGGTTGCACTTCCAACTGCAGTTCTAGGATTCTTGCACAGCCTGCGGTACCTAAGTGGAATGCTGTTGTTCAGCCCAACTTACCGTCTTTATAAGCACGAGACACATCAGCCTCCTTGACTTCCACTTCATCCTCAGATGGTGGTTTGGGATTGGCCTGGACCTGGAAAACCAAGAAGGCAACAGCGAAGAGAACGCAAAGCGCCTTCATGGCTGTCGATTGGCTGCGCTTGCAATGCTAGCCGGAAGACAAGGCTCAATGAAGTAAGGGATGGAGAATCTTTGGGAGTGTGGCTGGTATTTATACCACTTATACCAGGAAACGACTCGAATAGTTTTAGGTTTCTGAGACTGCTGCCAACATTAGCTATCAGTTGCTTCCAGGGATGTGCTCTGCATTCTGGCATCCTCCAGGTGGCGGCAAGCAAAGCAGGTAGAGAGACATAGAAAGAACAGCCCGTTGGGTTAACTTTCCTTCCTGTAATTCAGTGGAGGGAGACATCTTGACCAGAACGCCAAAGGGAAGGTCTAGCAGATCTATAGGCCTAGCTGCTACTTGTGAATTATGGGGAAGACAGTACATAAACTAAAATGGTAAGGGTGGAGGAGGAGGAGAGAGAAAGAGGAGTTAGAAGAAAAACCAGGAAAAAGAAAACAGGAAATACTATCTTGCCAAAATAGAATTAGGATCTAGTTGTTGTTATTTTTTAAAGGTCTTGCTTGACTGTTCACCTTTGCCACAAGATTTAAAAAACTTGAGGGTGGGAGCTCAGGCCTGTGGGCCAAATGTAGGCTACCAGGCCCCCTTTATCCCTACGATAAAGGCATACCTAAGAGGCATTTTAATATTTACAAAGCTACTAAGCAGGGCCTGGAGCAAGCTACCAGCAGAAGACAAAGTTCTCTGTTTTTCTTTTTGCCGAAAATTGAAGATGGGCCAGTCCTCATTCTACTCTGAATCAGGCAGGATGAGAGAGAAGCAACTGCAAGAATTCATCTAAGCAACTAAAGCCTACTTTTAGGGGAAGGACTGTACCACAGCGAGAGGGTATTTGCTTGGCATTCAAAATGACATATAAACATAAGTAGAGCCCTGTCGACAAAACTAGACAGCATCTTAAAAAGTAGAGACAAAACTAGACAGCATCTTAAAAAGTAGAGATATCACCTTGCCAACAAAGGTCCATATAGTTAAAGCTATGGTTTTCCCAGTAGTGATGTATCCCAAGTGAGAGCTGGACCATAAAGAAGGCTGATCGCTGAAGAATTGATGCCTTTGAATTCTGGTGCTGGAGGAGACTCTTGAGAGTCCCATGGACTGCAAGAAGATCAAACCTCTCCATTCTGAAGGAAATCAGCCCTGAGTGCTCACTGGAAGGACAGATCCTGAAGCTGAGGCTCCAATACTTTGGCCACCTCATGAGAAGAGAAGACTCCCTGAAAAAGACCCTGATGTTGGGAAAGATGGAGGGCAGAAGAAGATGGGGACGACAGAGGACGAGATGGTTGGATAGTGTTCTCGAAGCTACCAGCATGAGTCTGACCAAACTGTGGGAGGCAGTGGAAGACAGGAGTGCCTGGCGTGCTCTGGCCCATGGGGTTACGAAGAATCGGACACGACTAAACGACTAAACAACAGAGCCCTGTCAGATCAGGCCATTGACTCTTGCCCAGCATCCTGATCTCACAGTGGCCGCCCAGATGCCTGTGGGAAACCTTCAAGTAGGACATGAGCGCAAGCCCTCTCCTCTCCTGTAATTTGCAAGTGGTATTCAAAAGCATCACCGCCTCCAACTGTGGATAAGTCCCTGACATCTCTAGGTAGGCTAGGATTTTCCCTACATGAAGCCCCAGAAAGCTGCCAATCAGTGTGGACAATACTGAACTAGATGGATCAATGGTGCAAGGCAGTTCCCCATGAGCCTATAATATTGGCCCTTTCATTAGGATTACAGCACCTATTTACCTTAAACTCCTTCCTAATTACCCTCTGCCTTCCCATCTGTCAGCCTGTTTCCTCACCATCATGTGGCTGACTCATCCTGCTCCGATTCTATTGGTTGTCATTCAGATACTTGAAAAGAGCTGCCTTGTTTATGCTATGTCTTACGCTTTTGCAGTTTAAACATGTTTGTTCTTAAGAGATGCCCTCGAAAACCTGGCCATCTTCCTCTGAACGCACTGCCATTTATCAACAGGGCACCCAAAACAGGACCCACTTTATTACCATTCAGGATCTGTATGCAGCCTGAGATGATGTGTCAGCTGCCTGATGGGGAGATGAGGAGGCCAGCAGATGGGGAGCAAAGGGGTTATTAGCAACAGCAACAAGGTAAATACAATTATTTCAACTCCAAAGAAAAGGCCTGCAGATAGGGGCAACATCAAAGAGAATCTTGTCATTAAGAATTAAATAATCTCTGATGTCCTATGCGGCCTTATCTTGCTCCCTTCCCTAAAGTGCTACTTCAAAGTCAATGAAATGCAGCCCATTAGGGCAGCCTTCTTGGCTTCCAACCTGTATATATAGACATGAACTCTGTCAAGGCATCACCATTGCTAGTCCATCCTTGGGATTCCTTGCAGTGGCACCAACAAATTTTCTAAGAGCCATGAAGTTTGTCTGTCTTTTCTTTGCATTGGTCTTCCTTTGCAGTGCCCAGGCTGATGAAGCAGATCTGGCCAAAATGGAGAAGCAAGAGGGAGAGAACCTGAAAGACTTCCTCCAGGAGGAAGACCCTGCTGGTGACGATCAAGGTTTGCAGGATGAAGGTAATTGTTATGTACATGGAAGATGATCTCCTACACCTTCCATGGTGGACAGGTTCTGGATTTCACTGGGGTGCAGGGATTCACTTTTCCACTGAAATCTCTTAAAATGCTTCTCTTTGGCTGGAACATGCCCTGATTATGGTTATGCATGCTCTTGTCAGCATCACCATTCCTGATAGAGATATGCTGGCTCCGTGGTGGACAATTGTCTCTACATACTCTTAGATAGTCTTTGCATTGCGTCAAGTCACCGATATTCTAGATGAATGGTTGAGTGAGAAATGTACTTCATAGTAGCCAAGAAGTTGCAGAACCTCAAGCGTGAGAATTTCTAGGATGACATGTTGGGGTTGGTAATGCCCACACTGTAGGTTTTCCACTAGACATCAGAGGCATGTATTAGGGTAAAGTGTGCCTTTATGTGGATGAGGATTTGGAGAATGAGGATTATGAGCATGATCATATTGTTGTTGTTGTTAATCACATAAATGCAGTTTGTTGTGTAAAATCATTTACAGCAGTGTTTACATTAGGCAAAACTGCATGCAAAATCCCAAAACCTATTTAATCATAACCCACGGTGACTTACAAAAATACAGAAATATTTAAGACTAATATAAAATATATGCATCATACAGAGTCTATAACCAGAGAGCCGACAACAGTGAAGCCATATAATAATGAAAGCAGTAAATCCATAAAAGGTAACAGACAATTAGCAATAAATCAGTAAAGGTGGAGAAGCATTAAAACAGCTCATCACGTGCTATCAGATGTCTGAGAACAAAGGAAAGTTGCAAACAGATACAAAAACGAGTAACTAGGAGTAAAACGCTGAGGATTCTTCAGAAGGAATATCCCCCTCCTCCTCTCTCTGTTGAGTTCTGCAGGGATTGCAGGAGGATAAAGCCGACAGGTAGTTATGAGTGAGAGGGCAGGTAGGTGGGGGCTGCCTGGAGGAAACCTCATGTTGGTAGGGGAGTGCCCCATTCACCCCAATGGACCAGCCATCACTGAACTGCTCTCATCATCAAGATGCTCCTCCTACTGTTCAGCTGAAATCGGCCCTGATCTTAAGCCCATGGGGTGTTTGGTCATTTCTGTGTCTCACAGCCCTTCAAGTATTTTGAAGAATGTTTCCCTCCTCTTTTATATGCAGACTCTGGGCCAAAGGCTTCTACACGACTTGCGGTCGTCGGCTGCTTTGGCAACAAAGGATATTGCCTGCCACGGGGCTACCGGTGCCACAATGGCTTGAAGTGGGAGGAGAAATATAACAACTGTCCATTCCGCAATGTTCTGCTGTGCTGTGTACGCTGAGGCAAGAGATGGTGACGTTCCAAGAAACTCCTTAGCAGAAGTTTTTACAACCACAAGGAAGAATGAGCCAGTCTGCTCTTTTCAAATAAATCATTGGTTAATTGATTCCACTCCTTTCAGAAAACCATTGGATAATTTGTCACCATCCCTTTAATAAATCTCTGATTAACTACATCCACCCACCACTCAAGTTGTTATTCTTTATGCTTTTCTCTTTTTACAAACATGTAAGAATCTGACATCCTTGTGCATTATTGCTATTAATTAATTTTTTTAATTATCCTTTGGTTGGGGCACGTTTCCATGAAGGTTGGCTTAAACTGACATAACCTTTTGCATGCTTACTCAGAAGGAAGTCCCATTATGTCAACTGGGGTTTACTCCCAGGAAAGTGGGGAGGGAGGAGTATAGCTCTGCATGCCTTGGTTCAATCCCTGACATCTTGAGGTGGGGCTGGAAATAATCCTTGTCTGAAATCCTGGAAAGCTATTTCTTGTCTGTGTGGGAATCCTCAGATGGACTGACCAGTGGTCTGATCCCATATCAGTTGGCTTTCTACATTTCCAAGTGAACGTAGAATGTAGAAATGCAGTGCAAAACCTTTCCCCATGAGGTTCCTTTCTCCTAACTTTTAGGAAAAACACATGAGGCACCACCTCTTTTTAACTCTCAGAAGGCAGAGCTAAAATCTGAAAGGGGTTATGGCATTTGCTCATAATGTACACAGAAAAGTGGACTGGGTGGCACAAGATAGAACTGAATAGAAATGGCTTTTGGTTCAACATAAAGGTTTGATGGTGTCAATTGCACATCACATGTCAGGGATTGAAGGAAAGGAAGGATGCATGCCTGCACCCAATGAATTCCCACCGAGATCTCTTAATGGAGGCCCCATCTGGACAGCTGACACCAGGAATGGGGCCATTACCCTGCTGTAGGATGACTTCCTCTTTACTGTGCAAAAGCTTGAATTGCTACCCAGTTCTCAAATGATAAGTGGTGTGTGTGGGGGGGGGGGGAGAATGTCTGGAAGATAAATAATGACCCAAATTCCATCAGTTGAAGTTCAAAAGTGTCATGTGTGGAGAGCCTGCCCCCCCTTCAGTAACTATTAATGAATTAATGAGGGATGCGGGTGGTGCTGTAGGTTAAACCACAGAGCCTAGGACTCGCCGATCAGAAGGTCGGTGGTTTGAATCCCCGCGACGGGGTGAGCTCCCATTGCTCGGTCCCTGCTCCTGCCAACCTAGCAGTTCGAAAGCACGTCAAAGTGCAAGTAGATAAATAGTTACTGCTCCGGTGGGAAGGTAAACAGCGTTTCCGTGCGCTGCTCTGGTTTGCCAGAAGCGGCTCAGTCATGCTGGCCACATGACCCAGAAGCTGTATGCCGGCTCCCTTGGCCAATAAAGCAAGATGAGTGCCGCAACCCCAGAGTCAGCCATGACTGGACCTTTACCTTTATATTTTATAGTCTCTTTTTATTCAGGCATCAGATTGCAAGCAAATATCTACATCCCTCCCCAAGGAAAGCAGTTGGCTACTCTAATCATCCCCCTTCCGTCTTCTGCAGCAGCCGAGGCGCTAACTGGAAGCTCCTCCTCCTCTCTGCTTCTTTTGTTCTCTGAACAGTCAGACCGCCCAGTTCGTGGGGAGGGAGGGTCCCACAAACTGTCTAATGACGTCTCTGTTCTCAGTCTGCTTTCTTCAAACATCTTCTTATGCATCTCTATCTTTCATATCTGCTTCCCTACTTGCCTGAACCACCATCTCAAGCGGGAAGGTCTGAAGAAGGAGCAAGTTTAGATGGATGCAGTTACTGCCTTCCTCTATGGATGCAACTTCAGAGCACCTGTACAACTAGATTGGCTAATCAGAGCTTCAAAGAGCAGGAAAACATGAATGAGTCAGAAAGAGGATGGCAGTTCAATGAAGGATTGGGTAAAGTGCAAACAGAAATGGTTTCAAAATGGTTCCAAGTGGTTTCAAGGGTCATTATAGCAGAGTTTCAACAATGCTGGTGGCAATCTCAGAAGTGCAACACAATTCCCCCTCGTCATTTCCTCATCCTTTTGCCAGAATGGGAATAACTGTATAAATATCAGTGATCTGGAGTAAGGCATTCAAAGCTTCCCCAACTATTCCTTCCCTTGAGCCTTTGGCTTCCATTGGTGCTGTGACTGTGGGCACCATGTGATGATGAAGGTCCTTTGTATCCTCTAACTTGCTGTCTGAGATTGCTGCCAGCATTGTGCTTTTCACTCTGCAGCTTTCTCTTTGAAGCTCTGATTAGCCAATCTCTGAAATTGCTCTTGTGACGGGTTGAGCTCCCATTGCTCAGTCCCTGCTCCTGCCAACCTAGCAGTTCGAAAGCACGTCAAAGTGCAAGTAGACAAATAGGTACCACTACGGCGGGAAGGTAAACGGCATTTCCATGCGCTGCTCTGGTTTGCCAGAAGCGGCTTAGTCATGCTGGCCACATGACCCGGAAGCTGTATGCCGGCTCCCTCAGCCAATAAAGCGAAATGAGAGCTGCAACCCCAGAGCTGGCCACGACTGGACCTAATGGTCAGGGGTCCATTTACCTTTCCCTTCTTGGACGATGATAGAAATATCATTAATAGAACTCAGTGGGGCCATCCAATGAAGCTCAAAGTGGGTGCTTCCCTGGGGTTTTCCACTTCTCCCACACTTTCGAGACATGGATCCAAGCAGTTTTGCCTTTGCTCCACTACTCCCCCTCCCCAACCCCCCCCCCTTGCTCTTGAACAGTGAATCTGAACACTGAACACTGAAATCAGAATAGTGATCTGTTGGAAATTGCCCTTTTTTCTGATTCAGCACTAAACCATGAGTTTCCCCAGGAGAAAGCAGTGGGGTGAACAGAAGTGTGGAAGAGCCCTTAAATTGAAATTAGTGGGGCAATTCCCTCTGCAGTGCATAGCAGTTAAGCATGGAAATTGATCCCACAAGAGGCAGTGGTGGCCACTAAACTGGATGGCTTTAAAAGAGGATTAGATAAAGTCTGGGAGGATGACTACTAACCCTGGTGACCATGCTTTCCCAAGGACTCTCCAGCAGGGACACGGGTGGCGCTGTGGTCTAAACCACAGAGCCTCTTGGGCTCGCCAATTGGAAGGTCGGTGGTTCGAATCCCCGCAAAGGGGTGAGCTCCTGTTGCTCTGTCCCAGCTCCTGCCAACCTAGCAGTTCAAAAGCATACCAGTGCAAGTAGATAAATAGGTACCACTGTGGTGGGAAGCTAAACGGCATTTCCATGTGCTCTGGTTTCCGTCATGGTGTTCAGTTGTGCCAGAAACGGTTTAGTAATGCTGGCCACATGACCCGAAAAGCTGTCTGTGGACAAATGCCAGCTCCCTCGGCTTGAAAGTGAGATGAGTGCCACAACCCCATAGTTGCCTTTGACTCGACTTAACTGTCCATGGGTCCTTTACCTTTACCTTTCTTACCTGCCTTGACTGTGGGAAGCAGCACATTTCTGAATACCAGTTGCTGGAAACTACAGAGGTGAGAGCATTGCTGTGCCCAGATCCTGCTTCCGAGCTTCTTATTGAGTTATCTGGTTGGCCGCTGTGAGAACAGGATGCTGGACCAGACTGGCTTCTCTCAGAACAAAGAGGAGAACAAATTTCTGTGCTTTGTGGTGCATGACTTCTATTCCTGTGCATTCTTCAGGAGCTTGAAAAGCTTGCAAATCCCTTAAATTAAGAAACACCTTGTTCTGAATATCTGAACTTAGAAACCATCTTCAAAGACATTATATGGCATAAACATCTTATCTTTATGTCTCAGGCTTCCAGTCTGTCCAGTATAGGATTGTTATATTTTGAAAAGAAGAAGAAGAAGAAGAGTTTGGATTTGATATCCCGCCTTTCACTCCCTTTAAGGAGTCTCAAAGCGGCTAACATTCTCCTTTCCCTTCCTCCCCCACAACAAACACTCTGTGAGGTGAGTGGGGCTGAGAGACTTCAAAGGAGTGTGACTAGCCCAAGGTCACCCAGCAGCTGCATGTGGAGGAGCAGAGACTCAAACCCGGTTCCCCAGATTACGAGACTACCGCTCTTAACCACTACACCACACTGGCAAAAAAGAAAGAAGACAACCCAAGCCACCAGAGCCTGAACCCCAAAATACCCCAGACGTTTCCTTTAAAATGTAAAAATCCATTCGGACAGGCATGTTGCCCTCCTCCAAAAGAAAATATGTCCGGGGTTTCCTGGATGTATGCCAACTCTAGTCCAGCACAGCTATTTCAACACCTTTCAACACCTTTCCAAAACATCAGCCCACAGCACTTTCTGTTTCAACAGTGCAATATTGCAAAATGCTACATTGGTCTTGGGACAAAAACTATACAGTGGTCCCTCGGGTTACATACGTTTCAGGTTACAGTCTCTGCTAACCCAGAAATAGTGCTTCAGGTTAAGAACTTTGCTTCAGGATGAGAACAGAAATCGTGCTCCGGCGATGCAGCAGCAGCAGCAGGAGACCCCATTAGCTAAAGTGGTGCTTCAGGTTAAGAACAGTTTCAGGTTAAGAACGGACCTCCGGAACGAATTAAGTACTTAACCTGAGGTACCTCTATATTGTTTCTTAGCTTTGCAACCGCAAAGTTTGCAAACACCTCTTATTGCTTCATGGCCAGGCAGTGTTGTAGTTTCATTTTCTCGCTCTTCTGCAAATAGGACTCTTCTGTCAAAGGTGCGGTCTTTAAAAAGGCAGCTATAATCTTATTTGCTCAAAGCGGCACATCATTTTCCCCCAAAAAGAAAACACTTTGGGTTTATTGATTTAAACTGTAGTCATTACAAAAGATTCTTTTAAATAAACTCACACAGAGGAAGGAAGACAAAAGGCAATGTAGCAATGGGGGAAAAATAAATTCAATGTGTATCTTTGCAGTCGTAAAGTTTACCTTAAATGAGAAATCCATTGTTTGAATACAGGAATACAAAGACTAAATCAGCATTTGGAATGTCTTTTGATGGGCACTTGAAACCAAAGGGTACATTTTTTCCTCTCTTTAAGTACTTACAAAAAAAGGAAGCAAGCAGTCTTCCATTTTATTGCCTCACAGTACAGCTTGTGAGTATTCGTTCCAGAGGCCAGAATTGAAATTCTG